CCCCACTCCCGGGCGGTCAGGCGACCCGAGATCTGAGCACACTGCCTCAAGAAGCTCTCAAGAGAATTGGACCTGTAATCAGAAATCGTGAGCCATTCCGCCTTTCGATAAACGCAGAAATGTTTCAAGAAATTTACCGGCGTGGATGTCAAAACTTTCGCGGACCACCTATCGATGACAAGTGGATTGAGCGGAGCGGTCTGATCAATCCGGCAGTGGCACTAGGAGAAACCTGTGCAGCGGGACATGAGGTTGCCGTTGAGATGCTTCTTAGACTTTACCGAGAGGATGACAAACAGAATGATGAAATGAAGCCCGACGTCCAGAGCGCTTTCGGAAAGAGGGTCGTTTTGGGTAGCGAGCCCATTGTACGGCTCCTGTTTGACTCAAATGTCGATTTTAACCACCGACCAAGCTGCCAAAACTATAGTCCATGACGCGGCAGGGCTGGGTCATGATACTGCTGCATGTCTCCTGCTAGACTCTATTGCCAACACGCAAATAATGGACAAAGACGGAAAGACGCCGATGAACGTGGCGATGATGGCAGTTTATGAGGCCAAGGTGAGGCTTTTCATCAGCCACAATGGTGCTATCCTGAACCAACTATACAACCGCTGCGAGGCCAACACCCGCTAATTAAAAAAAACTGCCGTGAAAGGAGGCCGAAGGCAACGGGTTCCAATGCAAAATTTGTCCACTTTCATTCTCAGGGCCTCGGAGTCACTGATACATACTCTCCCCGGCAACGGTCAGCGAGCCCAGTCTGTGCCTGTAGAAAAAGTCGGTGTTGAACTACCAAGGCCTACTCTCTCGAATGCTGAGGAACAGAATCAAACTATAGTTCATCTGGAAGCGGATTTCGGATGGATACTACTCCCCGCTAACAGTATTACTCGATGTGAATTCGGAGCAATTATCAAAACGAAGGCTCCTACTCTTCAAGATGACTTGGGTCGAGGTAATGACAAAATATCAAACGCACTCATTCATCCTGGGCTGACTGAGCATTTCAACTTCGTCTCTCTTGACGGCGTCGAGATCACTCGAGAAAGATGATCAGACGTGTCCGGACTCATCCAGGACCGAATTGTGGACGCGCCAGCTGCCCGAACCCCCTGGTTCGTCTATGCATGGCCATTGCATGAAGTAATTGGTATCAATAAACTTTAGGGTGTATGGCCACTCTTGTTTGCGCCATATGTTTAGGCTCTCTGACACCCCTCAATCATAGTTCCCAAGAGTACTGTAAGCATGGTCGCTTTCGTATATTCCCAAAAGCTTTTCCTGGCACCACAGCTCGTTTCTCAAAATGACATAATGTAACTCACAAACACAAACAGATGACTTTCCCCCACTGGGAGTCTGAAGAGAAACGGAAGGAGGTGGGTTAACAATCCCACCATCGCTTCTGCCTCTTATCCACTTGACATGCCCGTCCTCAACGACCTCCCCTGCCTCTCGGGTCAGATCGGCGTGTTGGCCGCCTTAAATGGTCTAATTGATGCAACCGTGCCTTGGAAATTCATCGGTTGTCGGGTTAATGAGGGCGAGGGGTGTCATACTGCAACCAACGTCCCCAGCCAGCTCCAATTCCCCCAGTGTCAATCATGGCTAACGCACCATTCCCCGGATTACACCCCGCACCCATGATCCGATTGTGGGACGGCGGAGGATCTTTGCGGGGATAAGTGCGGAAATCGAGGATGAGCCTCGCTTCTCACGGGGACTTGCTCTTGTTTCCCCCCTCTTATGTAGCATACAACAACCTTGAGTTGCGTAGATTGGTAGCACCGCCGGCGCCGCTCTGTTAAAGTTTGTCTACACCGTCAATAGCGAGCGCCATCTCACTACGCATTCGCTCAGTCTAAGCGCGCGTAACCTTCTTTCAACTACACCCGAAAAGCCAAGTAAAACGGGTGCGCGACGGTCTGAGAAGATGGGCGGACTTCGCGCGGTCGAGGACCGGCCCACGCCAAAGGAAGTGTACAACAGGCGTCTGTACACCGAGTCTCTCATCATTGCCATGGGATCTTTACTGTCTGTTTTTTTTCTTTTGCTCTGATCTCTGGTACGGCCACCTCAGAGGTTGATGCTGACTGGGCTCGAATAGCTTTGGATATGACTCGGCATTTATTGGGACGACGATTGCGCGCAAGAGTTTCGTGAATGACTTTGATATCACCCCGGAGACGTCAAAGGAGACATCGTCCAACATTACTTCAGCCTTCCAGGCCGGCGCATTGGGTGGTGCGCTTATGTGCTTCTTCAGTATGGCCCTGTATCCCTCCTCCTCAGCATCAACCCCTACCACTGAGGCTAATGTACGTCATCGGTAGTCACTGAATATGTTGGCCGCAAGTGGGCACTCATCATCAGTAACATCGTCTTTCTTGCTGGCGCCATCCCAATGGTCGCTGCCACCAACGACCTCGCCTCGATGTATGCCGGCAGAGCACTCACCGGCTGGGGCTGTGGTGTTATCACGGCCACGGTACCTTCTTACATTGCCGAGCTGTCAGTCCCCTCAATACGAGGTATTCTCACAGGTCTCTTTGAGGTCACGTACCAGACAGGGTCTTTGATTGGTTTCTGGATCAACTATGGCATTAATCAGAACATGGACCCCATAAGTTCTGCATCGTGGCGTGTGCCGATGGCTGTCCAGCTCATTCCCTCCGGAGCCCTATTGATTGGCGGATTCCTGCTTCATGAGTCGCCCTTGTGGCTGTACCGCAAGGGCCGTGAAGAGAATGCGAACAAGAACCTTGTCGCTTTACGACACTTGCCGATTGACCATCAATACCTGCAAGAGGAGGTGGAAATGATCCGTGCCAGACTTGCTGAGGAGGCCTCGGTTGCGGCGACGTATGGCGGTGGGTTCTACGCCTACATCCGAGGATCGCTGCACGAACTCTCACGGAAGGGAATGTGGAACCGTTTACTCCTAGTCTTTTGCTCCTTTGCTTTGCAGAATATGTCTGGTGCTGCGGGTGAGTTTCTTGCTGTCGTCATCTTGATTGGCGCATTGCTAACACACAATAGCTATCAACTACTATTCTCCCATGCTCTTTGGCTCCATTGGTATCAGTGATGTGGCCTTGTACACAGGTATCTATGGTCTTGTCAAGGCCGTGGCCTCCATCATCTTTTATGGCGCGCTTATCGACATCTGGGGCCGACGGAGACCTACGATCATTTCATCTCTGGCCTGCTCTCTCTGCTTATGGTTCGTGGGTGCCTATGTCAAGGTCGGCAACCCGGCCCCGATCATCGCGGCTGGAGGAGACCTTTCTGTCTCAACCGAGGCTGGTGGCCGCGCTGCTACAGCCGCCATCATGATTTACTCAGTATTGTAAGTTATCTACTCAGAAGCGAGACAAATGACAGTGGTGCTAATTACTACAGCTGGTCCTTCGGTCTAAATGGTATTCCATGGATCGTCTCCGCTGAGATCTTTCCCGGTGCTCTCCGCAATTTGACTGGAACCTTTGCCGCTTTCACTCAGTGGCTGATCCAGTTCATCATCACAAAAGCTCTTCCTTACATCTTCAGTAGTCTTGATTATGGTGTTTGGTTCTTTTTTGCATGCTGGATGCTCACAGCCACCATCTGGGCATTCTTCTTCTTACCTGAAACGAAGGGGGTCACAATTGACCAGATGGATATTATATTGTAAGTTCATCCATATTATCAGGCTGGGTGTATAGAATTCTGCCTATACCTGTACTGACACTGGTCTAAGTGGCTACGACGGGGATCGTCGCACTCAAGCCCCCGCTCTGAAATCTGATGATGCGAAGAGCGTGGAACAAGACGTTCGAGAAGTTGATGATGCGAATTGAGCATGATACTAGGTGTACCGCCGTGAAGTAAAGTTTCATATGTAAATCGAAGTCAAGCAGAGACGTACTAGGAGTGCTCGTTGGAGGTGCCATGGACTCGTTCGTTAGCTTGATTGAAGCAGCAGCACTTAGACCTGTGGACTGAAAAACTCGCTTCGACAGTTTGCAATTATATTTTAATTTCACCCAGACGTTGGTTTCGGCCTTTCAGAACCGTGTCTGGGGCGACCTCGGCAAAGCATCATCTTACTAGCGGAACTACCCCTTAGATGGAGGTTCATGGACGAAAGTTTAAGAAACTCGATGCTGATTTGTGTCGAAGCCTTCCAAGCTTCGATAAACATACCGGCTGAGCATGCGGGCGGCTGGCTATACCGTAATAGAAAGTGATCATCTTTCTGCTGTCCTTCTTTCCGTAAACTTCAATATGCTTCGTATGGAAATTATCTCAAGACTCTCCTTTAATACAGACAGATAAAACATACATGGAATTTATTCATAAGTAAGTCTCTAACTAAAATGTAACGACTGGAGACTTTACACGAAACTCAGTCTTTCACATAGCTACAGTAGGTACCTATCAATGTAAATTGACGAGTGCCGGCATATTCTATCTAAATTGTCTTTCTTCTATATTTCACCGCAGGTTCTTCTCTAGATGATCTGGATCTTTGGCCATGTCAAAGAAAAAAGAAGCCCCTTGTTCCCTTCTATTGCAAAATGGCTCGGCAGTCTCGTAGCCCAGTCGGTTGCAATCATTGTCAGAACAGCCATTCAATGGCACGCGAGGTTTTGTATGATTTGACTTGACAGATTTCTCGGGCTTATGCCATGATTTTTGATTGTCACAACCATGCTCTAATAAGAGCCAGACATCCCTCTCCTACTCTATTTCAAGCTACCTCGACCCTGCTGGGCTGATGATCCGTGGAGACCAATACTGAAAATGAAGGCAGCCGAGACACATGAGACTCTATCGTAAATGCATGTGTAACAGAAATACCTCCAGCAGGTGAACTAGGCCTGTCCTGATTAGGTGCTTGCGCTTCTGCACGAGTCGAAATCTGCGCCTGATCACTTTTCCTTCTCAAAGACTCAAGACCCTGCAATTCCCATGCAAGCATTCATCCGCGTCGCTATTGTCCGTCATCTCTTTGAACCCATCGCTTCGACTAAGAGTGGTTCGTACATCAGAACGGTTTCGCGTAGCCGCAGGGCCTCTCTGAGTCCTTACAGGCCCCGTGGCGGCAGTCCCCCCGTTGACTCGAATCGATAGGTTTAGCCATCGAGCTACCGTGCGGTCGAATATGGGTCGAATGATGGGGCTCGATGCCACCATGACTGCAATGCCATTTTGCCATACGGCGCTGTAAGGTGAAGAAGTGAAACTTTTCGTGATGTTTCCATAGTCAACGATCAGCGTATGGTATAAGCGGACGCCAGAGAACAGAATAGTGCTAAGTTTTGGGGCTGCGTCAGTACTTGTACCGTCGGCAAAGAACCTCCCCCCTATTGACATGGAATATTGATGGCCTATCACTTACATAATGCCAGCGCCAAATACGAAATAGAGCGCGATTTTGTGCGTTTTGGCCATTTGTAAAGTACTTACAACCTTCATCGGCAGTGCAAAAATGACGATATCGGTGATGATGTCAAAAATAGGCACCAGACTAAACAACAGCTTGCTGCCTTGGTCGCCTGGCCGTATCTTTGTAATTATCAGTCCAACGAGACCAGTGTATAATCACCAGGCTATGGAGGATCCCATCGCAACCCAGCAGCAAACTCTAAACCAGCGGCCAAACTCCGAGAAGATGCGCTGAGTCAAAAGTATGAGGCTCAACTTGATAGCTAGTAACCCGGCGGCATAGGTCACTTGCGCGACGAGAAACGTCTTGTAAAAGCAGTAAACGTGTATGTTGTTTTCAAGATCAGAGATATTGTGTCCAGCGCCCCCAAGGACGACCGCTAAGTAAACATCCTCTGTTAGTTGCCATCATATTCTATGAAGCCTACATGTATACTAAGGCATGAAACGGTAGATAACTTACATAGAATGCAGGAGATTGCAGCACCATAGAATAAGACCTAGAAGAGCAGAATATCAGCTGATTGCAGCCCAGCTAGATGGATGCTGCGGAGAACCTCACCTGCCCAAACAAGTAGAAATAATCCTCAAGCAGATAGGCCGCCCCAACGATGTACTTCGACACAATGCGCATCATAGTCCAAACAGTTGTGAGTGCCATCATGATGCAGGATACGATGACAAGATTCCTTCCATCAGGCGTCATTGGTAGATATGCGGTCGGGGTTTTGCGGGCATGGTCGAGCCTCTGGTCGAGCACAAACAACATGACAGCGGCCATGATAGTGTTTGAGATTATTGCGCCTTCGATGACGTCGGCATTGGAGCTTTAATGTGTCGTTAAAGAACAAACTCCTCGTGTGTACCACAAATAGCGGCAAGATTTTTAGACTTGAGCGGTGTCGTTGACTTTCAAGATGTGTTTTGCAACTACTCAAGACGCCATATTTTGGCCGGGAAGATTCGGGTGGGAAAGCCTTAATCGGGGCCTGCATAAGATTTTATCATTGACGTGGAAATGTTGTAAAATACCAAAGATTCATGTCTAGTGCCTTTGGAAAGTTGATTGCTTTCTTGAAGTCCGCCTTGGATATGCAACGATCGCACTGCATTTGGTGAAGGGAATGAACCAGCTGAGCAACATAAAGGCGGAAATAGAGCCAAGAGCTCTGTCACACCTGTCAGCACAATATGCAAGGTATGTGATCCCATGTTTGTCAAGAACAATGGTAGCGTTGATCCAGGCGGTTGGTTGAAACGATGTGCCAACCAATCATGACAGAGGACATTCGAGGCAAACTTCCAACTTACTTGGAGCTCCACATTTCTGTCATCCGCGCGAGCTTCAGCTTACAGAATCAGATTATTGGATGCTTGAGCGCGGGCGTACGGAATTGCACAGCAGGTGCACAAGAGGACAGGCAAACAATGTCGACTACTGGATACACTAATGAAGCGATCATCGGTACTGGAAACGGCGAGAATGTTGCAAGTCGCTTTGTTTCAGTCAAGGAACGTAATTGAAGCATTTTGGAGAATCGCTAATAAATGATGATACTCTTGTGAGAAGGTCCTTGATTGCAATCCCTCTAACGCATATGTGGAGTCCACCTTGATGAGTATTTCGGGCTTGGGAAAGAAGCATTATTATTCTGTGCTCATCAGGTTCTTGGAAAAATAAAATTGATCATGATATGCTGGTGAAATTACACCTCCGAATGCAAGTTTGGGCGCGGCACATTGAGCCTCTTTCGATTGATCGGGAGTGTCTTTGTCTCAGATGCGTTGACCTTTGAACAACGAAACTCGAGATTTTCTGCGGATGAAGGAGTTTACCCTAGTTTGAGACGTCCTGAGACTACCAACACTTCTACCTCACCCATGTCTCCCGCTTCATCTCGAAATCTACCTCCCATGTCAATTTCGGGCTCCATTCGTTCCCCGCGTTTGCTCTTGGCTGTTTGCTCCTTATTAAGTAGCCTCCCCTGCTCTTTCATTGGTCAGTATTAATCTCCATAGCTACTTCAACTGTGCCACGCCCGTCGAGCTGGAGTGCCAACCTAGTACTCGGATCACTAACCACAAATGGTGAGCAGGCCCTTACTGCTTGCACAGCTTGTTGCTTGTTGCTTTCCACGTTCGACTCAATTGGGAATTGACCTCACTCTTCGAGGTGGTCTAAAATCAAGCCGGACGAAGGATTTCACCGCTGGTAAGAATTTGATATTCTTCCAAATCCTCTGCTCTGTGCTTTATATTACATCTTGACTTCTTTCGCAACTAGTGGACTTCCCTTTCGAGGTCACATAATTTCGTTGACGACCACACTGGCTGTGTGGAGATCTTTTTCACGCATATAAACTATCATACTATGCAGCCCAAGCAATTTCATTCTGCAGTTTTTCGTTCGATTCTCCACTCCATTTCGTCCCAAAGTCTTAGGTCCAGTTTTCCCAGTGAATCAACTTTGCGTACGGATTAGGCCAGCCTATGGACATCCGGTGCCAAAACCTCGAGGTCAGTTGATTACAAAGGTGCTTGTATTGATAATAAGTTTTCAGTTTGACCGCATTGAGTATAAACGTACACAGACTAAGTTTTTGTGACCTACTATAATATACCACACTTCATCTCATCAGTCGGAGGTATCTTTCCGTCCCGCTTCCGGCCTCACTAGCTCACGCTGTCTTATCCAAAATTGTGTCTTTCCACAGCTGCTTTCCCTGTAATAGCTATTCCGTCCTGTCTGGAGTTGGGGACCTGAGACTCACGGGTTGAGGGGTTGAGACAGCAGAGGTCCGAGCCTGTGATACTCTCCCAGTTCTACAATTTGCCCTCCAATGCTACCTAGCCCCTGCGTATCTCCCAACTGAGCTTCTCGTCACTATCGGGAATTTTTTGCCAGAGCTTCCGTGATCACGTTCTAATTCCTACGGTCTGGCAGTTGAAGAGCGCATCTGCAGAATACGCCAACGAGTCCGGCTAGCCTATTTTTGACCAGCCTCAGCACAAACTTGATGTTTTCATCGACTTCATGACCGTCAGTTCCCTCGAGAAAGAAGCTTTAGCTGTTGGAGGGTTCGGTCCCAGATCCCGCTGTATACGCATTGTTGAAGCAAGATCGCGCTCCTTCATCTCACTTACTTCAGTGCTCGAGTGTCTCCGCAGATGGCTCAGCTTTGTTGGAAAATTCGGTCGTTTTTTTCAATTCTGCTAAATGTTCTATTGTCATTTAGTCTACAAACATCAAGGATGCACCATTCATCGACCCGCTCTTCTTGGGTACTTGTACCATCGTCAACCGTTATATCACCCGGGAGACTATCAGAGTAACATAAGGTTGCGGACGTCTGATGATACTGTCCTGGGAATAGAGGTGGTGGCTGGCGAGTTGGCAGCAGAGCCATTGACGATAAACTCCACAGAGGAACAAATCGACACTGGGGTGCGCGAGGTGGCAAGTTAAATGACACCTTCTTTGATTCGTTGGTCACCCATTCTGACATTGTTCTCAGGGTATGCTACCAAATTGCAGGCACGGCCTCCTGGGTTCCGCTTTGGACACAGACTTGCACGTGATTGGGGTATCAGGTCTTCGCGTTGATACTTCGGTCCTTCCCGTCTCGATCTCGACCAATCTACAGGTGGCTGTCAATGCTTTGGCAGTGCAAGCCTCCGAGATCATTGGGACAATCATGATGCAATGTTGAGTCTATCGCTTCAATCACATGTTTACTTCAAATTGGAGCTTTGAAACTTATATCAGACATGTTTCGCAAATCATGGCATTCGGAGTAGAGACTACATTTTGCCAAGGAATAAAGAACACGAAGCCACCTTGAACATAACAGTCAAGCAAAGTCACAACGAATACGAGCACAAAAGGACTTGAAGCAATGAAGTAAACCAGGAGACTTATACACTGCCAAAGGCTAGTTATTCTTTGATTAACAGCCTAGACCTTTCAAATTCAACGTAGAGTTCAACTCTCCAAAGCGGATATTGCTAAAGGTGACCTCGGGGTTGGCCACGATCGTTGTGATGACACTCGGGTTACCCTCCGTGGCATTGCAAGGCCCACTGTTGCCCTGGTCAAGCCACTCCATGAAGCCCGACTTGTCCCACCACAAGCTCATGGCCAGAACCATACCACGAGACAAGGCGCCGCCCATGCCTTCCACGCCACCCAAACGCATGAAGTCGGATGCGCCCGTGGCTTGGCAGAACTCGTCGTCGATGTAGTTGATCTTTGGGGGCCCCTCAATGTTGACGACGTTGTTCTGGATGACCTTGCCGTCCTGGATGTACAAGCGACGGATCTCCTTGACCTTGCCGTTCTGGGCAGGGAACTGCGTGACGACGCTGAACTTGCGGGTGGTGTCGACCTTGAAGTCTTTGCCTCGGCCGTAGTAGTCGGTCGCGTTCACTTTGTAGGGGTTCCACGCACAGCCATTCTTGTCGCAGACACCAGCCTGCCCGCACTCGTCGCCAGTGCACTTGTAGAGGCCGGGCTGGCTGCACGGGTGAGGAGCGAGTTGGTTGGTGCGGGAGTTGGCTTCCCAGATGTCCATCTCACTGCAGCAAGCGCCCTTCTGGTCAAAGTTGCCCTGATTCTCGTGTTAGTCAAGGTTAGGATGAGGCAAACAAGGTGCGGGCACTTACAACTCCATTGATGAAGGAAGTCTTGTAGCACTGGGCATCACAGTAGCCAGTGCCCTTCGCGGCACCGTCCTTGTTGTAAATGCTTGCGTTCTTGCCACCGTCCGGAAGCATCTCGGACAGGTACAACGCACTGTTCATGCCGCAGGGCAAGTTAACCATGTCGACGTCGAAGGTGAACTCGGATCCCGTGAGCTTGAGCATCTCGTAACGCTGCTTGTTCTTCTCCAACAGGTAAATGCGGGGAGAGACTTCGGCACCGGTGGCATTGAACATGGTCAGACGAATGTCCGTGCCTTGAGTATGGACGCCAAAGCTGCTGTAGTCGGCGATACTACTGATGTGGCAGTTGGTCGCACATTCCTCGGGAGTGGTACATGCAGTGGAGTTGGGCGGGTTGTTGCCAGTGGTGCAGCTCACGCCACTGGATGTCTTGATCCCATGTTTACCCGCATCGAGAACAAGGTAGTTGGTCTTCTTGTGGCAACCGTCCTTGACGGTGCATCGGTAGGTTTCGATCTTGGGGTGGTTATCAGTAGAATTGCCATACGTCTTGCCGGAGACGATACTGGCGAGAAGAAGAGCAGCGGAAAGAATGGAAAGTGCCATGATGGGCAAAGTGCAGATGTTGAGTTGGTCAACAAAGTGCGAAGAAGGTGAAAAGAGTGACTGGAAGTTGAAGGAAATGAAACTTGTGCCGAACTAAAATCATCTGAAGTCCCGGCGGCAGCAACGTCGAGCTATATACTTTTGATGAACAGCATGACCGTCCCGTTCGAAACCCATCAGACTCACAAATCATCAGACTGTTTCAAACCGTCCATTTGGGTTCGGAGTCCCCATGACGGCCCATCTGGAGTCTTCCGGCAATCTTTCGGGCTCACTGGCTGCTTGATTGCCTCAGGGGCTAGAGGGGCCAATGTGACTATCTGCAAGGGGCTTTGGGTATGAATGGAATTGCGGGTAGTAGCCACAATCTAATGTCTCTATCAGAGGCGGCTCAGGCGCAGGAGAAAACTTTGGGATAATAGCAGCGGAGAATCAAGAAAGAACCGGACGATTGTCGATGAAGCATTGGTCACTTGGGGGCCATGATTCCCGAAAGGTTGTCAGGGAGTGCCTGGCCCTTATTTCGGCAATGTGGGACGAGAACCGCTATTTGTACGAATGAATCCGTCCCTTTCGCCTCTTTGTCCCGAAATGATGTTTCCCTACCACAGTTAAACGAACAAGCGCGATTTAAACTTTTCTCCTGTAACAGAAAAACAGTTTCGCGAAACTCTATCGTTAACATAACATCGACTTACAGGGTCACCTATTCTAGCGGCATTGTATAAACGAATCAGGTTTGATCCAGTCCTTGACAGCTATCCACACTTCCCACAGTTACAGGCGGCTACGTTGCTCAAAGCTCAGGTAGCACGGTGTAAAGTCAGCTACCCAATCTCCGTCCCATGACACAGAGCAATAATTGCTAAACAGGAGACCATATTTCAAGCGTCATTGTTACCCCGAGCCATTCACAACGGACCCGAATACTCGGACATGATAGAAAATCATGGCGCTACGTAATTATACACATTTACCGGAGTGTACAACATTGCCGGCGTAATTAGATGCCTCATCCAACTTTTTCATCTCTGAACACCAGCGAACTTTTATTCAATCACCATTAGTATTAATGCCTCTCTATAATCAGGGTCCATCATACAAGCTTAAAAGATTCACTTCCCAGACATTTGCACTTAAAGTTCTCTCTCCACGATAGCCTTCACTTCTTCATTTACGCCAACGGACCCTAGATCCCGGCTTGAGTGCAGGTCTGGCCGCTGGCCAACGTTCTAATACTCGCAGTGAACTCGGATCGATCGGAAGTCGAGACTTAGCATTGGCTGCATTGCTGATGATAAGAGTTTTTGGCCTTCCAGAAAGATTATGGGTGAGTTACTAGTAGGGTAGGACCAGGGGGATGTCACATTCATTTCCTTTAGTCCCCGTGCGACCCATTGTGGTGACGGGCTCCGCTAATCCCGGCAATTCCGTAGTGCATCCACTTGTCTTACCTCATCCATCTTGTAGCGAAGCCGTATAAATCATCAACTAGAACGATGACTTGCATATGATGAGCATATGGAACTATTCCCTCATGCGTACCAGCTCCCTAATTCTATATAGTGAGCGAGGGCGTAAGAGGGCATATGCAAGGACTGGTCGATCCAGTGAATTGATCCTGTTCTTGAATCATCTCGAGTCAGACACCAACTCCACTAGCAGAGAAACGGTCATCAAGGTCTCGCGTCTCGTTTCGAGCGTCTTGAATCTTATCCATACGCTGACATGCTTAATTCGTTGGAGCTCGAGCGTGACTGAGTCGCAATCCCGCAGCCAGAGTTCCCTCGAGCCCACGTACCAGGGGAGTGTGCTTTGAGCTCAACGATTGCTCTCCATGGAGATAGATGGCAGTTCAGTGTACTTTGATCTTTTGCATTTTTCGAGCGTGAGAGTGCACCCGTTACCAAGCCTGGAGTGCCCGACCAGATTCTTCCAATTTCCGTCATGGAGCTGCAAGGCCCATTATCTCGGACGGTACTGTCCCATGAGCCTGTACATATTTCAACCCCGAGGACGATTGTGAATGCAACGACATGCCTATGATCGAATTTTCATAGCAATATGGGTACGATAACACTAAAATCGAGCTAGGTTTGACATTCTCTCGTCCTTTCCACAAATCAGTAAACCAAATCGACGTTGACTTGACAATTGAATGGGTCAGTCAAGTTGAATTACTTTACTCGTCTCATCTGACTGGACTATATACGTTAGTCTCTGCTCCTTTCAACCGAGGCAATCTATTCAATGCTTATACCCAACTATTCAGTCAACAGTAAGCTTTTAGTACTTGCACGCTACTTAAACTTCCGCTGATGACTTTTGGAGACTCAGTTCCAAGATTTGCACGGCCCTGTCCCTATCCCACTCGGATAATTATATAAAGTATTTCGGAGAGAGCTATCCCTGCAAGGTCTATCTTGTCCATTGATTCAAAACGTGTTCCACGACTTTCATCTCCTTTGCTCTTAATTGCTTGCTGTTGCTGCTATTAGCCTAGGTAGGTTGGCGATCGTTGAGTCGCAGCTGAAGGGTGCGGCTGAACCTCTGCCGCATGACTAGGTCCCACGTGATAGCCTCTAGATAACCTCTCCATTGGCCCATCTGCACCTGGGCTCGTATTTCTCAGCCAAGATGCGAAATAAATATCACTTTCCGCCAGTCGGGAGTTCTTAGGCTTTGGAAATGAACGAGTTTGAGTGACTCGTCTTGACCTACGTGCCAACGACACGTCGAGACGCAGTCACCCGACTCCCTCAATTCCCGTTACCATCACCACAAAACTTACATCCCGCAACAGCTCCCCCAAACTACCTATAGTCAACCAACAATGACCTCTCCTTATCAATACACACCGCTACCCACCCCCAAATCAATCCGCCTCATCCGCCTCCGCAACACCGCAGACAAAGACTCGCCCCTAGAATGCGAATTCCAAGAGACCTCCCTCGATGACCCGGCAGAGTACACGGCGCTCTCCTATACCTGGGGAGGCGAAAGCGCAAACGTCCCTCTCGCAGTGATGAACAGCAGCGGCGGCGGCGCTCCTCCTCTTCCTCCTCCTGCTCCTCATCAGCCCCTGCTCATGGTGACGCCCAACTGCGCCGCCGTGCTGAAGATACTGCGCGACCCCCGGATCCGCCTCTCGCTCTGGGTCGACGCGGTCTGCATCAACCAGTCCTCCGACGAGGAGAAGAGCGTGCAGGTTAGCATGATGGCGGAGCTCTACCAAAAGGCAAAGTACGTCTTTGTCTGGCTCGGGAACGAGTGGGCGCCAGCGTCGACACGTGCATTGTATGGGGGACTCCCGAGGGTTGGGGATGACCAGGAACAAGGTGAGGACCGAGACTTAACTTCTGCGCTCCCCGCACTCGATTTCATGTGGAAAGATAAGAAGAAGCAGTAGCCATTGGCATGCTTCTCGGATGGAACGAATCGATAGTCCCATCTCATGCACAGTAACACATAAGTAACCCTCTGCTAACATCAAACTTCATAGCACTCGACCCGCAAGTCTTATCGGTGATCCAACGAGCACCATACTGGCTCCGGGTCTGGACCCTCCAAGAAGCAGCCTACGTAAACTCGTTCCTCCTCTGCCGCGACGGCGGCGGCGTAGGCCTCGCCAAAGCCCTCCGCAAGTGGGGCGACGCCCACCGCAGCCACCCGGACCCGAACCAGCTGGCAATCAACATGCGCCGCAAAATCATGTCATCACTCCCCCCCGAGGCAGAAGAGGAGGATGAGACAGAGCGCCGCGGCAAGATCAACGTCTACCAACTGAGGATGCTCCTCTACCTCAAATCCACGGAACCCCGCGATAAAATCTACGCCCTGCGTGCCGTGTTCCCTGATACCTTTGGGAAAGTCGGGGTGAACTACCGGCATCCGGTCGAGGAGGTCTACCTCGAGGCGACGAAGCGGCATATCCTGGGCCAGGCTGCTCTAAGCCATCTACTCCTCCTCGGAGGCGGCGGCCGCGAAAGCGGCATATCAACAACACCAAGTCCCTCCCCCCTTTTGTCAGCGTTACCCTCCTGGGCTCTCGACTGGAGCACAGAAGTGCCCGACGGAAGGATCCTGCTGGACGTGCCGGCAGCAGCATCCCGTGGAAGCCGGCCATACTACAGATTCTCAGACGACTCCCGCACGCTATTCCTCAGAGGCAGGACCGTGGCGCGACTGGGCGACCGCATCAGTCCCAAGCTCCCCATCATCAACCTATCGTTCGTCTTGGCCGATAAAAAGGCAGAGTTCACCGCCTGGGTCCACGAGGCCATGCGCATCTCTCGGGCGTTTATGTCGGATGTGTTATTACCACCACCACCGGCCGGGGCGAGCGACAATGATCGCGCAAGCGGATTCGTGACGTTTCGAAGCGTTCAAGCCCTCCTCGTAAGGATCCTAGAAGCGAACGAGCGGACTAAAGAGGAGGCCGTATCGCTGAGTGTCATTGAAACCGTCGAGGCGCTGGCGGCGGCGGTGTCTTCCTCGCAATCGTCTGCCATGTTGATGATATCCAACGTGAACGCGGCGCTGGGTTCAGGGTGTATGTTCTTGACGTCGCACGGGCGCTTCGGGTTCTGCGTGGCAGAGCCGGTGCCAGGTGACGAGATCTGTATCTTTTCGGGATTGGATTTCCCTCTTGTCGTTCGTCCCCAAGGAACCGGGTATGTGATTGTAGGCTACGGCATCGTGGACGGGGTCATGGATGGGGAGTTGTGGCCTAATGACGAGAGCGAGTTGACGGAATGGCCTTTGGTATAGAAGTATGCAAAGAGGCCGAGTCGAAATTTTGGAGTCAGACTGTTGCAACTAGGTTGCTTTTGTCTTGTCATGGAACTCACCATACGTCGTGATGGGAACTCTGAGCAGTGTTGTGCAACAGAAATATAGAAAAGTGGCCGCCAGTAGGCAAAGAAGGGTACCAGTATCGACCCGGCGGTTCCGGCACCTGCACCGGCAACCGAGCACTTACTCAGCGCCACCTCCTCGGATCCACCACGAACACACCTTAGCTCAGAGTCAATCTCCCCAAGCATCTCGATCCTCGATGCCGCCCCCTCTTCAGCCCCAGCCAAGCTGCAGCCAAGCTGGGCCGGGATATGCCTCCATGCTCCCCTTGTACACAACATACCTACCTGGTACCGGAGGATGGTCAAGCTACCTACTCTAATCTTGTCTTGACGTCGCCCGTCCAGGGATCACATCAGTGGATTCCAACCGGAGAATATCGATTAGAGTCTAAGGCTTGTGTGGAGATTCCACAAGCACGCAGCACCGGTTGCCGTTGTGGTGTTTTTGACCACCGCGTGGTTGCTATCACTTAATTTGGGAGTTGATCGGACCGGATGTAGTTGCTTCATCGACTCCCATATCCGTTTTGGACGGTCATCGGTATTGAATCGCTAATGTCCATTTCACCGCCACCGTCACTCGGACATACCCGCACTCTGAAGCAAAAAGTTTCAATATTTGAACAGGTGAACATTAAAACGACTTTTATCTAGTGTATGAAAATAAGCCCCCAACGCCGGAACAATGCATTGATGCTGTTATCTAATGCAGGGCGCTCTCGCCCGTCTCCGCCATGAACTTTTGGCAGTTGAGCAATGTACGAAGCTGATCGCTAACTTCCTCGAGTCTACTAATAACCTTCTTGTTGCCATCAACAAAACCCAAGATCGAGTAAGGGATACCAGTATCCCTGCAGAAATCCTTGACAAATACCTGCGCCTTGCGGAGATTGTGCCGCGGGACACGCGGAAAGAGGTGATGCACGGCCTGGAACTGGAGGCCGCCATGAATAAAGTCCAACCAGGCGGGGCAGTCAACGTCCATGGTCGTGCGGAGCTGGCGCTGGGCAAAGGACTCGGACTCGCCAAGGTCCGAGGTGGACATGCCCCAGTGGGAGAGGGTGATCTGGACGTGCAAAGGCATGGTGACGATGTGCGAGACCAGGACGAAGGCGATGCGAATGGGCCAGGTGGGCAGGGTGTTGAGAATCAGACGCCAGCCAAAGATGTACCAGAAGCAGGTCATGAAGGCAATCTCGGTCGGGCGAATCCACCAGGCCTTGGAGGCACCCAACGAAGAGGATCTACGGGACAGAACGTGCAGCCAGGAGAGAAGGTAGAGGTTGAAGCGAGCGACGCCCATGACTGGGTAGTAGGTGTAAGCCTGGTACTTGGCAAGGACGTCGGCCGCGGCGTCCCAGACGAAGACGAAGCCGTCGTAGTAAGTCGACTTGATGGACTTGAAGAACGAAGGGCAGGTGGCGAAGAGAGGAACGTTCTGAATATCGGGGTCGTGTTCCTGGGACGTGTTAGTGACGAGTTGCTGGCATCATGGACAAGAGGCTAAGCTTACGGGCTGGTTGGTGATGAGATGGTGGACGTTGTGACTGCTCTTCCACCATCCCATGGAAAGGCCGCAGCAAAAGTCGGCAACAAAGAGGCCGATGAGGGTGTCAAAGGTGAAGTTGTGGGTGATGGCACCGTGTCCGGCATCGTGGGCAGAGAACATGATCTGATGCCAGAAGAGGCCCAAGAAGCATGCCGAGGTCATGTACCACTCGTAGTGCAGGGCAGTGAGGAAGAGGGCGAACAGGGTCGAGTATCTGCACATCTCCTTGCCGTAGTCCAAGTAGGGGCAATCGTAGAGACCGGCATCCTTGATACGCTCATGGAGCAGACGGTACTTCGACTGGATGTCGCGCTGGACGGCAGGGTCGAGAGAAGGGAACTCATCGAGATCCTTGTTGATGTTTTGTTGAATGGCCCACTCGGTGTACTGGTCAGCGTTCATGCGGCTCCGACCCGACAGGCCGGGCCCAGCGGCGAGGGCATCGTCGGCGGGGTCTGCAGGAGCAGCGAGACGACGTCTAATGCCCGTCTCGGTCTGGGGTTCGGACTTGACCCCGACCTCTGCACTGCTGCATTCGGAAGTTAGGGACGTGCGGGAGCTCCCGCCAGATACATCGGAGACGGCATCGTCGGCGGAGTCGTCTTCATCGAGATCGGACGAGGGGCAGTCGACGGGAGCGTCCGTGGCATCATCTGCAGGAGCACCGGCAGCATTGGATGCAGATGCAGGTGATGTCTCCTGCTTGGTGTAGACGCCGCCCCTAATTGGTGGTGTCATGTTGATCCAGGGACCCGCAGGTTTCCGGCCGATCCGAAAGGCCTTCATGGTGTTGAGTGTGGCAGCCGAATGGTACCTGTCAAAAGCGATATGTCAGCACACTAATTCCACTTAACTCATCAATAACGGAGTCCGAATGTCCAGCAAACCCGAAATATTAACTGGCCCTTTCCCCCTTCACCCTCCATTTGGAGCATGGGGAAAATAAGCTTAACCAGACTTCTGATTATCTCCCGGTCGCTTTCGCATTCCCGGAGGCCTCTATTTTCCCGACGTCCCCCTTTTTCTTCAGATTATTTATCCGAACCCGCGGGAATGGGGGCTTGCGCATAAGGGTTCAGATTTGGAGGGGCCCAAACCACCAGAGATGATGGAGGGAGGGGAAATGCGGTGGTGCGCCAAAGGTTAATTGGACATGGAAGGTAAGTCGAGCCTCTTACACTTTGATCTCGTCGGTCGCATCTCGTCCAACCATGTGCAGGATTGCCAATTGGCCACCGGGATGCTTGCCCATCCACCCGTCGAGGCGAAGAACCATTTCGTCAAGAATGACGATTGTGCGTCCATCAGCGATCATGCCCTCCACCTCGCGGGGGGTGATGATCCTGCTGTCGCGATCCATTTTCGCGACTGATGATGGTTTCGTTGTTCGGTTAGAGATTTGTGCTTGCTAGCCAAATACGCTTTTCGTGGAGAGAGAAATCGACGAATATTTTTCTCTTTTTGGTGACGGCGGCGACGGTCCGTCAAGGTGGTGGATTTGGGAGGGAAAGAGAGGGCACGACTCCAAAGCGGGAGAAGGAGGTGGTCGAGATTCGCCAGACACAACACCTGATCGAACGCAATTATCGCCGGTCGATTGCGTTTGAGGTCGACAGATGGTGACGTCCAGCCGCAAAGGGAGAAAGGAGACGGGGGTAAAAGAGAGAGAGAGGGAAAAAAGGCGGTGGTGAACCTGGGTGGATGAAGATGCGCCAGGGACGAACTGGTGGATGGGCGATGCTGTGTTTTACGTATTATCGACCTTGGGTGCTTGAGGCGTGCTTGAGGCGGGTTGGCTGTGGCAGGCAGGATCCGCGGTGACAGGAAAGCTTCAGAACCCTGTTGGACAGCTTCGATTCGGGATGGCGAGAAAGAGAATTTACGGCAAAGGCGAAGCAGTCGACACTCGTGCCATTTTCAGATGAGAACAGACGACATGGACATGGCCTAGGAAGCAGAAGGGGGAGGGGGGCAAGCACAGGATAAAGAGCAGAATAAACAAGCGAGGAGAGAGGGACAGAAGTGAGCCGGCCAGACGGGACAACGGGCCAACGTGAGAGGCGACGGGGGGACCACACGAGGATGAGGAGAAACGTGGAAGGAGAGCAGCACCTCAGAATGAGAGACGAGCAGCAGCAACAGCAGCAACGAGCGGCGACATCCCAGGGACGGTACGAAGTAATACGGTACCCCGTGGCTCATATCCGTATGAGTGGACGTGGAGCGAGAGGCGAAGGTGGTTCTTCAGAGATTTGTGGATCATCTTTTTCCATGCGCCCACACCCAGTCACCCACCTACGACACGGTTCACCCACTACCGTCGGTCAAGGACAGCTTGTCTTCGAGTTAGGCAGGTCGAAACAGTGTGCGTGGGTTTTGTGGATGTGAAGTGACTAGATGGGAACGGGATGGATGGGATTGGGATGGGACATGGGGACAGTATGGAGACATGGGGCAGGGGGGCGGAGGGGATGCCGATGGAGAGAGAGAGCAACTTGGGACATGGGTGAGCGAGTCTCGCTCGTCTCTTTCCAATCTCCCCAACTACCTCCCACTCCGCCAAGGAAAAAAAGAAGGAACCGAACATCAGCCAGGTTGTGTTTGCCAAGGTATGAACTGATAGCTTTGCGTGATGGCGTACACGTGGGCATGGCAATCGGACTTGTGGTACGTTGGTGGCCCTGAAGAGGTAAGGCAAGGAAAGAGATTCAGTGTGAATTGCAGCTCAGATTCAAGAGCCAAGACTCAAGACTCAAGACTCCAGACTGAGATGCAGGGCAGAAAGGGCAATGTGGACGGTACGCCGCACACACTCACATTGAGTGAACGAGTATTGACACATACGCGCAACACACACTGGACTGGACGCGCCTATTTCTCGCCCCTCCCTCTGCCAATCTTGTTTCCCGAATCCCCCCCCCTGATCCAATCAAGTAAGTCGGCCGTTGGCGCTTTCGCTAGCCCCGGGGGCGCAGCTTGTTGCGTTGCTGCTTGCCTCTTTCTCGCCTCTTGGAGAAATTGGGGTTGCTGGAGAACAGAGGCTGGGCTCTGCAAGATGCAACTTTGCATTGGGGTGGCTCGTTGGAGACGCATGAGACTGATTGACTTCAGACTGGCTGACTGATTGTATGAGGTTGACCGAGACTCAGATGGGCGTGCCGGGGTAAGCGAGGAGGGCAAGAGAAAGAAAGGGGAAAAAAGGAAAAAAAAAAACAAGCGAGAGGGAAAGAGGTGACGCCGTGACGGAGCTTATCTGATTGACACCGCTGGCGGGGACTGGGAGGCTTGACAGGACCCTGAAAGGCTGAAACGATGAATATTGGGGTCCTTCTCGAATCATGCACGATGGAGACGTGGAGGAGGGACCCAAAGGGCGGTACGAAGTGCGCGGGCGGTGCGCAGTGCGCGTATTAAGGTACCTACCAACCTTGGCATCATGGCTGAGGAAAGAGCACCCTGGGAACTTTCAATCTGAGGTGCTTGCTTGGGTGCTTGCTTAGCAGGGAAGGAAGGACCGTACACGATACGGAGGAGCGGGGAACACTTGGAGTTTGGCAAGTGCCAACCTACCTGAGTACGCGGGCGCCATTCAACAAACTTCCTTCCACCTCCCTTCCAGGTTTCCTGGGGCCTGGAGGAGTCCTTTCCTTTCTCGCCTTGGCTCAAGACCAAGACCAAGACTTTGAGCACTTTGCACCCCAGAGACTTGGCGGCCGGACACAGACACACGGACACCTCGCAAAGATAAAAAAGACATTTGGATGACAACAGTCAAGGACACGCGTCTGAGTGGGAGCGACCAGAAAAGATTGGGGAAGAAGTGGGACGCAGACCCAGGACCCTTGAAACTCAATTCCACCGTCCCGCGAGAGACAGACGGTGGTTCCGGAGTGTGGCGATTGTGCTGGGAGTGGCCTTTACTGCCATCGAGTCTTGAACCCCGACTAAGGGGGGCTAGTTAAGAAGCCTACTACGTGATAGTAATAGAACCATCTCCCTGGTTATCCTCGACTCGAAAAGTGCTAGTGTGGGTATGATGGGGGAGTGAAGCCCGCGGAGGAATGTTTCTGGAAATGGCGCTTAAGCCTTGGACTTTGAGACTTGGGACGGGCTCGACTTGGGAGTCTGGCGCTGTCCTTGATTTGCTCTGGTTTGGGTGCCTCTGGTCTTGGGTGCAGCCTTGGCCCGGTGTTGTGTGTGTGGATGTGGATGTATGTGTGTATCGCAGTCTTGGTCGGAGTGGCTCTTTAAATCGTTTGGCCCAATCCTTTGTTTCGTCTCTTGATTTTTCCTGGTCTCTGATTGCACATGGCAAGTTGCAAAGGACATTGAACAGGGCATGCAAAGACTCAAAGAAAATGGATGTGTTTCTATCGGCTACCGTACGCGGTCTCCTCCACCCCTCGCTCCTCCCCATGCGAGGTGGTGCCAGGTGGTGGCTCATTTAGCGAGCCGAGCTGTTGGGGCGGACCACGCGAAATTGGGCCGCGGGAAATGGCGCGCCTGTCAATCTAGAAGGCAGGAGGGCCGCAGGGGGGGGGGACGGAAAGCCACGCCGGGCGACAGTTTCCTTTCAAATGCGAACGTGCTTCCCATTCCCATTCCCACTCCCAGTCCTGAGTCCCGCAGCCTACCCTCGTCGACGTTTTGTGAAAAGTCCCTTTGTACGGATACGTATCCGCGGGGACCCGTACCTCGTAGACCAAATATGGACGCAACACGATAGGTAACGCAGGTGGGGGCAGAAATGAGGAGGGCACTTTGCAAACCGAGGTATGGAGCATCAAGAGATAGACATGGAAGGAAAGACAAGAAAAGTCAAGACCAACAGCCAAAGGTAATCACCCAAACGGGAAACACCGTAAACATGGCAGGCTCCAGCCTCTTGGCCAACGGAAGTTTCCTCTTGGCGTCACAGACTGCGCCTCGCAACGACCCCACCCCACAAACGTCCACGGAACCCCGAAGCGGGAGATGATGATGGATTGCGTCAACTATCTCTCGAGCCTCTATCTACTCTATACGGACAATCCGTACTGTCCATCAGAAACTCTGTATTGTACCTCACATCACTGCACACTATCAGTCAGTTGTCTGTGTCCGTACTGCGTGAGACGTGACTGGCCGATGGGACAAATCTTGTTGGAAATTGACTCTGATTGAAACTTTGGGCTTGTCCTGACTACCTTTCCCGCTTGCTCTCCTTTTTCTTTCCGTGTTTGCGAGACAAATGAGACGAGGCACACAATACACGCCAAACATTGGCATCCCATCTACGGATAGTCGGGCAGGGTAGCTAAAGTTCTCGTGTAGGCCTCGCTGTCGTGGTGGTTGCATCCAAGTCCCTACAACAGCGGGTTCCTGACGCAAAGAAGACCAAGTTATGTTTCCCCGGCTCATTTCTGTTCGGCAAGAAGAGTTTCCAGACTTTTTCCACCCAGCCGTGTGCCGTACTGGCGCGAGAGAGAGAGAGAGAGAGAGTTAGCTCGGGGTGGCACTCGCTCAGCTGAGTAGTCGCAGCCGAGGTGTGTTGGCTGAATCGATTTCCACCTCACTCACCAACATCCCAGCACAGTGACGCTGCATGTGCAGCCAGCAGCAGCCAGATTGAAGAAGCGGGAGCGGGCTGGAACTGGAACAATGCAACAGCTTCCATGCTTGTCATGCCAGAAATCTCTAGAGGAACCCCACTTAACAGCCACGACTAAGGGCCGGGGGGGAAGGGGCAAGTTGACAAGAAAAGGTTCGAACCAGTACGTACCCTTTTTCTTGTGTGACAGTGGCACCCAAAATGTAGGTACCCGGAAGCAAGGCCGTGTACGTAATGTCCCGTATCCATGTTCGAGACCGTTGAGTGGCACAGTCATGGGGCTCGCCCGTCCGCGGCCAGAGGAAAGGGGAAGAGGGGAGGGGGGGGACTTGGCAGGCTGAGGGGTCGTATGGATACGACCATTCGGCCAATTCTGCCAACTCCCAAGAATATCTCACAAAAGTGGCTCGGCTAGACGACGATCTCCATGCAACTTCTCGACTTCCTGGCTCCCTTCACCGTCTTCAATCTTTTGGCATTGTGAATATGTAGCCACATTGATGGAGAAATACGGATGCAATCTACTGTGTAAAGGGGAGGGGCGGGAAAGCGTCATTGTTGTCGCAAATGGCCTTGGATTCCCATGAAGCAAAGCAATTAAAGTGGGATGTCGCAGACACATCACAAGACGATCCGAATAGGCGGCATGCAGAAATGCTAAAGCCACTTGGAAAGCGCAAATCCCATACGATGTACGTACGCGTGGTACGACGAGGGAGGGTGCCAATACGCAATAGCGGAGGCTAGCAGAAAGGGGTCTGGCTGTGCCGTCCATGGATACACTATTAGCATTCGTACGCAGTAGCGGTGGCATGCTGGGTGGCTAGCTCCAACTTTCTGTCTCCTCAACTCCTGTTGATCCTAACGAACCGTACGGATAGTTCCTGCGGCGTCATACCGGTACATGATCCAACTCGGACAGCCAATGGGGCCGCTGGCGTGAACGTTGAGTCGAAAGCTAGAGCTGGCATAGCTGCTAGTAGTGTAGACGAGTTGGAAAAGGCGTGCCAGCTTTCGAGTGAACAATTTCCCGGTATTGGATTGGCGCGCAGAGGTTCGCGAGTTCGATGCGACACTAAACTTCGTTTCTGGGTCTGGACCCAGAATCCCGTCCGATTGAGATTCGACTCAGGACGGACCAAGATCAAGGGGCCAGGGGGTCACTGCTTGGCAACCGTTTGATTGGCTTCCGGCAACGGCCCCGCGCTCCAGTCGCAAACTCTCGGATTAACTCGCATTGTCCCTTGCAAATCAATTCTCGGATTAACCCCTGCTTCTCCTGCTACCCTGCGCTTGCCTTACTGGGGGAGCGGTAATAGCCATGGCTTCCCAGTCTTCGCAGGCGTAGAGCCTGCTGACTAAGGTTTCAACCTGTTTCGGTTGCCACTGATTCTGGTCATCAATTTTCCCTCACACACACAATTTCGCCCGGCCGAGTCATCTCTACAGTACGGCACGGCCGACATCTACTTTTGGCAAGATGAAGCGCGAGTCCCAAGAAGGCCAGTGCTTTCGAATCATTCCATTCTTCTCCCGATACCCAAACTGATTCATCTGCTCGCTGTTTGACACTGCGACTTTTCACTACGAAGAAATATTGTATAATCATCGGATGAAAAAGACTGACTGCGTGAAACCGAAAGCTGACTCGGCCCAGAAACAATCGGCCGTCGTCCGAGTCACGTGGAGTCAGACATCTTGTCATCCCGTCTCCGTTTTGGACGAAGGCAGGATTCAGATGCGGTGCAGACATCAATTTTGCTTTGTTTTGCCTCACAATTAAACGTTCCGAGGGGTGAATGACATAGACAACACGAAAAATTCCGTCGGAACGAGCTGTACGCGGGACATTAGCAGAGTTTGAATCTGCATCATCGCCTTGTTTGCCAAAATAGCATCCATTGTCGAAGGAAACCCTTCCGCAGCCAAGGGGTCCGGACACCTGGTAGTGAGCGGCATCGGACCGATCACCGACGGCATCTTCAGAGAAGCCCGGGTCCCCGACTGTTGTAATCAGACCCGCTATCGCCCGCCCCGCCATGTCCGCGTATGAGCGTGAATGCGAGCACGGGTATGACTATGAGCCGCTCTCCTCCACCGGCGGCGACAGCGATGCGTTCAGGCTGCTCCTCCTCGAGCCCTCTACGTCCCGCGGCGACGAACTCAGGGGATCCCTACGCAACACCACCCTTGCTGAGTGTGACTACGACCTGATCGACCCTTACACAGCCCTGTCTTACGTATGGGGCACGTCAGAAAGGGCATGTCGGATCCGACTCATCCATGACGGCGGCCATGGCAATCTCTTCGCCATCACCAAGTCGCTCGGCGACGCCCTGCGCGACCTGCGCGACCCCACGCGCGTGCGAAGGGTCTGGGCTGACGCCCTCTGCATTGATCAGCAAAACGTCGGGGAGCGCAACGCCCAGGTTAGCTTGATGGGGCGCATCTACTCGACCGCCCACAGCACCGTCATCCACCTCGGCAATCTCACGCCCGACGTCTCTGATGTGTTTTCCGTTCCCCGAGGTCTCGCCGCCGAGCCCGAGACAGATAACGGCGAAAGTACCGACGTCGCCGTGACACGAGCAGGAGGAGGGCCTTGGAGCCTACTGTCCAAAACGTGGTTCGAGCGGGTCTGGGTTTTCCAGGAACTTGTCCTGTCCAGAGATCCTTGGGTCCAGTGTGGCTGTAGACGAATACGATGGCGCGAGTTTTGTAACTACTTTCTGGGTCGCAGCCCGGGCGCGTCGCAAAGGGCTCACGGCGACGAGGAGAAGCAGCGCGTCATGGCGGATATGAACTCTAGCTGGGCTAGCAAGTCGAGGTTCCCTCTACACCGCGCCGTCAAGGCCCGCAGAGGCCTAGGCGCCACGAACCCGGCCGATTTTGTCTACGCTACTTTTGGCATCATCAGTGATCTCAATACTGTCGAACAATACCTCAAGGTCGACTACAACATGCCAGTTGGCCATACGTTTGGCAAAGTTGCACAGTACATGTTCTACCAGCTCGGCATTGAACAAATGATGTTTCACGTAGACGACGCTCCTGCTACCAAACGGATAGAGGGGCTTCCTTCCTGGGCACCGGATTGGACTCTTGAAGCTTCTTACACGAAGCGAAATCCGTTGTGCATGGTCAAGGACAACAGCCTGACCCACATCAGAGTGAAGGGAGTTCATCATGCTTTCACCCAGCCTGCGAACAGTGGCCTCCCGCACGTGTTGGGGCACATCGGCATGAGGGTGGCCACGATTCAACACGTCAGCTGTGTCGTGCCTTTTGGCCCGCAGAATTCGCACCTGACTGCAGAGTACGACTGCGCAAGAGCTGACTTGATGAAGTTGTACAGGAACGCTTACGGATCAGGAGACAGGTTCGGTCAGTATCGACACGTCCCGCTCAAGGGCAAGGAAGCTGAGCATGAGCATCTCTGTGAGGTTGTCGGTGGTACATGGGTCCGGGCATTTGAAAACTTTCATAGGCAGTCAACTCCCAATTGCTCATCGGGTGCTACTATCCCAAGCGCTCGCCAGCAACATGGAGAGACCAGATTTGTCGAAATTCTCTCGCAGTGGCTGGCATCAGAAGCGAGCAAGAAGCGCGAGTTCGTGGGCTCGGGCACCAGCGGCGTCATCAAACGGCTCTACGGCTACTTTGCCAGAACAACCGGCGATTCCGACCTCGAAGGCCGACGGCTGGCATCAACGGTGGGCGGCGGGATGAGTATCGTGCCGGCACAGGCTTCGCAAGGGGACGTCATTGCGTATCTCGTGGGCAGCGACACGCCCGTCTTGCTGCGCTCGTGGGATGCCGGGGCGCACGAGCGAGAGATTGAGTGTCTCTTGTTGGAATCGCTGAGGCGGCGTGGCTTTGGCGTCGTCACGATGACCAACGAGCAGAAAGAGCAGGAGTTGTGGAGGGTTCCTGAAGAAGGCGACGTCTCGATTGAGCACTTCTCAGTCATTGGGGAGGCGTATTTAGATGGACATGTGGGCTGGGCTTTGAGGTATCTGCCGAAAGAGTCTGACATGCGAGTATTTGCATTGCACTGAATAGGTAGAATGAGCAAGACTCTCTAGCAAGGAGCAGTGACGCTTACAGAAACGCAGACCACCACCAATAGTGTTGCAACGTGGTTCATTCGTATTATCATTAATTGCAAAGACCGGAATTTCAAGTTTACCAACTCCCGCTCAAAGAAATCCAGATCCAACATACAAAAACATCTGGGGGTATCGTAACATGAACAAACGCTCCACTTCCACCACGTCCCGGCAACGACCACATCGCCGCCACCGAGGACAACCTCCGCGCCGCGTCTTCAGCTCACAGCCACCTCCCAATGCGGAGCGTTCAGTATCAAAGCCATCAACGACCCCGAAAACAGCGCAGACACGGGAACGGTAACAAACCACCCAAAATAGATCCACGCCACGAGCCTCGGATTGATGGATCGCCAGTCCCCGTTCGCCAGCCCGACGCCGACCGTCGCGCCGGCAATGCACTGCGTCGTCGACACGGGCAGCGCAAGCTTCGTCGCCATCATCACGACAACGGCGCTCGCGAGCTCCATGCAGAAGCCCCGACTGGGCGAAATCAGCGTCAGCCGGTTCCCCAGGTTCCGCATGACGTGGTACCCGTACGTGAGCAGGCCCAGCACGATGGCCCCGCCGCCGAAGCAGAGGATCCACACCGGCACGCCGACCGAGGTCTTGATCCCGCCCGTCTGCCAGATCTCGTAGGCTGTCGCAAAGGGCCCGATGCTGTTGGCGACGTCGTTGGCGCCGTGGATGAAGCTCGCGGCGGAGGCGGTGAGGATCTGCAGGGAGCTGTACATGTACTCTGCGCGGTTGTCGTAGTGCGGCGCGCGGGCGTGCATGTCGGCAATGTCCCAGGAGAGGACGGCGGTGCGCTTCTGCATCGTGATGACGTCTTGCTCCAGGCCGCGGAGGAGGATGCGGTTGAGGCGCCAGGTGAGGACGGGGAGGCTTGTCCAGGGTCCTGCGGGGCGTGGTGGGATGTGTTCAGAGGAGGCGGAGTAGGACGAAGAGGAGGGCCGGCGGGTTTCTGTCAAAGCTGATGTTGTTGATGATGATGTCGTTGCTGGGGTTTGCGGTGGCGCGAGGACCGGCGGGGAGAGGATGGGTTGGTCGTCTTTGAAGAGGTCTGAGGGTGTCTGGCTACTTTGTATTGATTCGAGGAGCGTTTCCGAGGCCCTCATGTAGGCGAGCTCGTCGGCGGTGAGGTGGCCGCGGTAGTAGTCTTTGATGTTGACCCTTCGCACCCCGGCCGGGGGTAAGGGTGGTGGAGGCCGGTTGAGGAGCCAGGGGCCTCTCCACATCATGAGCCATGTCAGCTGCCAGTCCTCGTTCACGATTTTGCGCCAGAGGTAGGGCAAGAGGAAGAAGGCTTGGAGGAGCGTCGCGCCGGTGGCGACGGAGAAGACTGCAATGAGGACTTGCGTTGCTGTGAGTTCGACTTGGAGCTGAACGCCCTTCCAGGCCACGAGCACTGTACGGTTTATCAGTCAGTCTGTCTGATGGAAGACATCCCGCCTCGCGTTTGGGGTGTGCCACATGTGATGGAAACTCACTCGTCAACGAGCCAAACGTCAAAAAGGTGTAAAACGGAATCGTAAAGAAGGCGTTCCGCACAGCATTCGCCTTGGTCAGCACAAACCTCTTCGTGATGAGGAACATGACCGCCCCGAGCGCCCCGCTCAACCCCGGCGCGATGACCCACGCCGCAAAGACCTGCGAGACGCCGTCCCACCCCCAGCTGACCTTGGCGATACCCACGCTCGCCGTCGCGGCGCCGACGAGCCCACCGATGATGGAGTGGGTCGTGCTCACGGGCAGGCCGTTGCGGGTGGCGATGCTGAGGAAGACGGAGGAGCCGAAGATGGCGCACATCATGACGAGCAAGAGGACGCTGGGGCGGGAGGCGTAGAGGTGCGGGTCGATGATTTTGTTGCGGAGGGTGTCGGATACGCGGGAGCCGACTGCTACGGAGCCGGAGAACTCGGCGACAGCGGCGATGGCCATGGCTTGTTTCATGGTTAGGGAGCGGGAGGAGACGGAGGTTGCAAAGGAGTTTGCGACATCGTTTGCGCCTGGGTACACGTAGTGTGTCGTTTGTTAGTGTGGGAAGCTTTGTGAAGCCAACCGATGTTTTGGAGTAGAGTCTGCTACCGCATAGATGGGTGAGACATACCAATGTTCCATGCGTCGAGGAAGGAGAAGATTGTGGTGATGGCGAAGATGTAATCATATTGATGTAGCGCGGCAGCCATGGTAGCTCGCCGGGGTTCGGTAGCTCACTTGTGGAAGCGGTCCGGGCTATGGGCGCAAGTACGCAATCGGGCCCAATTCAGGGTGATGCGGTGTCGTCGTCGGCTCCGGGATCTTCGGCGGAGTTAAGTTCTGCAGACATGATGTACTAGGTCGATCTCATGCTGGAAGACAACGACACTGGACTTGCTAGTTTATTCAGCGGGGACGTTGAAGATTCACAAAGAAGGCTCGGCCGTGGGTAAGACAGGAAGAGAGAGAGAGATAGACAGAGCAGATTCTGGTTGCCCATGCCGATTATCATGCTGCTCCGGGAGCCGGGGTGAGACTGTTATATGGCATCGCCTGGCCGTAAGCCGAGATCGAAACGGGACTGGTTCCGCGGCTGCAGCCCTTTCGCACCACACGGGGATCCGGGCAGGAGCTGTGTGCCTGGCCCGTCGCAGGGTCAGCTTGGTTAGTTTCCCATGTCTGTGGTAATTTTTCAGGTTTCGTGGGACGAGGCAGCGCTCGGCTGGCAACTTTTCCATCGAACTGGGGCGAGGCTTTCCTGTCCCGGGACTGAAGCACGAGGCGGGGGGAACGTCAACGACAGGACGTATGGGGATCCTTCGGGTGGTCCCTCCTGAGTTCTCCACCACCATCTTCGAGATCGTTGGCCAGGGGTTTGTGACGGACGGAACTGGCGGATGCGGCGACAGGCTCGGGACGCATCTCGTTGTGTCTCGTTGTGGACACCGATTGACATGCAAGGCATTAGTTCCTCCACGAGTTCTCGCTCTCCTAACTCTGCGTCTTCAAGACCGAGCTTTACGTGATATCAGGGCCAAGACATGTCAGCCAGAGGCAATTGCGAGAGCCAGACGCTCGTTGAAATTGGGCAGAAGGGGGAGCTGCGAAGCTGATGATGGATGCTTGGCGACGTTGAATTGGGGAGCCAATCCGCGGCCTGAATTCGAGCACGGTCTTCAATGGTTCGAGGACGTTTACGCCCCACCACCAACGTCGCCTGCCGATGTGGCGTTTTTATTTCTGAGGACTGCCCTGATTATCCTGCAAAGCATCCGGATTGTCAGCCTTTTTATCATTCGTGTTCACTTCTCAGCGCTTCTCAGGGCGGCTGTGTTTTGGGTTCATCCATTGCTGTATTGGCTTGATTGTCTTGAGCGGCGATGATTCCGGACGGTTGTTCGGAGTGGGGTACCGGCCCGGAGCGCCGTCCAAAGTAATGGGGCCGGTATCCACCTGATGGCTGGTTCCGGCTCTGAGCTTAGGGGTTGTATCCGTACCCAGGCTCAATTGGACTCGAAAGAATTACAGCTTTCAAGGTGTATTTCGAGTCACTTGGCAGTCCGTGGGATGAAGACAGGGGCGTTGCCAAGCACTGAGAAAGAGCCGCTGACTGCGCTACCATTTCGGTTGCAGACGCGCCTCGAGATGTGAACTCCCCAGAAATTTCACAGCTTCTTCACCGTTCTCATCTTCAACACGTGGTGGCTTGGAACTAGTGCTATGCGGCCCCCACGCTCGGTGAATGCTTTTTGTCAACCGCCGCTCGGCGCTAACGACTTATCGGGAGCTACTAACGTCGTCAGTCTACATGATGATCGGGCTGGGGTTCGCAACGCCTTGCCTTGAGGACGGTAGGATTACATGTGAGTGGCATTGATCAATATAGCCTGCTGTGATTTCTGCTCCATTTTAATCGTCAATCTTCAGGGAGGTCGCATGGGGGGGAAGTCCAACCCCGAATCGTACTGAGTGATCAATACTAAAGCATCGAGTCGTTCGGGGTTTTGGTGTGAATTGAGACGGGGCAACCATTGGCACGTTGGTTATCATTTACACCGTTAGGAAATTCCGGATTTGCATAAGGTGTGGACCACCAGCCTCTTCTCCCTCCAGCTGCCATCGCTCCTAAATTTGCTGAATGTGACTCTCGGGCCAACTATGTTGACTTGGCAACGATAATAGAAACCACAGAACTGGTGTTCGCGTCTAGTGGTTCCAATCCTGTCTATTGCAGCATTTCAAGAGGCAGGCTGCGACTTGGCAAGCATCAGAAGCTTCCATTGAAGACGTTCCCCACAGGGTCAGATAAGGATGATCATTGTCATTTTATTATTCTCCAGTGCAGATGAACACCAGCTATAGACTGCCCTGATACCACTCAAGTGCAGCCGCGCTAATTTAACACTTCAAAAATCGCATTCCAAATCTTCTATTATCATTGATACTTGTCCACAAAGTCATGTCCAAATTCTGCAATATCATAAGCTGATAACCCCTCCGGGCCTTGGCCGCCTCTCTGAAGGCGTCCTTCCCGAGCCTCACGGTACCGTTTTATCTACGCTTCGGATTACCTACTCCAACATCAGAACAGACATGCTCGCAGCTTTGAAAATATCCCCGCCTGCAGCTTCATTAATACGGAGCGTCAGGTAGACTCATACCGCATACTATCATCAAAGAGGTCGCCAGCGCTGATATATTGAGCATAGCAAAGACAAAATCTATAGAGTTGGGAAAGCTGATCTAGTCGAGTAAGGTAAGAGGATCTACCGTCAAGAGGGGAAATATCGACTTGATTTGTATTACCTTGTCCTTTCCGACCGAAGTAGACGCATAAGGCTTCTGATATGTCAGCTTGGCGCAAGGCCAGGATCCGGTACCGATAGTCGGTTTTTCGAACCCTCTGTTGCAGCACGTGGAGGAGATTTCAATGGCGCTCAAGGTAACCCAGCCCTTCTCTATACCCAGTTTCTTACAAGCGGCCGCAGAAAAGCCGTTTTAGTCGCATTGTAAATACTTGATTATCTAAACTACGCCTGGAAACTTATCGAGGCTGAGGTACTTGCAGCCCATGTCAAAGTACCTATAATTAGATAGAGTAATCAGGCAGTTAAAGTATTTGTTTCCGTTGCCCTTTTCAATCAACAGCCAAAAAGGAGTCCAGCTACGACCCGACACTATCCTTAACCCTTCAACGTCTTGTGATTGGTGCTAATTGCCTCGATAATATTGCCGAGACCCGAAAAAGCCCTCTCTTTGGCGGGCACTTTTCTCGTTGTTGGACGAGACCTTGGCGTAGTCTTCATCTTCAGCAATGGCAGCTGACCGACTCCATTATAGATTGAACCGTAAAAGAGGGCCTGTTGGATGGATTGACCGGTCTCTTCTCCTTCAACTACGACTACGACCATTGCGAGGAGGACGCGTACGTCTACACAAAGTCTGCTTGTGCGTCAGCGGCGGAGCTCAACGTTGTGACCAAGTTTGGGGTGGATGGAGGTGGTGCTGCGAAGGATAAACATAGTCTCGAGTTCGAAGTGTATGATATTGTAGTCGGCTTTTTGAGTGAGCCGGTACGCATACAAGCCTACGTCTTGGAATCTACTGAATAACGAGAAGAAGAAGAAGCTGGTTGGCACTGAAAATTCAAAGAGCGCCAAGATGCAGGACGAGGGAAAAGAAGACTTACAACGACTCCAAACAAACTTCATCAGAGTACCTATCCCTGAGGATGAACAGGCCCAGGAGAAATCTCGAGTTTTGAGCAAGATGGACGAGTTCTGGGTTGGGACTGCCCTGCATAGAACATCCGATAATGACTTTTCTCATTGTTGAATGATCAACCGCTATGCGTACGAGATGGTGTCTGTAGAAAGTCTCCCTGATGTAAGTAGACCTGGTTTCCTGGATGCTTAGAAAAGGAAATAAGCTGTCACGATTGTCTCTTTTCGGAGGAATCTCTCATGATAAAGTCACATGCTCTTGCTCATGAAAGGAGTAATGTGTTGAATTTTATATGGAATGTTTCACCGGCTTCCTAAGGACATGTAGAGACCACATGCCGTCTTTCTCTTTTACTATAATCAATGATCATTTACCCGATACAAGATAAGCTGCTAGGAGCATTCGCTTGCGATGAAACTTGGACCTTGAGGATCGTGCTGTTCTGATGAAACCCACACCAAGCCATAACGACTTTGTGGCTTCCTCAGCCCTTGTAGAGGCATTGAACCCATGCTACTTCAATCTATCGAGATGCTGGCTTGTTAAATCATCAGGCCGGGGCTAAAATGGCAGCCGGCTAAGGCGTTGGCTTCCATCTTTCCCTAGGACTGAATGGCTGACAATAGGCCTTGAATGTAGGCCGTACAGCTTGGTTTCACCACACACACATATATATTGTGTGCACCTTTTGTGACCTTTTGTAACCTTTACAGGTATGTGGTTACAAATTTCGGTTTCTCCCCGGTCGTCGTGATCTCACGGGTCCTCACTCCCGTGACTGATTTTCACCAAGACAACGGATTCCAAAAGCTTAAACGCCACAAGACCAAACATTTAGCCGCTGCCATTCTCTCTCCCTCTCTCCATAAAATGCCGATTGAGTCCCTGATTCCTGCTATTTCTCATCCGTAGCTTTACCTCAAACAAACACACCTCACTTTCTGGCGTCCATCTCACTTCCGTCTGCAACTGCTGCTGGTCACTTCCTCTCCACTTACACCTTTCTCATTCCAAATCTCTGTCCCCTCCACGAAAGGCCCAAGATCAATCGCAGCTTCAACTTTCCTCTTCAAAAAACCCAGCTCAACCACCACTAAAATAAGCAAGATGTCCTGTACCGGATTCGCCTGCTCCTCTGCCTCTAAAGTCATTAACAGCCCCAAAGTCACTGTCAGCCGCAGATCAGTCAATAGACGTTCTGTGCCCAATGAAGTCAGCGCCAAACGCCAGAAGAAACAGCCTAGAGACCAGTTCTCCATTTTCTGTGATGAAGATTCCGAGCAACAATCTCAACAAGGCAGTGGCAATATCAACATCCAATACGAGGGCGGCAGTATAACAGTCCCAGCTTTGAGAGGAACTGTCGGAATACTTCGTCAGCGATCTTCCAACATCATGGGCAGAGCCATCGATCACAATAGATACTCTGGCCAACTGCCCGTTGTCACCAACCAGCCAGATGAAAGCGTTTTTCACCTTCTTCATGTTGATCCCGATGTGTACGACGCAGTAGAAGACCGCACGGTTGAGCAAAACCAACGCTCTGCTCGCTATCTCTTAGTAGAGCACGCTCTCGACCAGCTTCACTGGCCTTCCATCTATGAAGACCGACTCATTCTTCGGGAGATCGTGGGACTACTGGACATGCGCCGCCAGGAGCTCTTGGAACACGGCATCAGCGTCGACGAAAAGTGGGACATCTTCTATCAACCAGAGACCTCGTGGGATATCGAGGATGTTGCGTTAGCAGCCATCTGCACCTTTGATTACCTATTTCTCCTTCGCGCTATTGAAGCCACTGATGCACTCGCTCAATCTATATGGTTTAGCAACGATGAAGAAGAGGTGACAAACTCGGAGAACATTCCTCCCGTGGACTTGTGGTGCAGATGATGGAGTGGGAGAGAAAGCTATTGGGTAGTACTTGCTGGGAGGGTTAGACTATTGGGCAGAACAAAGCCAGGTGCTCAAGTCCTTCAGTCTTTGCTTTCTACGGAGCTCGGTATTCTCAAGATATCACAAGGGCCATATGAGACATGAGCAATGAGACATGATTGGATGAGCAGGCGGGGGAACTTGCATGGAGCGATTGGAATCACTTGGAGTTTTGGAGCATTCTATAGCATCCGGCTTCCGATGCATTTATGACGTCGGAGTTTATCGACGCATTAATCAATTGATTCCTCCATGATTCGGGAGCTTGCTGGTTTGTGTTGAACGAGGTGAATGGATGTCTGAGTTGTCAAGTGAGGTGAAGTTGAAGCTCCAGCTCATGAGACATTCTTCCGTCCTATCTGGGCAGGAAGTGCAGACAGTACGTATCTTTAACAGGGCCAAGCGCCGATGCTCCTGAGGACCCCGCACTAGGCCCGTTTGGGCAAAGATCGCGTACAAACCCCCATCCTGGAAATTGATGCTACCTAATTATTGTTTGCCATTGTTTTGTGAGGGGGACGAGCTTCGCAACCCCGCCAAGTCCTCCTTGTCCGGCTTCACCAACTTCATCCCAGCGTTCTTGTCCGTATAGATTCGGACCTCCAGCGGTGGCCATAGTTCCAAGTATTGATTCTTCTCTGTGATACCCAAGTCTTTCTTCATTATTCCAGAGTACGTATTCCTCTTTTATCCTCAATGCATCCCAGTGTCACCTCATGTAATTTGCCCCGCCTTGAATTTCACTGACCGCCTCCAACAGACCCAAAGTCAATCGCAAAATGGCGGACAATAAGGTCTATCGCGCCAGCACCACGGCGCCTGTCAACATTGCCGTTGTCAAGTACAATACTCTGCTGTATCTTCATACATTTCAATACTAATCACCACAGGTACTGGGGCAAGCGCGACCCGAAGCTCAACCTCCCCACCAACAGCTCCCTCTCCGTCACCCTCTCCCAGGCCGACCTCCGGACCCTGACGACCGCATCCTGCTCCGCCTCCTACCCCGATGGCGACAGCCTCATCCTCAACGGCGAGGCCTCTGACGTCTCGGGCGCCCGCACACAGGCCTGTTTCCGCGAGCTGCGCGCCCGCCGCGCCGCCCTCGAAGAGCAGACCCCTTCCCTCCCGAAGCTCTCCACGTTGCCCCTGAAGATCGTCACCGAGAATAACTTCCCCACCGCCGCCGGACTCGCTTCCTCGGCCGCTGGCTTCGCCGCCCTCGTCCGCGCCATTGCCGACCTCTACGAGCTCCCCGAGTCTCCCTCCGAGCTGTCCCTCATCGCGAGACAGGGCTCCGGCTCCGCATGCCGCAGCCTGTTTGGCGGATACGTCGCGTGGAGGATGGGCGACAAGGCGGACGGCACGGATTCCAAGGCCGACCTCGTCGCCGAGGCGTCGCATTGGCCCGAGATGCGCGCCCTGATCCTCGTCGTCAGCGCGGCCAAGAAGGGCGTCTCGTCGACCTCGGGTATGCAGCAGACGGTTGCGACGTCGGGCCTGTTCAAGCAGCGCGTCGCCGAGGTCGTGCCGAAGCACATGGGCGAGATGGAGGAGGCCATTGCCAAGCGCGACTTTGAAAAGTTTGCCGAGGTCACCATGCGCGACTCCAACTCGTTCCACTCCTCGTGCGCCGATACGTACCCTCCCATCTTTTACATGAACGACGTCTCGCGCGCCGCCATCCGCGCCGTGGAGCAGATTAACGCGGCGGCCGGAAAGACCGTTGCTGCGTACACGTTTGACGCCGGCCCGAATGCCGTTATTTACTACCTCGAGGAGAACGCGGCCGCCGTCGTCGGTGCTTTCTCTCCCATTCTGGGATCCGTCGGTGGCTGGAAGGCGGGCGTCGAGAGTCTCGAGTCCTCTGTGGCCCTGGACGAGACTGTCGCCGGCATTCTCCAGAGCGGCGTTAGCCGTGTTATTCAGACTGGCGTTGGTGAGGGCCCGATCAAGTCGGACATCTACCTCGTCGGCGAGGATGGTGAGCCGGTCAAGCCATGAACCGCTCAATGCATTTTTGGCGACATCTAGACGAAGATAAGCTCCAAGCTGCTCAAAAGTTCTCTTTATGCGTATAGAAACATCTAATTCAATACCAAGTCGAATTTCTTGCTAGTCTCGATTCCTGTAATTACGAGAATCACTGCTGAGGATGACTTTGCATCATGCTTACCGCTTGTAAGTAGCTTGGATATCCAGCTTCAATGATTTCAGCCATGTAGCACGACGAAAAGTTTCTGAGCATCAGGAAGCCAATAAGAATGAGCACCAGCGACAAGGTAACTACGGCGAAGGAAATGCGACTTACCCGAGAGACTATATTTGGAGAGGTTGCTGAAAGACTTATTTCAAGGCCAAGGGTACTCCTGTTAAGAACCTCAAAACTGTGATCCACTTTTCTCATTCACGTCTCTCTCACACCTTCCTGCCACATCTCTCTTGTCCCTGGCCAACCCCTCTGCCAGAGTACCAAAGCAGACAACAAACCACCCACACGCAAAAATGGCAGGGTCTGAGAAAAAAGAAGTCATTATTGAAGAACGAGATGGAATCGGCAGAATCACCCACCGCTGGCTGCACAACACCACCTCGCAAAAAATAACCCCGGTGCGCCCAGCTCACCACAACACCCTTCCCACCCTCACCACCGCCCTCACAACCTCCACGACGACCGGGCTCGCCAACATGCGTCAGATCCTCTACGACGCCTTCCTGCCCATCGGCTATCCGGACTCGGTGACCCCAGACTACCTGGGCTACCAGACCTTTGACTCCCTCCAGGCCTTCTTCTCCACAATCACCGGCCTCCTCGCCAACCGCGCCATCCTCCAAGGCCTCGGCGTCGGCGACGCGGACTCGTCCGCCACCTACGCCCTCCTCCTGACCATCCTCAAGGACGGCATCTCCCGCGTCGCCACAATCGTCTTTGCCTACCGCTTCGGCCTGGTCATTGAGCCAGAGTGCAAGAGATACCGCTTTCTCGCTGATATCTTCAACGACAGCGCCTTCTTCCTCGACCTCTTCAGCCCCTACTTTGACCCCTGGACCAAAGTCCTTGCCCTCGTCCTCGCCGAAGCCCTCCGCGCAATGTGCGGCGTCGCCGCCGGCGCCAGCAAGGCCGCCCTCTCCAAGCACTTTGCCCGCCGCAACAACCTCAGCGAGCTCAACGCCAAGGAAGCCTCCCAGGAGACTGCCGTCGGTCTCGTCGGCCTGCTCGCGGGCTCTGTGATTGTGCGCTACGTCGAGAGCCGAGAGGCCGTCTTCGCGCTCATGGTCGCGCTCGTGTTTGTTCACCTCGGCATGAACTATCTCGGCGTCCGCTGCGTCCAGCTCAACGTCCTCAACCAGCAGCGCGCCACGATCCTCTTCAAGCACTATATGCAGACGAAGCGCGTGCTCTCCCCCGCCCAGGTCGCTGCACGCGAGAACATCATCTTTTGGACGCCCATTGTCAAGGACCAGCGCGGACAAGTCATCACCAAGATTGGCTTCGCCAAGAGCTACGCCCATGCGATGACCGCGGACCTCAAGAGCGCCCGCGTCCGCTTCGTTACGCCCACGTGGGAAGGCGGCCAGCATCAGAAGTCTATGGGGCGGCAAGGCCAGAAGGCCCTTCCGGGGTTTGTTCTCTGCATCTGTGAGAGAGGAGACATCGCCACCGTTAGGATCCTGCTTCTAGGAGACCACTCCCTTGCCGAGGCCAACGACCTGTCCACCCTCACCGCGTGGTACTACGCCACCATGCTCGCGCACGACAGAACTCTGGCGGCGAAAACTGGCACCCGGAAGCTTCTCCTGGGCGCCATTTCCGTGGACGAGATTGAGATGGGCGACGGCGTCGAGATGCTGGACTTGCAGGCGCTCGAGGAGGCGGGCTGGGATGTCAAGGAGGCCAACCTGGACGCCTTTGCTCCGCGTATCAGCAGCAGTGGAGTCGAGGAGAAGAAGAAGGAGCTGTAGGCTCGTGGGATTTGCGGTGACTTGTAAAGGGGGAACATGGGTCAAGGACAATTGGCGTTTGGGATGGACGAGACGCATGAAAATGTGTGCTTTTTCTGATGATACCAGCGGCCCCTCCTTTTTTTCCATCTGAGGCTGTCGCTTTTCGCGAGACAATTCAATGCGATGTACTTTACACTTTCCTCATGGTGGAAGCTGATGCTGCATCAATCGAGCAACTGCCCATGAATCTGATCGAGAACAGCTGTGATGAGAAAGATGAAACTTTTGCTAGTTAAGTTTTCTATCCATTGTTTTTCCTCAAAGGTTAGTCAGTCGATCGACCTCCCTTTCCTTGTTCCCATGTTCCAATGTCAAAGATCACACTGTATGAACACAGAGTGATCATAGTAGTGGAAACCCCAACGTATCGGAATGCTGTGAAGAAGACGGTATCGTCACCATCCAACATAATCAGTGCTTCTTGAAAAGGAGGTGATTCTTCCCATGGACGACCGGTTGCAATTACAAAACCATGTCAACACCTTTAGTCATTGTCGTCGGGGAAGATATGAGAAGAATTGAGTACATTTCTGCTGGTCCCTGATACGCCTGCCAAGGCGGCTTCGACCTCTCGAAGCCTAGTCTACATCCCTCGGGCAATGTTCTTCCCGCACGATACATGCGGCAGTCCCCAATGCTGCAAACATTTATACACTATCACACATCTTGATACATTCTCAACCGCCACCGTCGCCCACTCGCAAAAGTCGGCAGGTACACCAATGGGCTACACAAAGACATCCAGCACCTCGCTCTACCCTTCCCATATAAAAAAGGTACCAAGCCAGAGACTCCGCAAGCAAGGGGGGGGGGGGGGGAGGCCTTACCTCAGGCCAACCCAACACCCCTCAGAGCCCTCATCTTGACGCCCTCCCAACTATTCAGCTTCGGCCGCACGTCGAGGTAGAAGCTGGGCTTGCCATGGGCGTCGGGCCGCCCAGCGTAAAAGTCAATCACGTACTCGACCTGCACGCCGCAGCGGTCGACGACCCAGTCGTGGCGGTCAAAGGGCGGGGTGTAGCCCAGCAGGGTGTTGACGCGCGCCTTGGGCGACATGTTTGTGCTGAGGCCGAGGAAGGAGTGGAGTTTGGGGCCGTCGCAGCTATGGCTTCCCTGTTAGCTTCTCATTGCTTTTTTTGTGCGTGGTAGATTTGAAATGGCCTGGAGGGTGCCGAATCGAGTCCACGGGACAGGGACAGAAAGGGGGGGGGAAGGGGGGGAAGGTGACCTACGCTGTGCCCTCGAGGTAAGGCGCCTCCCATTCTTTAATCTCCTTCCACGCCCTCTCGTTGACGGCGTTGTGGATCGGCACCACGGTCGCCATGTCCGCTGCGCGGGTGTCGTGGCCCTTGCGCTTCATTGCGTCAAAAAACATCTTTTGGGACGGGTATATCCAGTTGCCCGTCGCCTCGTCCGCGCCCGTCTCCTGCTCGTGGTTGGAAGGGCGGCTGGTGCCCGGGTACGCCGACGTCGCTGTCCGGGGGATCGTCGAGACCTCGCGGTCGGTATCTAGGCCCGGTTTCGTTCCCGCGGCGGGCGGTTGGTTCGACGTGGCCGTTGGTGTAGGTGCTGCCGAGGAGGTGAAGGGGATGTAGGACTTTAGAGACTGCGTCCATGATCGCGAGGGTTGTGGTGATGATGGCGCGGCTTCAGGGGTCTGGTGGGGGTTGGCGGGTAGGTCAGAGGGTGGTGATGGGTGAGGATTTGAGGAGGCGTTTGCGGCGGAGGCGGCTCGGGCTTGGGCGAGCCATGCTTCGCGAGATTTGTGGTCTACGGGACACACTTCGGCGCCGGCGTCGGCGGGGCCGGCGGGAGGTGCTGTCGCGGGGGCGTTCGTGGATGGTGGCGGCGTTGAGGAGGAGGAGAAGGGCGTCAGAGACAGCAGAGACTGCGTCCAGGATGAAGACTGCGTGTGCGGCGATTGTGGTGATCCCGCTTGGATTGGGGGGGTCGGATGCGGCGGGTGAGGAGGATGCGCTCCGTCCGGGTTCGCGGCGCGGGCGTGCTGGAGCCAAGCTTCGCGGGCCTTGTGGTCGACGGGGCACGTCTCGGGTGCCGCGCCGTTGCTGGAGTCGGACATTGTGTGGTGGTGGTGGTGGGTGTCGTAGTCGATTGCGACTGAGGAGGGTATCGGAGCTGAGGGTTGCGAGCGGGTTAGGAAGACGAGGTCTACGAGGTCGGCGTTCATTTTTGGACGTTTTTTTTGGGGGGGGCGGTTGAATAGGGATGGTGATGTTCATACCAGTCAGAGATATACAAGAGCTGAAATCCTCGAGGAACCAGGAGGCGAAGAGATTCGACCCTTTTGAACCCCTCGATGGGTTTTGGCAGCGTGACGGGTAACCAGATGCGGGAGCGGGGGGGGGGGGCCTAGATCCAGAACCCGGGGATAAGGTTGCAGTGGTGTTTCTTTCTTTGTTTATTTAAATTTTGCGGCGTCGTAGTGGAGAGGGGATTTGCGACGGAAACCGCATCGAATCTCTGCGTTGGCGGCGTTGGCGGCGTTGGCGCAGCGTGCGAGAAGGACGCGTTCGTTTCCGTGATTCTTGGCTGGTTTCGAGATGGGGGTAATCCCTTTCCTGCGACGAACGGGATGCAACAACTTTTTTGGTGGAGACGTCTTGTGTGGTTGCCATGCGCATCTGTTAATTTTTATTTTGGGATGATGTGATTGATGTCTTTTGATTGGGCAATCTTTGACGGGGGACGGTATATCGGGTGGTACCGATGACGCCGGGATAGCTCCTTGGCCGTGGCAGCTCTGGCGGGATGATGTGTCAGCGAGATCCCGAGCTGCTGGTTCCCTCGATCCGAAGTTTAACCGAGAGCTGTGGCTCGAGCTGAAGCTATGTGGCTGGTGCTATTGCACAGACCAGCACGCCGCCGGCGTCAAGCGCGCCTCGAACCACTGTACTTTGGTACCTCGGGGGGCTTATTTAGCTGACGTTTTGCGAGTCGGCTACCTCGGGAAATGACGGAAGCGGGAGCTCAGGGAAACAATCGGATGATGTTTTTTTGGGGTAAACGTCCAAGTTACGTTTTTGCTGCTCACCTGCCTCTAAAAACGAACGAGCCGACAGCTTTCCCCATGGGCCAAGGGAAAGTCAAACGTGGCACGTTTCCCCAAACGTCCCGGAGCTACGGACGCAAGGTGCGCTTCTCCAAGCTGCAGGAAGAGCCTATCACATGCGGGCCCAAGCAAGCCAACTGCGTCTCTAAAGCATTGGTTCGCAGTTCCGAGAAATGGTTACATTAGCTGCTTTGCTTACCTTCCTCCATGATCGTAGAGGGCAGCTTCACATGGGAATTTAGTTGGGCTCGGCCCGGGGCACGTGTAAACGATAAATCTCCGGGTGAGAGAGAGTGAGATCTGGTCAAGGCACTGAAAGTAGCTTTTATGCACTAGCTCTGTTGGTGTGTGTGTGTGTGACGAGCCTAGACTATCGGTACAGGATTCTGACACTCGGGAAGAGGAGTTGATGTCGACGTTCCAGGGAAAGTCAAATACAAGGAACCGTGGAAGACAAAGAAAGAGGCAGGTCTTTGCCGCCTACGTCCGGGTGGGTGTTGAAAATACCCCAGCAAACTCCCACAGCATCCCAGCAAAGCTCCTAACTGGACAGCTGAGGAAGTGTTTCCGCCCTTGACCACCTTTTGTCGCTTGCAATGAAGATCACGAAGCCGCCGTAATAACTCTCCTGATAACTTTTTCCCTTGCCATGGTCCCGGGGGTCCATGACGAATCAATATTGCCGACTGTTCCGTGTCCTGCCGAAGGCCCCAATCCCGGGGGCCTTTTTCCGTTGACGAACGGACGAACGGGGGGTTTAGGTCCTCCGTCATGGTAGTCTCGTCGTTTCGTACACACGTTGTCATCGCCTTGTTTTGTGAACCCCGCCAACTCTCCCCTTCTCTCTCGTCCGCCCTCGTCGCTCATATTTTTTCGTAGTCCAGCCCGCGGATGTCATGGTCATGTCTCCCCAAACTTCCTCTCTAAAATTGCTCGTGAGGAGGGGAAGATGGCGCGTTCCGTTTTCCGGCATCAGGTCGATTTTCACGTTCAGCCAAAGAGGGCAGCGCCGCCAGACTCGACAGCTTCGATCTCGGCCAAGTCGAGAGGCTGGCGGCGGAAACGGGCGGGGAGCTCGGAGCGGTCGAAAGCGACACCAGAGGGAGGGACGACGGAGCCAAGCTGGTGGCCGGTGGAGCCGCCTACGCCGGAGCCGATGGTGCGCTGGAGAGGACCATGCTGCTGGGCGTGGTCGCGGTAGGTGCTGAAGCTGGTGTGCTTGGGGGAGGCGGAGCCGCTGCCAAAGTTGGCGGGCAGCTTGCCGGTGGGCGAGGCCGGGTGAGGGGCGGGGCTGTGGTCGATGGAAGCTGGCGGTGATTGTTAGCATCGTGGGAGAGGCAGAGAGAGGTGATGAGCAAGGTCTGGAGGGCAGTGGACGTACAGGGAATGGAGCGGCGGCCGAGGAACCTGATGCTCGGGGTACGCTCGGCGTGGGCGGCGGCCTGGCGGAGGACTCTAGTAGCGAGCATTTTGGAGGATATATAAAAGAGTCGAGTGGAAAAGTAGTTGAGGAATGTGTTGGAGTGGTGAACCCGAGAGTGTCCAAAGGTCGTTCGTTGATAAGGGGTGGGTGGTGGACCGAAATATATGTAGGAAGGAAAAGAAGACGTGGGTTGGTTGAGCTCTCTCCTCCTTGCCTGTGATGATAAAGCTGCGTGTGTGCGGTGCGCGCTAGCGACGGGTATCAAGGTGGTATAAACTTTTAGGCGCCTGTGGCTGTTGTCGAGATTTTATGGTATTTTGTTTAGGTGGGTTGAAGTGCAATTGGGTGTCTGACGCGTGGCAGGACTTTATCAGCAGGGAGGAGAGCGGTCTGGTTGGTTTTTGGATTGAAGGAGGGAAGAAGTAAAGTGAGGAGAGGGAAGAGAGAAGGTCAGGCGGGAGGAATAGATGATGGTGTGGAAGGCAGGCACGTCTTATTTCAGCATGGGGAATTTTCTTCACAGGCCGAGAGACACCGCGCCGCCTCCGCCGCCGGCCGTGCCCGCCTGTTTCTGAGGTACTCTGCTGGCGGCGTCTGGTTTTTTTTTTTTTTTTCTCTTTTTTTTTCGCCTGTGTTGCAACGCTCGGTTGGGGATTAGCAGTGGGTTCACTGGGTTGGGTGTCACTGCACGGGCTGTCCACCTCAGCCAGAAGGGCGGCTTCGGGAGGAAAGGCGACAGGGAATGGACAGGGAGACAGGGGGTGGCTGGCCGAGCTAGCGGTGCATGGTGGTAATGGGTGGTGGAGGAAGAGGAGTACCTATTAGGAGGAGCATGAGGACGAGGATGAGGCCGATGAGCACAGGATGAGGGCTGCAATGAGGAGGGGGAACGGACGACGGGGGACAGGGCACGTTGAATCTTGTTCATGTCTTAGCGCGCCAGCCCCGAAACCCGAGCCTCGGGCAAAGGTTCCCGTCAAACGGGCAAATCAGTCCTCGAGGACTCGAGTTCCCAGAGACTATGGACATGGTGTCTCGAGTTGAAAGCCCCGAGGAGACTCTCGGTTCGGCTGAGGAAGAGTTGCCATTTTCTCTTACAAGTTGTCACAGCTCCATCACCACCCTCTACACCAGATTCTTCACCATCATTCCCGTCGACAACAGACACGTGGGATCTCCTCTTTAGTTGAGTCTCTCGCAACATGACCCAGTGACACTCGAAATCGTACAAACCTACTGTTCTACCCATCGTCCAGCGTGCTCCTCCCCCGTTTCAGGCAATCTCCACAACCCCAAGCGTCCCCGACTCCTCCCCAAGTTCCAACGTCGGACCGACCACGCCATTCCCAGACCACCTGCAGGAGTGCAGGCAGGCATTGGACGCCGTCCACGTTTGGGAACCCCGAACGCGTGGGAATCCAACGTCCCCGGTCTTTCACTTCCTTGTCGTCGAATCTCCAGTTTCCAGTTGCTCAAGACAAACATCTAAACATGATTGACATTGAAGATACCTACACACCAACTGAACAAGTGAGTTGCAATGTCAGGCCGTCACACCACTCTTCAAAAATGGTCTTTAGTTAATGAGCAAATGCCCCTCCTCATGCTCCCTCCGCTCTTTAGCATAGTCTACCTTGTAAGGTAGGTTTAGTTCCTCTATCCGCCTCGAACGGTGACGGGACCTCAGTGACAGGCCACCGCCGCCGCCGCCAGCCAGTGGCCATAATGCGGGACACATTGATTTTACATGTGAATTGCGCCTTATCTCTGAGCTCCCGGTCATGGTACTGGAATCGAACCACCTTCCCCTCCTCCTCCTCATCCACCCCATGCAGAGTCTCCATGTCCCCCTCTTACAGAGACAATGGGAACCACACACACACACACACATACATACATGAACAATTCAATCAAGAGTCGGATATCCGTAAGTATTCAGAATGAAAGGCACCCGTCTCAGCTTTGGGGATGGCCTTGGGGATGTGTTTACAATGTCGTCTCTTGTGTATAGTCTGTTTCTTGGCAACGGCAACTTCGCAAGTAACTACCTTAGCAAGGTAGGGACTTGGCGTGGCCCAGCGCAAATACCACCCGTCGGACAAAGTTTGTCACAATCGTAGCATCGCAAACCCGGTCTTCTGAGATGCAATCTACATTGCAGCGTACGACCTGGGGCAATAAGCCCTGAGAGGCTCCAGGGCCAAGACAATTCGTCCGACCTTTTGCGCGAGCGAAACCGAGCTCCAGTGGTCACCCTTGAACTTCCCCAGACTCTTTGCACAAGCCGAACCTGGAGATTAGACTTTTTTGCGACTCTGCAATGTCTCTCTTTCTATCCCTGGGCCCGAGTCCCTCCATTCCCAGAAGATGCCTGCCTACCTACTGATACTAGTGCCTACTACTCAGTGCTGTGCGACCTGTATGCAAACTACCTAATCAACCACAGCTGCCGCGGCGTCCGGCGGTGTCCCGCGGCGGTCGGCGTTCGGGAATTTTAGCCCAACGGCAAAGCCTGCCTAGGAGATCACCATCGCCCGGGGGGGGGGGGGGGGGGGGGGGGGGGAGGGGGTGGCGGGGTGGCAGGTCAGGACGGGAGTAAAGATTGCTGTAAAGTCGTAAATGTAGTGTGTTGGCGGGGGGGGGGGGGGGTAAAAGGATGGTGATGTGAACAAGGACGCCCATTGGCAGCCTAACAGCATTATCAATCAACTTATGAGATCGGAGAACGGTTCGCGAGATCACTACCCCATCCCGGGGGAACCGGCGATACGCGAAACGGGGAGAACTGGAAGAAGAAAACGAAGAGACAAGGACCCGAACAAGCATTCGTCTCATCGTCTTCCAAGTTGACCTCCGCCTACGCTTCCATGTTCTCACGATCCCGGTCCATCCACACCACCCGCGAAACCTCTTCACTCCGAAAAGGGACAGAGGAAACGTCGACGGAGATGTGCGCGCTGCATCGAACGATTCTGCGGGCGACCGGGACCGATGTCGAACCCAGCCATTGGGTGCCCAGCTGCGGCAACGCAACCAAGAACGCTTCTCTTCAGGCTTTACTCTCAACATGGTGCAGGGCACGCGAGCAGGTTTGGCAGCGGGGGGGGAAGGGGACAGAGAGGGTGTGACCTAGGTAGTGTGCAACTCTCTGCCGGTCGTCACATCCTCCTCCTTCCCCCCCCCTCCCCGGACAGTTTTTGCCCAACACGGCAAACCCTTCCACCGGATCTAAGCAACCTCCAACCTAACTCCAGCCGGACAACCACAGCACAGCAGTGACAGCTCAACCCCCACGGCACGGACGATGGGGGGGGAACAGGTTACAGCAGAAGGCCAGAGTGGATTAGATCCTAGGCCCTGCATTGCATTGCATCAGCGACGCTTGCGCGTGCGCTGCGCTGTGCCTTTGTCTGTTTCCCGCCGGGGTCCAGGCCAATTTGGGGTGTAGTAAAATGCCTTACCGGGCCGGCCAACGAGGTAAGCGAGCCGCCGGGCACTCGTTTTTCACCCTTCTCCTTGCCTAGAGAGTCGGGTAATGGCCCTCCTTCTTTTTTTTTTTTTTTTTTTTTTTTTTTTTCCGGAGGAAGAGGAGGAAGAAGACCGCTCGGCCCCGACTCAAACCACGTTTCGGTCCTCCGTGCTGGTGAGATTCGCAATCAATCATTGGGTTCCTGAAAATACGACTTGTGGGTTTTCCACAGTTCACCACATCAATTGTCAATGACGAGCGAACTACCCGGGTTTCCCGTGTCTCCCTCTCCAGCCGATGACGTGCTCCTGAAATGGGGGACGTCTGCTCCCCTTGCCGTCTTCGAGAACCGAAAGCCGGGTGTCGTACCATTCCCGGGCGCGATTCGCGCAGCGTCTGACGGACGTGGGACTCCCACCTGCTGTACTGATATCTGTAGCAGGCAATCTGATCCCGGCTGTATGTAGACGGAGCAATGCTGCACCGGAGAATGGACGGCTCAGGGGCGGGTGGTGCTCCGATAACGGCGGCGCGGCTACGATTGTACCTATTGTTCTGGTTTCTCGATACCTGTTTGCAGGGCGGATCACGGAGCGCGGAGCCCCCAAACGAAACTGCGGCGATTCGCGCGGTTAGGAAGGAGGATTTCCGCTTCAGGAACGGCGAGCATGGAAGTCCCCTGCCACGGTCCCGGCTGGCCTTCCCTTTCTCCTTCACATTTGCACGATTTAGGGCCAATTGCGACGTGATCGGATCCGAGGTGATCTACAGGCCGTCCCGGGTAGACCTTTTTTCGGGTTCAATTTCCTGTATTGTCGCTGCCCGCTGTTTCGAGTCTAAACTGCCTTGCCGAAATTTGGTGGTTCCCTAGTCATTCCCCAGGACATGACCTATACACTGCTACAAACACCCTACGGCCACTCCACCCATCCACCGGTCGAAGTAAAGCGAGCTGGTTTTGCAGGAATTTCAAAAGTCCACTTTCCCCGGCGATGAGGTCGGCATCTTGGGAAACACGCCGAAATACAGTATCGATCTGAATACGCGGCGTACATGCGCGATAGTGTTGAGTGTGACCGCACAGTATGCAGTGATTGGAGCTATGTAGCTCGCCATCTAGAACATGGTTTTTGGCACGCATCAACAACTTGACAATTGCTTCTTCGCCACCGGGCACTTTTTTCTTTTACTTCTCAGTTTCAGCTGCTTGCGTCTCGCTCGATTGACGTGAAAGGGCTGTGGTCAACAATGAGTTCCAGTGATGAGCAGTGACAAAGGTCTGATTCCTTGTTTTGAAAAGCTGAAGATGGAGTCAGATAAATACCAAGAAGTACAATTGAGGGTAATACGCCGGCGCTCTAAAAACTGCATATTCTTCCTTCTACTCTCCATCTTGAGGATTACAAGGGTCTTGTTTACGCTCGGAAATGAGCCTGGAGGGAGTCAAACATCATCCCTGGCAAGCTTAAATAGCCATATTTCTCTATTGATATTCTGATATCGACAAAACAACTTGCATTCGCAAGATGTTGGCTAGAAGTCGACCCAGCGTCAGGTGAACCTTTGAAACAGAGTAGACAGTCCAGAGTCTGTATTCATTCATCTGATGGCTTCCTGGGACTCGTGGGAAACCATTGAGAGAAGTGCAGGCCGGTATTTTTACACTGGCCAAAAAATAAAGATCAAGCAAGCGCTCTTAGGTCGGAGGACAATCCTGGTTTCAAACGTAGGTCACACGAGTAGAGCGAAGTCCGCCAACGTAGGGGTTGGTCCCAATAGATTCCTGAGAGGGAGAGGTTTCTTTGCTTTGTACACTTAGTCGACGCCCCTCGTACGCTGGGCCTGCGTCGCTAGCTCGCTTGTAGTCATACTAGTTACCACTGTCTACATAAGGTGCGCAAGACACATAGCCTCCCGGAGTTTTAGTCCCAGAAATGGAGACTAAAATAAAGCAGGACACTCCGCACCACTTCACAACTCATTACGGTCATGCGGAGGATTCAGGACCGAAATCTGACCTACAACTGCTGCATCAGCCAACGCTTTTGGCCGCAACAGTGCCTCAATAAGCCCCTTAATGTTCAAGTGCGTATTTTGTCAAGTTCCACTGCCAAGGAAAACGCCACCAGGAATCACAACAAACAAACCACTATAGTGTCAATGGTGATGTCGCTCGGATGACACTGGCTGAGCCCGAATACTACCCGACGCAGGTACGTCCGCTTTCTCTTCCGGTCTTGACATGAAGGTTGCAGGCTGCAGGGAGTCGGGTCGGGATCCTGTTGGCTACCGAGCATCCGTAGCCGGTCAGACTGGGCACGCGTGTGGCGATCTTTCGCCTCACTGAGGAATCTACGCATGGGTCAAGTGTACCAGTATTTCAACTTGTTTTCATGGACGCATGGCGATAGGAGATTGGAAATCTACATCGATACCCAAGAATGGTTCGTTGAGGGGGCCAGAAACCTCTACAACACTATCTCTGAAAGGTAGTACCGGCGGGTATTCAAATGCATGGCCACATATCCCATGGCGTAAGCATGCCATATGCCTTCATACGGATGCCTGTTCTTCAAAATTGCCCGTGAACGATTATATGCAACCGCCGTTTCCAAAATAACAGATTCCAGTATTGACAGGGGACTGCGGTTCAAACTCATAGCTTGTTTGTGTATATAGTTTCTGACTTCTCCCGCCTTTTCCTCTTTATAGAATCTAGGAGCCCGAGTTAAAAGTCTATACCTACACGTATTAGACAAGAGTAGAGGTCAAGCTTGCACTTACGATAAGATGTCGTTGGTCAGATTAATAAACCTCCCCATTTCGGGTGCAGCTGGTAAGAAGCATGAGATATCAGGGCATAGCGCCTTGTAAAAGCAGAAGTAGGTGTACACCTCTGGGAGTCCCTCTTTATCTCGAAAGTAGTAGGGCCAGCTGACTGTTTCCTTTGTCAGAACGATTGTTTGATATTGAGGACGAATTTCGATGGCATTTGAGTTGACGAATGCTAGAGCAGAAAGCACGATCCAGTTGGCAACAATTGGATCGTAGTACATCTTCATCGACCTGAGGTTATCCGCGAACGACTGTAGGAGCGCCGATGGTTGCCGTTCTCCTACAAGCAGTCGTGTTTGAAAGTGCTCCAAGTCCAGCCCCAACTCAGCATTCATGTCGTCGATGATGAATCCGAACCAGGTGAAGAGACCAATGTGAATCTGAATTTCGAGGGGGTGAAGGGGGTACATTTCCTAGTAAAGAGTCAACATGCATCAAAGCAAAACCTGCTAAAGAGAACCTACAGCAGCGACAGCTAGGCCAGCTTCGAATCGCATCTGTGAGGCATCGTCGGTCTCGAGATGGACACCGCCTTGGAGGGCTCTGTCGATAAGTGCCATTCGTAATGAATTCTTGTCAACTTCAGGTGGTGAGACATAGTCGATGGAATTCAGAAACGTCGGAATCAGACATGAGAGCGTTTGCCGAAGCGCTTGGTCAGCATGATCTATCGTCGGTGATTGAAGCATGTTGCTCTGGTAAGTGCTGTTTCGACCAGGTTATGATGATGCCAAATGTTCGAGTTCGAAAGGTCGCGACGGTGCATGTGTGGTATTTCGGGGTCTTTATCTTTGACAAGTCAAGCCGAACCACTCAGCCTGAGTGATAGACTCAATTGCTTCACCGCCACACAGAGGCATATAGGTTGCCCCAGTTTCCATCCTACCCGACGAATTTTGGAAGGTCGGGATCATGATCCCATCACACTTATGATTCTCAGCTCCTCTTATCATAGGTCGTTGCTCTCTGGCTGACCGTCAGCGACGCTAGCTCGGCGTAAGCTGGTCTAGCCCTGGACGATCACGATATCCACTCCTTTCATGGGTGCAGGCTTACATATTATACTTAAACCGAACAGTTGAGTTTCTGTATTTCCAATGGGGTGCCTAAATCCTGCGTTCTCTTGCAACACCTCACGGCGTCCTCTGATTTCGAGCTGTCCCTGATACGAAAATGACTTCCCTGCTATTTCAATCCGCAGCTGCGTTGCGTTGGGGATCCCTCGCCCAGGGCTTTGGTCTCGTGCTTGTGGTCTACCTACTTACCACGACCGTCAAATCATGGACTCGTTTGTCCCACATTCCCGGTCCTTTTCTCTCTTCATTATCATACTGGTCAATGTTTCGGATCCGCACTCGAGGCTCTCGTGCATACACTGAGTACGTTAACCTATCGACAAAATATGGCGATCTCGTCCGTATAGGTCCCAACGACCTGATAACATCCGATGTACAACTCATCAGGCGCATGTCGGCGGCCAAGTCAACATATGGGCGGAGCAGCTGGTACAAGGCAACCCGGCTAGATCCATATCATGATATGATGGGCAGCGTACTTGATAAGTCTGTTCATCATTCGTTAAGGACGAAGTTGCAACCAGGATACTTGGGCAAGGATATTCCGGGGTTGGAGACAAGCATTGATTCTGGAATTGCGGACTTGGTGAGCTTGATTCAAAGAAGCTACGCCATCAAGTTTGCTTCGTCGACGCCAGAACAAAGTGGAATTGCAGAACCTCCGGAGCGGACGCTAGTAGATTTCGGTCGACTCGCGCACTATTATGCCATGGACGCTCGCTCGAGAATGTCCTTTGGGCAGCCTCTCGGGCTTCTCCGGAATGACACGGACGTCTTCGGACTGGTTGCAATATCGAACCTGGCGATAGATGTCTTGCAGTTTTTCACAGATATCCCACCCCTCCAATGGATCGGCACGTCAGACCTCACTCTAAGACTGTTTGGCCCGAAGCCGACGGATAAGAGCGGCTTTGGGAAGATCATGGGGTAAGTCTCCTCGCCTTCGTGCGGATTTCATTAAGTGGAATGGGCCTTTTCGTGTCCTCACTGTCGAACAAGGAAACTAAAGTTGACAGCCTTGCCAAAGAGCATGTTGCCGCCCGATTTGGACCCAACGCAATAGACGAGCCCGATTTGCTTGTATGTATACAGCTGTCATGATAGGAACCACAAACTCTTGGACTAACGCGATTTCAATAGGGGTCATTTATACGACGCGGCCTTGATCAGCGCTCAGCGCAATCCGAAATTATGTTCCCAATGGTCGCTGGTTCTGATACAGCAGGCAAGGCTATAAAGTGGACACTGCATTACATTCTTGCGAACCAGTCTGTATATAAGTCTCTTGCGCGGGAAGTCGAGAATGCTATAATAGACGGGATGATATCAGACCCCATCAGCTACGAAGAGGCCCAGAGACTGCCATACCTCCAGGTAAGTCTGAGCAAGTTGAAGTCGCCCTCGGAGACTCTTTCACAGACTGCTGTTAACAGTGCATAAAAACAGGCGGTCATATATGAGTCCCTCCGCGTGAGGCCACCTTTTTCAGGCCTAGTGATGAAACAGGTTGGGCCTGATGGCGATATCTACAACGGAATAATGCTACCCGCAGGCACACGAATTGGGCATGACATTACGTCAGTGACTCACAATAAATGTCTTTTCGGCCAAGATGCTGATTTGTTCCGACCTGAACGATGGCTAGAAGCTGAACCCGACACAGTGAAGTCGTGGAAGAAACAGACTGAGCTCGTCTTTGGAGTAGGCCGTTGGCAGTGCACAGGCAAGTCCGTAGCATTCTTGGAGCTCAACAAGATCTTTGTCCAGGTGAGTGATTCAAGCAGATTCAATAACATTATCGATTTCTCGGTGCTAATTTCTGTGTAGCTCATCCGAAACTTTGAGTTTCAGCCCTCGAATGCCGAAATGATGGTGACAATCTTCGATCGCAGGGAAAACGCACTAGAGAATGCTAGCAGGACTCAAGAAGTTTGATTAGGATTAAGGAGTAGTGAAAGAAACTCAATTGACGACAATGAATCGCATGTTTTAGGTCTGTCTTGTTTTTCAAAAGTTTAATGACATAGCGGCGTTCACCAGTACATGTGACGCCCAGATCTTGAATTCAATCTCCCCACGAGGCTGTCGTCGAAGTGATCGCGGTCTGCGCCAGATCTGAGAATCTCTCCGTCCTGTCTGATGAACACCAACAAAACCGTCTGCCTTGATGCTTATTCCAAATGCAGTTACTAGTCATTACGACTTAGTGAACCGCGAATAGTGTCAGTCTTACCCAACCGAAAATAGGTCAACTCGGTGATCCGTCCACTTCGGCCGAAAACGGGCACATTGTTCGAAAATTTGCGCAACGATTAATTGAAATGCGTCTTCTGCGCCCTGTACTCCATTCGAATTGACTACATCCCCGCTGTTGTGTCAAGTTGACCAAAAGATAAAAGATGAGTGAACGTTGCGGTCCTTTTGCCTGGTGTTCCATCTCTGACTTCCGAGTCTTGAACCAAGCTGAAAACCCACGATGTCAGTACATGTACAGTGGAGCTAGTCAACGCACCGGCAACGCAACTGCCACAGCTCTCAGCCGCCACGTCGACATCATCACAGTCACCAAGTCAGACGACGATTGTTACTGAGACTAGTCAACATGGTGATGTTTCCAAGGGTAAGACCGTGGTTGTCATATCATCAGTGACCTGCATCACGGGCATCAGCTCCCTTCTGGTTGGCGTGGTCACTGTCTGCATTCCGGCTATGGCTAGGGATGTCAATCTCCAGAGCAATCTCCTCTTATGGTAGGAATCAGTAGCTAAAAGACTCATATGGCTGTAAATCATGCTAATAACACCAAGGCCTGCCTCCGTCTACGCCCTGACTTGCGGATGCACACTCCTGCTATCAGGCGCCATGGCCGACCTGTACGGTGCTCGAACACTCTACCTCATGGGATGTTTCTTGCAATCAGTCGTCACCCTCGCCTGTGGGCTGGCGAACACGGGGATCCAGCTCATCTTGTTCCGTGCCTTTGCCGGAGTCGCCATCTCAATGTGTCTCCCCTCTGCCGTGAGTATCATCACGCACGCGTTCCCCACGGGTAAGAGAAGAAACCTTGACTTTGCGTCAATGGGAGGAGGCCAACCCATTGGGTTCTCCGTTGGTCTCAGCGTTGGCGGCGTCTTCACAGATACGATTGGTTGGAGATGGGGATTCCACATTGCCGCAATCATCAACACAATCATCTTCCTAATTGCGCTGAAGTGGTTGCCCAGCATCGGAAAAAGAGATCCGGTCACATGGAACCGGTTCAGGACCGAAGTGGACTGAGTTGGTGCATTCCTAGCCAGCGCTTTCCTCGCAATGATCTCTTATGTGCTTGCGTGAGTCCCCGAGATGCGCCTGCTGCTGAATGGAGAGCACGATCAACTGACTGCGCGTTGACAGTGCCATCACCGATAGCACTCACGATATAAAGAAGCCCGAGAACATTGCCCTCCTCGCCATCTCCGCCGTGCTGATCGGCGGATTCATTGCTTGGGTTGAGAAACAAGAGCGTCTGGGCAAGCCCGCCATCATTCCAAACTCACTCTGGAAGAATCGCAGCTTCACCACATTTGCATCAGCGTCTTCATAGTATGGGGCGCCTGCAACGCAACCGAGCAGCTGAGCTCCTTTTACCTGCAGTACGCCCAGCGACTCTCCGCAATCGACATCTCGGTGCGCTTCCTGCCGGCGCCCATCGGGGGAGTACTGGCCAACATTGTTACCGGTCTCGTCGTGCACCGGGTCAGGGCAGACCTGTCGATCCTCATCGCCGTCGCCCTCGCGTGCCTGTCACCGCTGCTGATGGCGATCGCCGACCCCGCGTGGTCCTATTGGATCTGCGTGTTCTGGGCCATGTTCATGAACGCTATTGGCGCCGACACGTTGTTCACAATCTCTAATTTGCTGATCACATCGCTGTTTCCGGCGAGGAAGCAGGCCGTGGCCGGAGGTGTGTATAACACCATCGCTCAAATCGGCAAAAGCGTAGGGCTGGCTTCGTCGGGCGCCGTAGCGAGTGCCGTGTCCGCCCGGTCGAGCTTGGCCGAAAAGGAGAGCCCAATAGCGCTGTTGGAGGGTTATCGGGCGGCTTTCTGGTACTGCTTCACGCTGCACGGCGTAACCTTGTTTGTAACGGTTTGGGGACTCAGAAAGATCGACAAAGTAGGTCTCAAGAAGGAGTGAACAAGGTATCGTGGAAAGGGTATTGGGGAACGACCAGGGAAGCGGGATGAAGTTTAACCCTCACCGGCAGAAGCTTCTTGCTTTGCGACTGCGCGATGGATACGGATAGTACACTAGAGTTTCGAGTGACGCAGTGTAAACTCTGCGTGGGAGCGGACTTTTTTGCCAAGACATGCCATCTCAATGCTTTTCAAAGTATGAAGAGAACGCACGCCGACGTAGTGCCAAAGGGGGTTCTGGACTCGAACGTCCGCTCTAGTAGAAGCTTATGCAGCGGGGAGCTTCCTAGCAAAGTTTCCGTCGCTCGGGAGTGACGATCTGCGAGTCAACGGTAATGCAAGACCTGACTCAGCGGTCTGTCATTTCAGCCGATTGCAGGACCCCGGGAGCCGAGGATGTGGAAAAGGATCAAAAAGGGGGATTGATTCAGATGTGTATAGAATTGTAAACGACTCGTTCGGCGTACGTGGAAACACTCAATGAGACTAAACAATGGTTTCCGCTACTCAGTAGTCCCGACCAATATGAATTTCACAACTATGGGTCAGACGTTTGGGACTTGAGCATCACGGCGGCTGCGGTGTGTCGTCATCGGGGGAAGACGGACTCGCCGGTTTGTTGCTGGGTAATCTGTCTCATTGTGGTTCATTTCTGGAAACTCCACGGCACAGCGGCAGAAAGAGATGAGCCGAATCTGGTGGATATTCAACTAGGGAGAGACGTTGCCTTTATCAATCAACAATCACTAATTCCCTAACTCCGACGAGAATCCCCACCGGCTGACAATCAAGTCGGTGCCTCGGGGATGGGATTTACCCTACAGATGGGGATGCTCTGTACAAAGACCAAAGTATGGATACGAAGGCTTCATCTCGGTGCGTTGGCAATAGCCGCGCAGCCCTGCCCAGGACGTAGCGTAAATCTCCCGTACACTGCCCCATACTGATGTGACGCCAGATTTACGAGCGACGCAGAGATGTACATACAGGTGGGCCTTTCGCCCTCTGAGAGACGAAACCGCACCAAACTGGGAGCCACCATGATGCAATCGGAAAACAGCTGGGCGCAGTTCGTACATACTTTGGCCGTAAACGGCTTAGCAAGCCCGTACTGACTCGCCCCTAGGGCCGCATCCTGGCTCTTGCACCCGAACTTTCTAGACCTCTCGGGGGACTCGAAGTCTCCGAGGCGGGGACGGACTGTGGTGGCTGCCAACAACCCGCCCGGTCCGCCATCCATGCTGCTGGGAACTCGGAAAGCCCAACATGAACTCCGTGCGCTGGGAAGCTGCTCGTTTCCTCCCCTAGCTTACACAATCTTGTGCGCGACAGTTCGGGGTTTGAGTCCCCAACCCGGGAGACTGTCCTCCATGTCTGCAAGCAGTGACCTCATTGCCACCGGCCGGCCGGTCGGCTGGCGCACTGCGAACTCCGCACAATTCTTCGTCTCGGCCGTCTCTGGCGACACAACAAACTTAGAGCCTAGCTAGCTTGGCGGGATCACGGCTCTAGTTCGGTGGCCCCGGGGGGTTGGCCATGTCCGCAAGCATACGTCTGAGATCTGCTTCCACCATGGGTCTTGCTATAATATAGTCATCTGAAACCCATACATCTGAATCCCATCTTTTAACTAATATCTTTATCGAACATTACCTAGAGTCTGTGAGCATCTAAACATTGTAACACATCACCATCAAAAGATCGGCTCTGCAACTATTATCCACATACTTAATTTCAGCTCGTCTGAGCTTCGCCCCTGGTCAACACACTTACAGCCATGGAGGACAGGACAGCAACCAGAGGCAGCTACGGCACAACGACCTCTTCAGTCACAATGAACGGAGAACATCGAACTTCCTTAGATCAGCCTGCGGGTGGCTTTGCCCCCATCAAGACGGGAAAGAATGGCGACTCATCCGATGATGAAGACGGAGAAGTGTCGAGCCCTACGAGAGATACCCACCGCGACACGATGATGATCGACGAGGAGGACAGGAGAGAACTTCAGAGAATCGCAACCAACCTTTCGCGGCATCAAAGCTTGGCCAGCAACGGCCGCGCCCTGTCGTCCCACGTATCTTATGGCCAGGAAATCGCCGGCTCCAACGATCCCGCGCTAGACCCTTCGAGCAAATCATTCGATCTTGCAAAATGGCTCCAGGCTTTCATGCGAGCGATGCAGAACGAGGGCATCACCACCAAGCAAGCTGGTGTCGCCTACAAGGACCTCAACGTTTCCGGTACCGGTGCTGCTGTACAATTGCAGCAGACGGTCGGCGACTTCCTCCAAGCACCGCTCAGAATCGGCGAGCACATTAGCTTCGGCAAGAAGGAGCCTAAGAGAATCCTCAACAACTTCGATGGCCTCCTGAACAGCGGGGAGCTTTTGATTGTTCTTGGTCGCCCTGGCTCTGGATGCAGTACCCTCCTGAAGACGATGACTGGTGAACTCCATGGTCTGAGTCTGGCAGATGAGTCCGTCATCCACTACAACGGCATTCCGCAGAAGAAGATGATGAAGGAGTTTAAGGGAGAGACCGTTTACAACCAAGAGGTTCGTTTTTTTCGCATATCATTGTCTTGGCTGGCTTTGGCTAATTATCTTCGAACCAGGTCGACAAGCATTTCCCCCATCTTACCGTCGGTCAAACACTCGAATTCGCCGGCGCCGTCCGCACACCGTCCAACAGACCCATGGGCATGAGCCGAGAGGAGGCTCACAAGCAAGGCGCGCAGGTCGTCATGGCCGTGTGCGGTCTCAGCCATACCTACAACACCAAAGTCGGCAACGATTTCGTCCGCGGCGTCTCTGGCGGTGAGAGAAAGCGTGTCTCCATTGCCGAGATGATGCTCGCTGGCTCTCCCATGTGCGCTTGGGATAACAGCACCCGTGGCTTGGACTCTGCGACCGCTCTGAAATTCGTCAAGTCGCTGCGTCTTGCCTCTGACTTCACCGGCAGCGCCAACGCCGTTGCCATCTACCAGGCCAGTCAGGCCATCTACGATCTTTTCGACAAGGCTGTCGTGCTCTACGAGGGTCGCCAGATCTACTTTGGCCCTGCTTCCGCCGCCAAGTCTTACTTTGAGCGCATGGGCTGGGACTGCCCTCAGCGCCAGACCACGGGAGACTTTTTGACCTCGGTCACCAACCCCATCGAGCGAAAGGCCCGCCCGGGTATGGAGAACCAGGTTCCCCGAACTCCCGAGGACTTCGAGGCATACTGGCGCGCATCCCCCGAATACCAAGTTCTCCGCCAAGATATTGAGCAACACACCGATGATAACCCGATTGATCCTCATGGCCATGCTCTCACTCAGCTTCGCCAGCAAAAGAACGACAGGCAGGCGAAACACGTCCGCCCCAAGTCTCCCTACCTCATCAGCCTGGCAATGCAAGTGAAACTCACCACCAAGCGCGCTTACCAGCGGATATGGAACGATATGTCGGCTACAGCTACAACGGCCGTTCTCAACATCGTCTTGGCTCTCATCATTGGTTCAGTCTTCTACGGCACTCCCAACGCTACATCCGGTTTCTACTCAAAGGGCTCGGTCCTGTTCCAGGCCATCCTCATGAACGCTCTCACTGCCATTTCCGAAATCAACAGTCTGTATGACCAAAGGCCAATCGTCGAAAAGCATGCTTCCTATGCCTTCTATCATCCAGCAGCTGAAGCCATCGCCGGCATCGTCGCAGATATCCCGATCAAATTCGTCACCGCAACCTGTTTCAACCTCATCCTCTACTTCCTCGCAGGTCTTCGTCGGGAGCCCGGTCAATTCTTCCTGTACTTCTTAATCACCTACATCTCCACCTTCGTCATGAGCGCTGTGTTCAGAACCATGGCTGCCATCACCAAGACCATTTCTCAGGCCATGATGTTGGCTGGTGTGCTCGTCTTGGCGCTTGTCATCTACACTGGCTTCGTCATCAGAGTTCCCCAGATGGTTGACTGGTTTGGTTGGATTCGCTGGATCAACCCCATCTTCTACGCCTTCGAGATCCTCATTGCGAATGAGTTCCACGGCCGTGAGTTCGTCTGCTCCGAGATCATCCCGTCATACACTCCCCTGAACGGCGACTCTTGGATTTGCTCCGCTGTCGGTTCTGTCGCTGGAAAGCGCACTGTGAGCGGCGACGCATTCATCGAGACAAACTACCAGTACCACTACTCTCACGTCTGGCGCAACTTCGGCATCCTGGTGGCCTTCCTCATCTTTTTCATGGTTATCTACTTTCTCGCTACGGAACTCAACTCCTCCACCACAAGCTCCGCCGAAGTCCTCGTCTTCAAGCGCGGCCGCGTTCCCGCTTACCTACAGGATGGTGTCAACCGCAGTGCAACCAACGAGGAGATGGCCGTTTCCAAGGATGAGGATGCCGAAGCCAATGTCAACTCGATCCCGCCCCAGAAGGACATCTTCACTTGGAGGGACGTTGTCTACGACATTGAGATCAAGGGTGAGCCCCGCCGTCTGCTTGACCACGTCGGTGGTTGGGTGAAGCCTGGAACACTCACTGCCCTCATGGGTGTTTCCGGAGCTGGAAAGACCACTCTGCTCGATGTTTTGGCTCAGCGAACGACTATGGGTGTCATCACTGGCGATATGTTCGTCAACGGCAAGCCTCTGGACGCTAGTTTCCAACGCAAGACTGGCTACGTTCAGCAGCAAGGTAAGCACATTCTATTTGACAGGGGTATTTGACCATTCAGTTAACAATGTCCAGATCTTCACTTAGCTACCTCAACTGTCCGCGAGAGCTTGCGCTTCAGCGCCATGCTTCGCCAGCCCAAGACCGTTTCCAGGAAAGAAAAGTTCGATTTCGTCGAGGAGGTCATCGACATGCTCAACATGCGCGACTTTGCCGACGCCGTTGTCGGTGTCCCTGGTGAGGGTCTGAACGTCGAACAGCGCAAGCTTCTCACCATTGGCGTTGAATTGGCGGCTAAGCCGAAGCTTCTTCTCTTCCTCGACGAGCCTACCAGCGGTCTCGACTCTCAGAGCTCCTGGGCTATTTGTGCTTTCCTCCGCAAGCTGGCTGATTCGGGCCAAGCCGTCCTTTGCACCGTCCACCAGCCCAGCGCCATCTTATTCCAGCAGTTCGACCGCCTCCTCTTCCTCGCTCGCGGCGGTAAGACTGTCTACTTTGGTGATATCGGCGACAACTCCCGCACCCTTCTGGATTACTTTGAGGGCCACGGTGCTCGCAGCTGCGGCGATGAGGAGAACCCCGCTGAGTACATGCTCGAGATTGTCAACAACGGCACCAACTCCAAGGGCGAAGACTGGCACAGCGTCTGGAAGTCCAGCAACGAACGCCAAGATGTCGAAGCCGAGATCGAGAGGATTCACGTCGAGAAGCAGCACGAAGAAGTCGCCGGCAGCGAAGACGCGGGTGCCCACTCCGAGTTCGCCATGCCCTTCAGCACGCAGCTCATGGAGGTCACCGGCCGTGTCTTCCAGCAATACTGGCGCATGCCCAACTACGTCTTTGCCAAGTTCTTCCTGGGTATCGCCGCGGGTCTCTTCATTGGTTTCTCTTTCTGGAAGGCCAAAGGCACCAACGCTGGCATGCAAAACGTCGTCTTTGGTGTCTTCATGGTCATTACCATCTTCTCGACCCTTGTCCAGCAGATCCAGCCTCATTTCGTCACACAGCGCGCTCTCTACGAGGTTCGCGAGCGTCCCAGCAAGGCTTACTCCTGGAAGGCTTTCATGTTCGCCAACATCATTGTCGAAATCCCCTACCAGATCGTCACTGGTATCCTCATCTGGGCTTGCTTCTACTACCCCATCATCGGCATCCAGAGCTCTGTCCGCCAGATCTTGGTCATGCTGTTCGCTATTCAGCTTCTGATCTACGCGAGCTCTTTCGCCCACATGACCATCGCCGCCTTCCCCGATGCACAGACCGCCGCAGGCGTGGTCACTCTCTTGGTCCTCATGAGCTTGACCTTCTGCGGTGTCTTGCAATCCCCCGTCGCTCTCCCCGGCTTCTGGATCTTCATGTACCGGGTGTCGCCCTTCACCTACTGGGTCGCCGGCATCGTCGCTACCGAATTGTCCGGCCGACCCGTCACCTGCTCCGCCTCCGAGACTTCCATCTTCAACCCGCCCGCCAACCAAACATGCGGCGAGTACCTGGCGGACTACCTCAAGACGGCGCCCGGCCGGCTCCAGAACCCAGACGCCACAGAGTCATGCCGATATTGCTCTCTCCGCGACGCCGACCAGTACTTGGCCGGCAGCAGCATCTACTACAGTGAGCGCTGGCGTAACTTTGGAATTGTCTGGGCTTTCATTGTCTTCAACATTTTCATCGCTGTCGTTTCTTACTACCTGTTCCGCGTTAAGAAGTGGAACACTGGCTCGTCAAAGCCGAAGAAGGAGTCCAAGGGAAAGGAGACAGCGGCCCAATAGTCTGACGGCCTCAACTATTACAGTCTCATGTTATATGGGAAAACCATACAAATATCTTAATATTTCATGTTTTTATATAGCAAGCGTTGTTTTGAATATCCTTTGAGAGAACAATTAGATTTATAAACTACATATCCTGAGCCTCAAATTCGCAAAATCGACTTTTGGACACTCTGCTCTGCGGGGTTTGTGAAAACAGGGAACAAAACCTGCTTCTTCCAATCTACTCCACCAAACCTTTCTGATAACTTCGGACCATCCATAGGTCTCTTTGTCCATATTAGCCGTTCGATTGACCTTCCGCAGGATGTCATCTGTTGAAGAAACCAGGTCGACTCCGGCTGCTTGACTTCGACGCTTAGAGTGTGTACTAAATTTATATGAATACTACCTCTCCCCTTCTATACCTCACCCTAGTCTTGTTTTGAAAAAATTACACATGACGGGTGAGATGTGCTGGGCACGATACCGAAGCTAGTTGCCGGCGGTCTTTGAACGTTGAGCTGAGGCGAGACCTGTGGTTTTGCACTGCCTCTGCTGAAACGACATCCATATCGTCATTGGCCTGCGCATGTTGACTCTGGAAAAATGGTTCTGATATAGGAACTTGACTTCACTAAATTGAATTTTCTCTCTTGAGGGTGATCAATACGCAATCGTAGCCCATTAGTTTGCTTCCTATGGAGACGGCCGAGCTTGACGTGAGAAGAGCTTTACGCTTCAACCCAGATGCCTGTCACTGCTCAGTCTGTGTGGTTCAATCTAACAACTACCTGAAACTGCTTTCTCAAGTGATCCAAAAACAAAAAAAAAAACGATTCGGATGCTAATCTTCCACCAAGCTTATCAAAGACGCCCCGATTCGGTTTCCGGGGGGGTTATGCAAGAAATGGTCTCCCACCTCCTTAATCTTATCATCTTCCCAAGGAATCGGCCACAAAATCTTTTGATGGCGGATGACGTGAATTAACACAGGAAAGCTCAGAGATTTTCGTCTGGCCAAGAAACTTTGATAACAACTAAAGGCTGCATCCAATTGAGATTGGGATTTGGCTGCACAATTGTGGGAAGAATGGTATTGTGAGTCTGATTGTCGACGAACCATGATCCTAGTCACGGTCTAGTTGAAGGCAGGCAGGTATCTGAGAAGAGTCCAAACAGAAAAGCCTCATAAGATTAAATCACGTGGTTTCAGCACAGCCCATACCAGTTTAAGGGCTGTACATACGCATAAGGTATCTAAGTCAGTAAGAACAATGAAGGTGGTCGGCTTTGGAACTTGACCGAATCTGATATTGATCCAGTTCTAAGATACTTTGAGAACGCCGTCGTTAACCAACAGGTCTCACCGGTTGCGTTGCACGAGACACAAGGTTATTGGTTCAAGATGCAGAATCAACCGGGAGAATCAGATAACAAAGTTTGAGTCGGAAGACGGAGAAGTAGACGCAAGATCGCGGGCTTATCTGATTGTCCAAGTTTAGAAATCCGACATGGCTGTGTAAAAGGGGGTGATTTAAACCACTCAGAGCTCAATACCAGCGGTAAAGACCATGCATGTTCGTCTCAGGTTCACTGTTGGAAGTTTCCTTGGGCAAGGATGATCGGGTTTCCCTGTCGTGAATGGAGCACCCGATGCTCATTGTGACCTTACTTAAGCGGAAGCCATCCAGACCCAGTAGAAGAACCCACCTCAAAAAGTGCTTTCGGCCCTTTATTCTCTCGGCAACGCAGACCGCAAGCATGGCGTACATGGGGCTCTTTTGCCTTAATTAACTTGACAGACTAGGAAGCTGCTGCATAGCCCCTTGATGTCTGTTTTTCGAGGTTTTCGCACACATCTACAATTGTATTTCCGTAAATCCGCGATTTCATCACATTAGCCATGCAGAATGCACACTGACAAGGTCCACATATGCCAGATCTGTTGGAATCTGGATGAACATCTCTTGGCAAATGCACTTGGCACTTGAGCTTAAAATCCAATTGTCCTAGCGAGCGGTGCAGCTTCCTGATATAAACGTTCCAAAAAAAGCGTACGAACTAGCATTGGTGGCGCATGAGAGGGCCTCTGTTGTGTGAGGTTGCAATCGTTGTCGGGAATGACGTAGGCTGAAGCTTTCCTTGGTTCCCCTGATTAACTTTGGACGACTGTTCCCAAATCGGTAGCTGGAGCATGATTCAACTACTGCCGCCTTGTTGTGCACCCTCTTCACTCCTATGCCCTCAGTGGCCTAGCCGGGCTATGCTGGCAAGCCATGAGTAGGAGCCCCTGCAGGGTCCCGCCGATCTACGCAAATGCTCCCGCCGCGACGGGTTCTAGATCCCAGGAACGTTGGGTTCTGATGGTTGATAAGCATCTTGCGCTGTCAATTGTCGATGGATCGGTCCGATCAGATATCTATTCAGCGGTCGTCGGTGGCCAATGGCGTTCGGCACCGCTGGGCCCCAATTGTAATGTAAGGTACTCGGCTTTACCGGCCACGCCGTTCTCCACTGTACCGAGTCTTGAGGACGGTTACGTTGGTCCGTACATACTGCACTGACGAAATAGTAGGGAGAATATAGCTTTTCGGTCTGCCCTCGGAGCATTGCTGTGAAATCCGGTTTGACGGGGATGGTAGCTGTTTGTATCCGCGCGGGTGACGTGCTACTGATGAGGGATTTCGAGAGCTCGGATTTTAACTACGATGTTATTGAAATTTCTTCTACGAGTTTTGCATGATATAAACAGAGACCTTTGCCCTTGAGGATCCGGTTGTGTCTTCGATATCTGTACAAGTGTGTCTACATTCTCTTGTCTCACTTACACTCATTCTTACATTTGACATCACACAACACCGTGCAGCCATGCGAAGCTTCCTCACTACCTCCGCGCTCCTATCCGGAGCCGCGGCTTTGACCGTCCGCTGTAACAACGCCTCCAGCAATGGCTACGACTATATCATCGTCGGAGGTGGCACCAGCGGTCTGGCTGTTGCCAACCGTCTGACGGAGAACCCTGCCGTGTCTGTCCTGATCATCGAGGCCGGCGGCTCCGTTTTCGATAACGCCAACGTGACCAACCCCGGCGGATACGGTCTTGCCTTTGGCACCGACATCGACTTCGCCTATCAGACGACCAAACAGACATACGGCGGCGGATCGATCCAGACCATGCGCGCTGCCAAGGCCTTGGGAGGAACTAGCACTATCAATGGTTCGTGATGATGACTGACTTTGAAGACTAGACTTGGATGCTAACATCTTCAAGGAATGGCCTATACTCGTGCCGAATCTTCTCAGATCGACGCTTGGGAGAAACTCGGAAACAAGGGCTGGAACTGGGATGCTCTCTTCCCCTACTATCTCAAGACCGAGCACTTTCAGACTCCGGAGCCCGTGCGCCAGGCTGCCGGCCATCTTGAGTACCAGGCCGACGTCCACGGCGAAGAGGGTCCCCTTCTGACCGGCTGGACCTTTGGCCAGACCAACGGAACCATTCCCACTGTTCTGAACTCAACCTTCCAGAATCTTGGCCTTGACTGGAACGAGGACGTCAACGGTGGAAGCATGGTTGGCTTCTCCGTCTTCCCCCGCACTGTCGATCAGGCGAACTCCGTCCGCGAGGATGCCGCTCGCGCCTTCTACTACCCCTACCAGAACCGCACCAACCTCAAGGTCCTCTTGAACACCAGCGCTCAGAAGCTCACCTGGAAGAAGGCCGCCCTCCCCACCGCTGATGGCGTCAAGATCATTTCTGCCGATGGCTCCAGCAGCGTCGTCAAGGCCAAGAAGGAGGTCATCCTCTCTGCCGGCGCTCTCGTCTCCCCTCTCCTCCTGGAACTTTCCGGTGTCGGTCGCGCCACCGTCCTCAAGCAGCACGGCATCAAGACCGTCGTCGATCTCCCTACCGTCGGAGAGAACCTCCAGGACCAGATGAACAACGGTCTCTCCTTTGACCAGAAGAACTACACCTTGGACGGCACCCTCACCACCGTTGCCTACCCCTCCGTCGCCCATGTCTTTGACAACGCCGACGAGGTCGCTTCCCAGATCAAGGAGGCCCTCCCCGCCTACGCCGCCAAGGTCGCCTCCGTCAACGGCAACGTCACCCGCGCCGCGGACCTCTTGGAGTTCTTCCAGCTGCAGTGGAGCCTCATCTTCGAGTCCAAGATCCCCATCGCCGAGGTCCTTGTCAACGCCGCCTCGGGATCCTGGAGCAGCGAGTACTGGGGCCTTCTCCCCTTCGCCCGCGGTAGCGTCCACATTGGTGACAAGTCCGTCTCCCACGCCATCATCAACCCCAACTACTTCTTGCTGGACTGGGACTTGCTCGGGCAGGTCGAGATCGCAAAGTACATCCGCAAGCTGTACAGCACCGCGCCCTTCTCTACCTATGCAGGAACCGAGACCCGTCCCGGCGCGGACGTCGTCGCTGCCGACGCTGATGTTGAGGGCTGGGAGAGCTACATCAAGGGCAACTACCGATCCAACTTCCACCCCGTCGGCACGGCTGCCATGATGCCTCGCGAGAAGGGAGGTGTTGTCGACGCCAACCTCAAGGTCTACGGCACCGCCAACGTCCGCGTTGTTGACGCCTCCGTCTTGCCTTTCCAGGTGTGCGGTCACCTTGTCAGCACCCTGTACGCTGTTGCTCTGAGAGCTGCCGACCTCATTGCCGAGAGCTCGTAGAATATGACTTGGTTCTCAGGATGACTTTGTCAAATCCCAATTTTTTTTCTTCCCAACTTCTCAGTAGATATTTCAAGCACAACTAGATTGTTCATATTGATCCATAGAATAGAGTGTACATTACTTCTGAAGCTCGAGTATATTAGACTTTCTATTATGAGTTCGAGCCTATTTTCGTTGTCCGCTGATTTGCATGCGTCCTTCAACCCAAGCCAGTTATCTACTCACCTCAATCCCGCCCCTCTTCATGGCAATGAGTTTGGGTTTGTTTTTATCACATGACGTCTCACCAGCACATGTCAGGGAGCATTATTTTCTAGAACGTATGCATCCTTTACCCGCAGGGCTTGATACAGGTTTCCGCCTGTCCGCTATTGAGTCACACCCTGGTTAAAGCCCATGTTTGCAGATGTTGGGTGGCATCGAACGTTTTCCCTACTTAGCCATGAAAATACTCTTGCCCTATAATTTCTTTGATTTTAGATCTTCCCTGAGGTTATCATTGTTGCTGAGCCTTGCTACGTGTCTTGATACGAAATGGCGGGTTGTGCAGAGGCAGCGACAGCGAGGTAGTCATTTGACAGCTTGATGGCAGATTCAGCGAAAGCGGAAATAGATTATGATGGCAAAGTCAAGGGCAGCTCCGCATCGAGATGAAAGCAATCGCGGTCATTCCCAGGGATAGGGGTTGGTGACTGATCAAACTCCTTTCGTCCCGCAGGCGGAGAAATTTCATCAACTTCTATATATCGGTGACCTGTCTCCCTTCTTACACTGCGCTTGAAGCCTATCGCCAATCATTTTCAAGATACGTGTCTTAGCCTTCACCTCTGGAGTCCTCTTCACAGTGAGGTCCGTCATCTAGCTAGACAGACCTAGGAGAAAAGTCAGACTACCTAACATCAGCGCCCTTACCCAAACATCTGGCTACTGTTGCGCCAGGAACTCAGATCAGCAAGTCATCCCCCACAATGCCCAGACACAATGTTGCTGCACCGGTCATTTCGATGGCGCGAATTGTCACGGAAAGTGGAATCGTAATGATTCCAGGCCGAATGCTAGGTTGATAACCTGAACGGACTCACGTCATGTTGTAGTCAGACAGGAAGCATGATATGTTCTTTTTGAACACTGTCTGAGAAAAGCAGGTCAATAAGGGAGGCTTGATTAAGATCGATGTTATCTATAGAGGACACCTGAAGCATCGTATAAATATCATTTGTCGCAGCGCCACATGTTGCGCTGCTCAGAGTATTGCTGTATGAGACCGCTTACCATGGAACGACCGTTCCGTGGGCTCGCTCCGTAAAGCGCATGTACAGACTTCCCCTTAGAGGGGCCCCTCATAGCTGAGTTAAGCCACCTTCTACACTATATGTCTCTCGCTTGATTCTTCGCTTTGTGATACTATGAAAAGAAGTCTCGGAAATGATCATTTGGGGGTAATAGAAGTTCATATTCTAAGCAATATGGCCTCTGTTCCAGGCGGATTAGGCGAGAGTCTAGGCAGTATGTTTGACTTTTTAAAACCTCTTATTTACCTCAAACATAGTTGACGTCGAAGAAAGAGCCTAGCCAGAAGATTCTTATCAATTGATAGCTACGCAAGAGGTACGGTTAACTAGCGTTGATGCACAACTTTCCAAGGCCTACAAGCTATACCTACAACTGGGTAAATATCTAGACTTTAAGAAAAACTGTCAACTTTCTTTATTTCTAGGTGGTAAGCCATCATCATCAGTGCATGTTTTGACATTATATCCTATCGAACGGCGGCTAGAAGCTGGACGGCGGGGTTCATTGTCCAGAATCGAAAGAAGTTGTAGGTGATGAACTGTTGTTGCAATCGCTTGCTTTGACATTGTACCCCATCTAGCAGTAGTGTTTACGACGTCAAAGAGGCCTATCAAGCTTTCCCATCTCTTTCGAGTATACTTTGGCACACGTCTCTCTGTAGGTCACGACTTAACCCCCTGGTGTTGTTGGTTCAAGACTCATGCGTTGGTTGAACTCAGCACTTCATGGGTGTGCTGGGCGCCAGTCGCTGCCAACTGTGCAGGTAGACCGGTAAACAATGCGTGTTTCCGCTCGTGATACGCTAACATTTAACCACAGTGCCCCTAGGTGCCTTCCAGGTTATACCATTGAAGGGAGCAATCTCCACAAATTTGGGTTGGGCAGTCTTCCTTCACCATCAACTCGTTTCCAAAGCAATCCTACATTACTCACGCCACCGTCAATCAAATGTCGGCCGCAGATACATCAGATCCCACCACCAGCCAAAGCCAACCCCCTGCATCCGGCCAGATACAGACTTTCCTTCAATCCAGCTTCTTTAAGGAGCGACGCGCGCCTACACTTCCTAGCCCAGCTGAGATCAGAGCTCGCAACATCGAGGTGGGTGGTCTTTGGGCCACGAATTTTAATCGCCCACCACCCGTCATATACTCGTCGCTAGGGCTTCTTGTCAAGTATGGTGGTGATGTCAAACACGTCGAGGCTCAGACTCAGATGATGGTGCGCGAGCGACTACAAGGCAAAGTCCCCGTCCCTGAGGTCTTTGGTTGGGCCGAGGATGGACGCCAGGGGTTCATCTACATGGCCTTGATAGAGGGCGCGACCTTGCAGGAGAGATGGCGTGACCTAGACGAAAACGCGAGGTGTTCAGTTTGTGATGAACTGAAAGAAATGCTAGCGGCAATACGGGCTTTGGAGCAAGATAGTCATGATCCCTATGTCGGTAAGTGAGCTACCTCGAACTGTACAAGAATGTGTCAAGTCTAACATGCGGCCCTACTTTGTCAGGCTGTGTGGGCAAGCAACCACTGAGGGAGATTACCCTGGCCGATTATGAAACGTTGGCTGGTCCGTTCTTAGGCGCAGACGCCGTCCAGCAGTTCCAAGATGCGTATGGAATCATGATGGCAAGCGGTGCATCGCCCATTGTGTTTACGCACGCTGACCTCGTCGCACCCAACATCATGTTGTCGCTGGGGCCGAACCCGAAAGTGGCGGCCATTATTGACTGGGCCCAGTCAGGGTGGCTTCCTTCGTACTGGGAGTATTGCAAGTCGAAACGGTTGAAGTTGTACGAGACTGAATACTTCAGCGAAGCTCTCGAGGAAGAGTGGCAGACAAAGTATCTCCCAAAAATCTTGGACCCGGTGGATACCGAGACGTGCTACTATCCCTGGCTCTATTTTGTCTCGGGCAAGGGGCACTGATGGGAAAGATCCTTCATAATCCTCTCGAGGATTGGGCAGCATCAACGAAACTGCTCTTCAGCTTCCTGTCAAAGGTTTCTGGAACCTTGATATTCCTTCATTATTACAGTCTTTTACAGCGTCATGACACCTGACAATCTTCCAAGCCTTGCCCAAGCTCGCCCACATTCCCAACACCCAACATCAACCCCATCGCTAACACAGCATCCTCTACTTCCTCGACGCAACCTTTTCCGCCAGCTTATCAAATTCTCCCTTCTCCACCACGATTCCCTGACCCTTGGACTTCCCCGTTTTATGCACAAGATACCCCCCGACACCGAGTCCCACGGCAGCGATGGCCACCAGCGTCGGCCTATAATACCAGAAACTCAGGTCAGCCAGCCAGCCAGCCAGCCAAGAAAAAAAAACGCCTTCATCATTCAGAGCGCTCATCACTAGAACGAGGCATCGATAACTCACCAGCTTTGCGTGGCACCACTGGTAGGCGGCACGGGCTCCTGCCCGCCGGGCCCGCCGAGATCGCCCTCTTTGGGGTTATGCGTGCTCCACCGGACCTGGCGGGCCGCGGCGAAGGGTGCCGCAGTGGTCCCGGGGACGGGTCGCGCGATGGCGAGGCGGCGGAGAAAGGGAAGGGATCTGGCGGAGGCCATTTTTTTTTGGATGGGAATAGCCGTAAAGATTTTGATTCCGGTTGCTAGTCAACCAAGCTTCTCCTTTCTTGCAAAGGCTTCCCGTTAATAATCCTTCGACTCAAGATAAACTCGTCGCAAATCGGTTTCGAAGCCGCAAGCCAAAGCCTCAGAAGACGGGTGAAGTTGAAGTCAAAAAGTCGTCTGTAATTGGACGGTGACGACACCCCAAGGAGAATCTGGGGACAGGGCTGGGTGCAATGGACCCTCGAGGTGGCCGTGGCAGGTGCGTCATAGGTGCATCACTTTGCCCCAAGCCCCATTGCTTCATTATCCTCTCCCTTTTCCTTCCCCCCAAATTTCGAAACTCGTACAATGATTGGAGCGTTCGCAAGCGACCCGTGGAAGCCTTCTAGAACGATTCGAATTCCGGTTCTAGAAAACAAAGTCGGGCTTTGGAACCGAACTACGGATAGTGACTGCAGATCTCAGAGCTTGACTAATACAGGGTGCTCCCTACAACGTGCTCGTTACCTGACCTTGTTTTTCTCTTCTAGTCCACACAATTGCTTCGTTCCTTTCCTGAGCTATGCACACTGGGAACTCCACCAGCCGTTGTGTTGATCGATGCATGTGCATTGGAAAAGAGCCTGGAAAAGAGCCTGGGAAAGGAAGAGGAAACGACTGGGAGAGGGGGGAGGACAGAGGTGATTATCATAGTGCCAAAGAAAAGCAGCACATCCCTTGGTAGGTTTTCTCAGCAGTTCTAATGAGAAAGCACAGACACAAACAGCACCAATACGCCATGCCACCATGCGACAGCTCGCGCGATTTCCACCAACAGCTTCTTCACCAAGATCTCACCTCTCCAACACCACACTCATGTGGCAAAATGGGGCCAGAGAAGGAAAGTAGTCACGAAAAGTACGGCACTCAAAAAATGTATGGAGTGCTTTCCCTCCCCGCAAGATAAATCAGACCTACGTAAACCCGGAACCGACGAAATCCTCGTTAGGTTTGATATCAATATCCGACCGAGCTCCCCGGCCCCCGTTTGTCCCCCGAAGCTTCCCCCGAAGCTTCCATCGTATTCCCGAACTTCCCATCACAGCTCGCACTCGCACTCGGCGGCGCGGAGACCACGCTGAGTGCCATGCTCTCGGAGATAACGAGGCTCAACCCCGTTTGTACGATCAGGAAAATCAGGGATTCAATATCCGAGATACGGCAAGGCGAGAAGCCAGAGCAAACACGTCGTGGGTTGCTAGGATGTGGCACAATACAGTGAGTGTCCTAGTTCCAATTCTCATTCCTAATCCTGGTATCGCTGGCGTGGGGGTTCGGGGGACACCCAGCGCCGAGTCCAACGCTCCCGAGTCGGCCGAGGCCGTAATGACCACGCCACGACGAGGCTCCCTCCGATGGGTCACTAGTCATCCCCAAAGGAAATACGTTCGAAAACGTCGTATCCCGTCCCGAGGCTCCCACCAGTCCTCTTGGACCTATAGAGTACACGTATGGGACTTTGCATGCTGGATGCTTTAATGCAACCAGGAAAGAGCTGCAATCGTACGGAGGATGAGGTAAGATTATGGTCAATCTACCATAAAGATATGAACTGAGAGGTACTGTGTCATTGATCTATCTATCGTTGGTATCAAAGAAAGGGAAAAAAAAGGAAAAAAAGTAACGCCCCATTGCGTTGATGCCTTTTCGTGATGCAAATGCCATCGTCCTGAAATGCCGCAATCCTTCCCAATGCCATGCTGCTGGAAAAAAAAAATGAAAAAAAAGGAAGTACCCTGGGAGAAGAAGAATCCTCAAGGACGTAACCAAGACCGGTACTTTGCTTTCGCATAATAACCCGTTGGCTGCGTGTTCCCATGTGCTGTGAATTCGTCGTCTTCGTCCTCGTCCTCGGTGGTCCCATTATCACCACCCCGAGGCCGTCCGGCCGGTGGGGCAAAAGTTACCAACGACGACTGCCCCCGTTAATCTGATAGAGGTACCCATAGTGATATCCATCCCTCTTTCTCTGGCCCAGATTCCGAGACCCATTCACCACAACCGCGATGACGAACCGGCGTGTGACACCAATCGAAGGCTTCTTCTAAGCTGCCCACGACGGGACACTCCAGTATTTTGTCTTTGGAACGACCCTGACCTCGGGTGGATTCCACACAGGCTCCTGCGACATGCGCGCAGATGTAGACGCGGACGCATCGTTGGCAGCGCCACGAGCATTCTCATCCGACTCTCTAGCCTGGTCCATGGCCCCAACAACCCAAGACTTGATCTCCCTCAGCGCACGGCGCTTCTGCGTCTGCTCTCTGTGCTTGCTGCCCGACTCACCCAGCGGCAGCTCATTGTAGATCTTGAAGCTGACAAGCAGCGTCAGCGTCTTCAGCTGTGGGAACTGCCGGATGAGGCGGACGCCTTCGTGGCAGTGATTCTGGACCCAGCAGGGGCGGAGGCCCCATTCCATGGCCAGGTTTTGGAGATTGGCAAAGTTGGCTGCATCTGGCATGATTGACTGGGACGGTCCTGTAAATGTGTCAGTGGTTTGGGGGTTTTATATACGCAAGTTGCGTAGGTAGGGTGAGGTAAGGAAAGAAGAAGGTGAGAATGAGAGTGAGACTCACCTCTGTACATGAACAGGGTATCATTGCGATAATTCATATACACACCATGGCCCTGTGCCTGGAGGCCTCTCGAAAGATACAGCATCTCATACTGCTCGTCCCGCGAGCCGCGTCGGTCTTTAGACTCATAGAGCAGCTCGGCGCGGGACTCCCGACAGACGTGGAGAAGGGCTGGGACGCGGCGTCGCAGGCCGTAGCTCATGGTGGTGTTATTGGGCGAGCGCTCGATGACGGCGGGCTTGGGCGCTGCGAGACGCCATATCTTGGTACGGAGCTCGGGCGAGAGAGAGCCGAAGAGGTGGAAGGTGGGCGGCTTCACATCGCCGGAGAGGTCCAGGGTTGCCAGATCCGCGAGGAGGGGCCCCGGGTCCGAGTATGTTGAGACAAACATGGGATCGAGGGTGATGATGCGTAAGTTGGTGTTGGACGCCTGGAATTCCATGGTAAGGTGTGCCTTGGTTAGGCATGTAGTAGTAGTAGAAGAAGAAAAGTTGAATCGCGGCACTCCGTTCCGTGACGGCGGGGAGAAAGAGTTCGGAGGGGTGAAGATGAAGAAAAAGAAGAGCCCGGTCGAGGCGCGGCAACTATTCAAGGGGAAAGAGGAATGGCGGTGGTGGTATCACTTTCCGTTCCTGTTGTTAGAGCCGAATGAGGCAACGAGCGAGCGATGCAGGCCGAGCCTCGAGGTGGGATGTGGTCAGCGGGGCGCGGGAAGGTGCAGGGGAAGGAAGGAAGGTACGACGCGGGTATTGGATCCGTAATCTAGAACGACTTGGCAGGTCGAGATGAGGTGGGAGGTTCAGGTGAATGAGGCCTGTTCGTACTTGAGGTGCATTCGAATGAGGTACTTGTGTACCAGTACTGCCTTAGGTAGACCGGGCGGAAAAGCGGTGGCTTGTCGCCCTTGAGGAAGCAGGTGAGGATAAATGAGGATTTGTTTCGTGTTGTGTAGATAAGGCGAGTGAGTATTCAGTCTCTTGGTCCAAAGAGACTGACAGATCCAAATCTCCGTGTAAGAGAATTCTGGGCGAATATGAACCGGAACAGCAGACAGTGAGTGACACCCAGGTAGATGCCTTGGGGTGGAAGACGTCGAGTAAATGGACCGATAAAAGTGGCGGATAGCTGGCACTTCCTGTCAAGACACCTTGAGCTAGGTACGACCAAGCCCCCGAGGCGAATAAGAAGCCAACACAAGAGACGCCGAAGATCAGTGAGGCAATGAAAATTTCTCGGGTTGGATAAAAACCTGGTCGTCGCCCGCGCTGGCCGCTCGCCGCTGACCGCCGTGAAATGGCAACGGCACACGGAATATGTCCGCCCAAAGTAAGCTAACTTTTTTCCCTTCTTCTTCTTGCCCGTCTTCTCTCGCGCCAATTTGGAAACAAGGCAAACAAAAGGGCCGCCCGGCGGTCAGTGCAACAGCGACAACAGATGCCGCCTGCGTTGTCCCTACCTAAGGTAGGAGCTACCTTAATTTACCTTGTAGGTAGTATAAGCCCCCCCGGGACCCTCCCGAGACGTATCAACGGTTTATTGGCCCAGAAATCTCTTCAACGGCCACGACATGGCGCAAAGCTAGCAAGCACTGGCACTTGAAACCTGGGATTTGGCCGCCAGCTTGTCTAATTGATCTCATTGATGATTGTGGTATCAAAAATGGGGGGGCCCAACATCGCGTGTTGTGTCAGCTGTTTCTCGGCCAGACGTAGAATCATGCCAGAAAATCAGCGATGCGCGCCATCTCGCTACAACTTATTTGTGGAACCCTCTGCCACTGAGCGAACAGTGGCATCCCAGCCATCTACGCATATCATAGTGACCACACCACTTTCATCTCACAAGCTTATCCAATAACCGACGAAACTATCGTCCGATTGCCTCATGCCATTCTCGTTCCCTTTGGAGAACTCCCTTGTCCTCGACACAGATCTTCTTGTTAAACTCCTTGTACTTATCCATACGACACACCAAGCTTTGAAGAACCCGGTGGTTCTCCTCCTGGGGAAGGTCCGTTAAGGCGATGGCCGCCGCCATGTGTCTGGTAAATCGATTAAAGTGAGGACCCTGGTAACGCATTGGTTCAGGGTTGAACCCCTCGTGGACAAGGTGACTGTAGGCCAGTCCAAACCGGTCTCCATACCCAGGGATCGTTTGATGGGCGGGGGCTGACCAGTCAAAATTGTTCCAGAATATACATGTCTCATCGTTGGGCTTTCGCAGCTTGTGCTCTTGTACAAAAGAATCTGCCATTTCAGCCAATTGCCATCGATACATGATGAACGCTGCGATGTCGATATATCGACGGACACGCCGCTTCTTGGGTTCGATCCCGTGCTTAACTGCATCGGTCAGCATGGTGCTGAGTCCCACGCCCCAACCTCTATTCCAGTCTCCCGGGCATGTCTCAAGGAATAGCTGAGCCATCTTGCGGACATCGCCGGTGATCATGGCTCTCGTCATGGTCTCCCACGGATTTGCAGAGCAAAGAACGCCTCCTGTAGGTCCAGGCTGCGCTGTGACGGTCTTGCCGGTGTTGCTCGGGTGAGGGTCCAGGTATAGCTTCTTTGTCGAGTCTCGGGCGTATGGGACATCGACGAGCTGGTTCCACCGGTCTTTGAAGTGACCCGGCGGGATACCCAACGGGATGCCCGTTCGCTCATGCCAAACCCCCTCCCATTCGTCATCTTGAGCGCTGAATGTGAAGTTTTGCTTATCCCAAAACCTAGTGACGTCGCTGCGGCAGATGTCGATAATTGACCTGGTGTATGCGTTGAACGTGACAACTTGGTTGTCGTTCGGATCCTCAGGTTGCATCGCAACGCCGTTTGTAGACGTCAACGACTTGATGACCGTGCTTGCGAAAACGGAGCCACATGCACCCTCTCTGATGCTGTGAGAGTCATGCCACGCATTGGACTCGTTTTCCTGATCGGCAGCCGCCATCGCGGTGGCGTTGAGAGTAAGAATCATGACCGCAGTTGGTAAACTTTGGACCAGGTCCAGAAGAAAAGAGGGCGTGACAGAGAGTGTGAGAGAAGCACACAAGATAACCGAGGCCTAAAAAAGGCTGGATCGTAGCCCGAGATTGCGCAATGGTGTAAATATAAAAGAGAGGAGGGGGAGGAATTGGTACTAGAACGACTAGATAATGTCTAAGTTTTCTCATCTATGGATGAGGCCATTGAGGTTAACTGTGAACCTGGATGAGGAGGAGGTTTAATCATAGACCCTGATGTCTCGAGGTTTATCTTAAAAAGTGCTAACCAGCAATTAGTGGATGCTGTAAGCGTGTTATACATGGATATACAATACTAAGTAATTGGCCCTAATGAGAGATAGGAGTAGGCGCAGAGATCATGTTCATGAGTCGTTTTACATCGAGGGCAAAAAATAAAAAGGTCCGGCTATGACTCGCTGAAGGTCGTCAATCACACCCGTCCGGCCAACCCCCGGCCCCGACACCGTGTAACCCAAACGCCCGTTCCCGGACGGTCGACAACACCCCTCTCGCGAAACATCGTACCAGACCCCTCTTCTGTCGGCCCCCCTACGCTCCATAGAGACGCTGCCCAGGTGCCGCACAGCATCTTCACAGTCTGGTCTCATCCGACCTTGATCTTGCGGCACCAGTCCCGTCCATGCGCGACCTGCCAGTTGCAAAGCTGCACCTCCATGACGATACCGACGAACCCGGCAATGCAGATTCCGCCACTGTCGCTGACGCTCGTCGCGCTCAAGCTAAACTCCCTGTCCTCGCTCGGCACCTTTTCCATAATCTCTGCAAACGTGTTGACGTACACCGCGCCCCCCAACAGACCCTCCCAAAACACGATCAAAAACACCACGTACACTGACGGGATGAAGTCGAACAGGGCGTGGCAGGTCAGCAGCACGAGGTTGACGATCTGCAGCAGCGAGGGCAGGTAGAGGCGGTGGATCCGGTAGAACGGTGTCGAGGACCGCGAGATGAAGACGCCTAGCTGGTACAGGAACCCGTACATTGGATAGAACTCGCGGAACTCCTTGAACGGTGACGACGAGAGCGGGAAGAGCAGCGTCGGTGCGACGCCTTGATTGATGGTGTACTCGGCAATGTACACCAGCAGTAACGGCAGCATGTACGGGAAGAAGAGCGACTTTGCCCTCTTCAAGTTGTGCTCGAAGCTGTGCGCATCCGCGTGCTGCACCGAGTATGCCGTCGAGGTGGTTGCAGGGCCCGGCGCCAGTAGAGCCGATGACGCCGCGTTCTGCGACAGCTCCTCGACATCCTCCTCTTCCAAGTCCTGCTCCGAAACGACTGTGTACTCCTTCCGTCCCCCCTTGAGCGGCCCCTTTGGCAATATGATGAAGAAGCTCACAAACATGATGGAGGGCAAGCAGGCGGAGAACAATAGGCTGTTGCGCACGCTGAACCCCCACCAGTCCGTCAGCACCACGTATAGACCCGCCCCGACCAGACCCGCCGCGCCCGTCCCGCTACCCCAGCCTGCGAGGCTCATGGGGCCGTAGTAATGCGTCAGCCCGAGGAAGCTGAGCTCGCCACCGCCGGAGCTGAGGCTGGCGATGACGACGCCGACCATTTTTACGGCGACGGACTTTGTGGGCGGCGTGAGGGCGACGAGCAGCATGCCTGAGCACGACAGGGCGATTAGGACCAGGACGCGCAGCGAGTAGGGCACTCGATGGATGAAGTAGGGGGCGATCAGTTTCGTGAAGAAGGAGGGGAGGACGTCGGCGAGGAGGACGACGCCTTTCGGGACCGACGAACCGACGAGGTCTTGGGCGGCGGATAGAATGATTACGTAGAGAACATTGTTGATGAGGCCTATCCTACACGTCAGCACACAAACAGACCTTAAGAAAGAAGCTAAGAAGCGTACCGAGAAGCCAAAAGGCCACGATAACCTGGGTATCAGCATGGCGAACGAGGGCAGATAAGCGGGCGCGGTACGTCGCCCAGGACGACGACGGTGATCCAGGCATGGGAAGAAGGCCGGAGGACGAAGGCGATCGGCCGGTCATATTTCCCTACAGCACTGTTCTCGACTCCAGAGAAAAGACGGCATCGAGAGAAGGGCGGTCAAAACGTCTCGTTGCGATGGAGAGGTCGTTCGTCGGAGGTTTAGGTACTGCCTAGGTAGGTTTGGGGCGCGGCATCCAATGGTTTCGACCGTCGGACATCGGTCACAAGATAACCGCTGTCTCAGTGCAGCGTTGGACCGGGGTGCGCCGGCCACGTGCAGCGCAGCCAACCAAAATCTCGCGATAAGGTAACCGAAGAGAGAAAGGCCTGGGAGCCCCGTCCAAGCCACGCGACTCAGACAATGCGCCGTGACGTCGTCGCGTTAATTGAGTTGCTGTTGACTCGGGAAAAACAGCTTTTGGGTGGAATTGGGTTGCAACCGCAAAAGCAAGGAGAGGCAATGTAACAAGCAATTTTTCGATTATTCTAGCCTCTATCCGTATTGCAGGGTGGAAATCGGGTATCTCCTATCTCGTGCATCATGAGCATCCATCTGCTCGGTAGATTCACTCTCTGCGACATGTAAGCGCCCAACAACGATCAACGCCGACTCTTTCTCCTCAACTACCTCATGTGGCGTGATCACATTTCTCCGTGATTTTGACAAGAGACTCATGAGTGGCATCACAGAGCCGGTCCTTCCCAAGCGTCCCTATTCAACTTCATCAAATAGGACTGCTTGTGGGGGAACGCCACTTCTCGTTCTTTAGCAAAGCCGGCGTATTGAAGATGTTGCAGGAATCTGTGACGGAAAAAGTTAGCTCGCCGCCATCTCTGAAAGCTGGATTCAAGGGTTTCACCTCGCATTGTCAATCCGCGGCTCCAAGCAGACATTCATCGTGCGATAATCATCGGTAAGGCACCAGTGGACCAAGCTGGTCAGCCACGCCGGCACCCGTCCCCGCGCCCACTCCTCGCCGACAAAGACGTGGATCCCACGGTCGTAGTCCCCGGCATCGCTACCCAGCTTCTGGCCCAGAATGTCCTCCTTGACCCAGTAAATCTCAAAGTATCCAAATGGCACCCCGTCCCACATGCCGATCACGGGGAACGAATGCTTGGAGCTGAGTGCGTTGCTCAAAAAGTCTGGCGAGTAGTCTCCCCAGAACTTCTTGACCCGCGGGTTCGCCAACCAGGACTGTAGCAAGGCTGTGTCAGACAAGCTGGCGAGGTTGCTGTTCTCGACGGGCTTGGGGCCTACGGGTCCGAGGTAGGGAACGGGATATTGTGTAAGTGACGCCACGCGGAACGACAGGTACTGCCCGACGCTTGGGATGTAGCGGGAGTAAAACACTTCTCCCATCCGGCCTGGCTTCCGGCGGATGGGATGGCGCACACCGTTCGTGACCGTGTACATCAAGGGCGCTGGTGGATAGTACGTTGGGAGGTGTGAGCTCGAATAGAACGGGCCAATGGGGAAGTTCGGTGTCGTGACCGTGGACATGGGCGGTGGTCCTCCAGGGAGGTCAGAATCGAAACGGCCCCCCGTAGACTGGTGCGGTGAGTGTACGGGCGTGTGGTGCTTCGAGTGGATAGACTCGGTTCGAGCAGGTGAAGTAGGTCGGCTCCCGTCTGGCGATTCTGGGGTTGTGGATGAGGCGCTGGTGCGCTGCAGAGTGAACAAGAAAAGCCGGCCTGGTATCTGCCAAAACATGCGCCGTGAGACAAACATCTGCGACCATTCCTCGCCGTTATCCTTGAGGTTCGTTCCTACCGCCGAGTCCAAGGACGCAATCAGGCCCATGCGCTCCAGCTTTGGTATGAGGTTCCTTCCGCGCAATACCCCGTCACGCTTGATATTGATGCGCCACTCGCCCTTGGGTCGTGCTTCTTCGGGGGTCAGTCTCGATGCATCGGTCGTCATGTATGGCGACGGCTGAGGTTGATGAAAGTACCAGTAGAGCGTGATCCAGAGCATCATGGCGATCTGACGGGTTGGGCTGGCGGCGGGCTTGAACTCGGTGCTCGAAGGCTGCGACATCGACGAGATGAAGAGGCTGTCGCTCTGCAGTGTAGGCTGTTTGAAGCTGTGTATGTGTCGCCGGCGGGCATGGGCGCGGTCCTCCTCCCCCTGCTCACCGTCGACATGGTCCACGTCGAGTTTTTCATCCTCGGTTTTGAGCACAATGGTCCAGCCGATGGGGAATGGGTTGTTGTGCGTGTTGAGGTCGTGGGACTTGAAAAAGAGGCCAGCAAAGACGGGTGTGACTGTGAACTTCTGTCCGTCTGGTAGATGGATGATTTGGGGGGCCATGGGCGCTGGGTGGAGCTGCCGCACCACGTCTACCTTGGTAGCCCGAGCTTTAGCTTCTGGTGGAGGGGAACGGGATGGAGGGCAAGGCAAGGCAAGGCGGGGTTCCAGTACCTAGGTAGGGACACGGTGAAGGAGGACAGACAAGAGAGGAAGGCGTCTTCAGTGTCCAATCGGGCGAGGGCAGTGTTCGTGGTTGTTCGAGATACGCCTGGTCGAGGAGAATGGCGGGGTAGATCAGCTGTCAGAGTGATATCGAGCGGTCGTCTTTTGTACTCGATCGTCGGACGAGGGCTAAGATGTCCCCAGGTTGATGCAAAGGTATCGTCAGATCTGGGGATGGATTCTAGTACCCCTTCTCGAACGCCAAAGCAGCCATTCAGTGACGCGCCATATGGAAGGTAGCGAGATTCTGACAAACAGAGCCCTGTTGGTTGGGTGGTGGTATGATGATGGGTTAACCAAGTGGGGTGAAGCTTTCCCGTTCGCGTCTGTGGCGGGGATGGTGGTGTTGGCCGTACGGTGTCTTTGGCGTCGAGGGGTCAGAGCTCCCTCCCTTCCTCGCTCCCTTGGCCCTGCTGTGCTGGGGCCGATTTGGCACGTGGTGGGCCGTGGCAGCGGTTGAAAGCGGAGCATCTCGGTGAAGCCGACCCGTCCCGCCTCAGCAAGCCTTACCGGCATACACCGAACTTGGTGCCCGGTCACCCGATGGAGCTCGATAGCATGGGAAAATGTTTCCTCAGACATCTGCTGATCGGTGTCCCCGCGATTCCTTAAGGAGAAAATGCCACTTCACCGCACGACAAGTCTCCTGACACCAGACGACCTCTTCTCATTGTAAAGCACGCAATCGTCGGATTTCTGTCTCTTCAATGAGATGGTCAAGCCCTCTCAAAATCACGCGGCGGTGTCATAGGAAGAGGATGGAAAGCCCCTCAGCTCTTGATGTCCTAGGATATGCTCGCTTCAATCATGCTCGAATTGTAGCTATTATTTGTATTCATACAGGGGTATCGCACTTGGAAATGTTCTAAGGACTTGCTATGATGCAGTCTTGCCCTCACTCCCATCATCAGATTTTTCCTTCTTCTTGTCGTCCTTACGTTTATGCTCTGTACGCTCTTCTTCCTCTGCGTCGTCTTCATCTTCGTCGCTCTTGCGTCTCCCCTTCTTCTCTTTGTCCAGAACTTCCATTACTCCCTCGCCGCCAAGATCCTTTGTTTCGTCCCAGTCAACGTCGTACTCAGTCGCCACGAACCTGACCTCTCGGCGCAAGGAGTTGGCTTCGTGAACAAGCGCCTCCCACGCAGACGGGTCGAAACCGCGCTCCTGGTAAAGCGCCTGCTGTCGCTTGGAGACGGTGATGTTTAAAGCCGCCTTGTAGCTGAGATCCTTGCTGATGTATAGGAACCACAGGTAACCGCCCATGATGGTCGTTAAGCCAGCCAGGTACGTCACCGGCTCGACGAGGTCCCAGCCGGCATCGGTGTGGAAGGTGACATAATACACGACTCCCCACCAACCGGCGAGGAGGCCGAAGCCTCCCTGTGCCATGCGATGCGCTCCACGGTGCGCAAGCGTGTCACATTCTTGCTTGAGCTTCGCCAACTCCTCGACGCGACGAGACATCCTCCGCAATCGAACGCGCATGTAGTATGTGCGGTCATTGAAGCTCGGCACAGCTACCCGCAACTCCTGCTTGTAACCCTCTATGCCAATCGAAAACTCTCGGCCGCGAGCGGCGTCCCGGATGAAGTCGCCCACTTCGGTACTGCTGCTCCATCTGACCCAATTAGTATCGTCGTGATCCTTCTTCGGGCCCTTGTGGCCGAGACCCGAATATGAAGCGACGTTGCCCTCTTTCTTCTGCGATGCGCTCTTGTCCTGTTCCTGTTTGCCATCCTGGTGGTCTGCCTCTGCTCGGAAGTATATCTTGGGGATCCGTTCTCGACGACCATCGTCGATAGGCGGGATTTCGGCCTGTAGTAGTCTCTCAAGGTAGGACAGTGGCTGCTGAGGGTGTACAAGGAGGGCGAGCGGGGCGATTTGATCCCTGTCGTCGTCTTCCTCGGGAATCTGCGTGTTGCGTGTCTGTTCAGCGTGAAAGGGCAACGGCAAAATGAGCTTCAACAGCCTCGTTGGTGTTGTGAGGAGTCGTCCTAGCTAATAGTAAGTAAAGATGCATTGCAGGTGTGCTCGGTTGCAGGGCGCATTGGGCTAGCATACCGCGAGTCTTATCGCCGTTTGTGGGATCTTTGGACGACTCTCGTTGCTCAACCTCGTCTCCAGCACGGTGCCATGGTCTTTCCTCTTGCTTTCTCAAAGCGATCTGCTCATCACGCTCTAGCTTCTCCCTCTCCTCCTCCTTGCTCATGTCATCCTGGTTGGGCTTCTTGGCCTTGGCATCATCGGGGTCGTTTTGACGGTTTGTGGAGAGCCCAAACGCCCGTTTGTTCACCGGGATCTTTCTTGGGACAATGCCGAGCCCGGCTGGGCGGAAAGCTTGACGCAGAGGACCATGCTTAGGTCCGAAGCTGGAAGGGAGTTGCAGGCATACGCGACGGAACGCGTAGCTCATTTCGATGTCTGTTGCTGGATTGGACTGTTTGTGGTTCAGTCAACTAAAAAGACGCATTTCTATTATTTGGGGAAACCGGCAGTATCTTTATGACGGCGGCAGCAGCAGAGGGAGCTCTGCTGAGCCAAGTATCGCGCCTGCCGACAGCTCTTAGCTGGAACCTCACCACACTGCCATGACGTCAATGGATGATGACTGTCACGTGTGCAGGGTGGCTGAGCTTCCAGTAGCGCCAGCTCCAGCTCCAGCTCCAGTTTCCTTGGCAAATTGCTCCAGCTGAGCTCCATGATATCTCCACCCTGGTCTCGCCTAGAGCTTAATTAGTCGCTCCTCACATCATCATCAGCACCGTACCCCAATTTCCGTGGGAGCTAGCTTCATCACTCCAATCCTAGGTATCTGCATGTTGTGCCACGCTTGCGGCATGCAAACCTGGTTTCCGGACATGAGGTCTTGGCGAACAGCTGGAGGTCCTGCAGCTTCGCCTACATCATCAAGGGATGGCACTTCACGAGGTCATGCATCAAATGACAAAGGCCTTGTGGGAAACTTCGATCCGTTCACCATTCACCATGCCCGGGAATCTCCTATAGCCCAGCCCTATCAGCTAATGAACCGCCATTTCACACCTTCCCATCTCTCTCTCCTCCGAACTCGGACTCCGTAGCCCTGGCCATCATCTACGGGCTTGACCGCAGCTCCCGTCATCAAACATCCCGCTGCTTGGGGCACCTTCACCGTCTGCTCCATGTTCCCGTCAAGAGGCACAACGTCAAACCCTAGCAACAGAGACGCCACGAAGCCAAGGTTCTCTGCAAACGCAAAGTTGCGTCCCGGACACAGGTGCCTCCCACCGCCAAAGGGTATGAAGGCCGCTCTCTTCATCTTCTCGGCCTCGGAATTTTCCTTTCCTGTCTTCACGACGAACCTGTCCGGATCAAACGACTCGTGATCCTGTCCCCACGCTTTCTCCAAGCTATGACTAACTTGGGCGGACATCTGCACGTTGCAACCCTTCTTGAGGAGGTATGACCTTCCATTCCCATCCGAAATCGTCGTGTCCTCCAAGACGCGTCTGTTGCCCATTCCCTTGTTCGATATCCGAATCGCCTCGCGATAACAGCGCACGAGCAATGGACAACGTTCGTCAAGGGTACCAATATCAAGTGTGACTTCTCCGTTGCCCCCATGTTGCGCCACCGGCAGGAGTTCGTCCCTGAGACGGGCTACCAATTCGGGACGACTGAAGACGTGCACCATGAACCAGAACAAAGTCGGGATGGTGTTGGACGTGGCCACATGCAGCAGCGCAACCTCAAATACCCCGACTTCCTTGCCCGGGATGCCGTGATTCCGCAGGACGTTGGCGCGGTTCTTGACGATCTGCGATGCATCCTTGTGCGAATCGCCGTCGCTTCCGTAGTATTCGCCCAGCGCTGCTTGGAGCCGTTCTCTCGCCTGGAAGCATCTGCGCGCCGTGATGGACGGCGCTACGCCGAGCATCAACACCGGCAGGTCAGATTCGAAGATCCTGTGTTTGCATGAGGTCATGTCATTGATGCCAAGGGTGTCCAATTCCACTCACCAGGTGTCCTTCATCAAGCTTGCATCCTTCTTCAACGGATTCCCGGGCCCGTACAATGCTTCTGTCGTCGCCATTGTCATCAAGTCCCGCATCCACACCCAAAAATTGGTCGTCTCGTAAGCTTCATTCCCATTGCAGAGGTCGTCCAACGCATCAGACACATAGGAGAGGGCGGCGGCATTCATCCGATGCAGATTATCTGCGGCCATACCGACATGGATACCCTCAAAGAACTCGGGCAACAAGGTGCTATCTTGAATGATCTTGAGGGTCTCGTTGTTGAAACCAAGCTCTCTCTGCGCGAACTCCACCGCGAATGGCTCGAACGACAGGTTTCGATTCCGATAGACGGCCTGGATCAGTATTGGGTCCCAGATGCCATAAACTTTGCCATTCAAAATAGGCAGCGTCGCGATCGCCATATTCCGGCGCCTACGACCACGTCAACACGACGACACTCGTCTACGTTTTCTGAGTGCACCAAGACTTACTCCAAGACCTTGAAATACCGGCTTTGGTGCTGTATCATTCCGATCAAATGACCGATGATAGGGATCCTAGGCTTCATCGTCGGCGGCTCGCGACCGTCAACGTGAGGTGACGAAAACTTGTGAACGAGGATCGCAAAGACGATGACAATGACCAGCGTGGCATATGACGAAGTCGACTTTTGCAAATCCTCGACCAGGAAGGTCAGGAAGCTTTCTGCCTTGGCTGTGCCGTCACTCGCCATGTTCCCGAGTCCCTCGCCGACTTGGCTTGCCATCTTTCCTGGCTGTGGGTTGGGTGATGCTAGTGGAGACCGGCTTATTGCTCACCAAACTGCAGAACAACCGAGGAGACCAGAAGGAGAGTCGTTTCCGTCGTAGGTGCCGAAGGGATGTCGTGAGGGATGTCGTCCTTACATATCAGCTCGACAAGAACGCCCATAACGTGGCCGCGCTACGCAGGGCCGGGACAAGATCAAAGATCAATGCCTCTTTGGGCTCAAGAGAAGATTCTCCGCCATCCTTTGCGGGCGGCGCCTGTCAGAAATTAGCGTCAATCCTCCTTGAAGGGCTATCCCATGGGTGGACGATTCGACGAGGGACTTCGCTAACAAACCGGTTCATCAAGGCAGCTGGCAGGCTAAAATCGCTTGCAAATTTGAACTCTCGGTCTCCAATCAGGACATAGACAACACGTTTGGCTGTAAGGGGGAGTTGAACTGTTGCGCTAATAGGGTCTGAAAGATTGAGAATGCCAGGACGGGGCGCCGGCTCTCCTCTTTTTTTTTTTGAGACAACCCATCTCACCCAGGCCTGGACTAACTATGTACCTTGGGCAAATGGGAGCTCTCTTCTGGCATTCGAACATGGGGACAAAACTCGGTGATGGGACGAAGCTTGCAAGCCACCACATAGGCAATGCTACTGTTTTGCAACATGACAGGTTTGGCAATATGTCCTCGGTCCTTGACAAGACGAACAGCAGGATTAAAATCACTTGAGTCATCCTTCCACAATCCGTTGGGGCAATTATCCTTACTCCACTCGGCTTTGTGTGATTTTCGAGCAAGTCGAGCGTATGCTCGTTATTTTCCATTCGAGGTGTGATGAAGAGCGTTGGACGTCTGAGTAAGGATGCAAGCTCCAAGCACTCGTTAAAGCTTTGTGAGAAATCCGATCTGGCCAATCGCGATGATGTGGGGACGGGGAGGGACATTTCGAGCTAGATACGGATAATTGAGGGAAACATAAGCCCCGCATGTAAGCTGCAAGGCACAGCTCAAATGTCAGCATCTCAGGGAGTAGTAACCGGTCATTTGTGAGATCAGACGCAGCCAGATCAAGCAGTTAGGACTTTGTGCGTTGAGAATATTCGCTGAGGATTTGCCTTACAAAATATGTCATTATCAAGTTGGAATAAGATCAAAAGTAGGAGATGCAGATTTAGACTTCTCCCTGTTGGTAGAAATCCCTCTCCATCTCTCATACACACACAAAGTCAGGGAAGAGTTGTGAGCAACATCAATTATCCCATTTGCTACAAAATACCAGGTTGAGGAGGTAAAGACGAGGAAAATGCACTACAGGCTACATCAAAGCATGCGGGAATTTACAAACAAATCACATTGCTCTTAGGGCCTTAGGATTCTCAGATTTTAGGTCAAAGAAATAGTCCAGTCATTACTGCACGAAGACTTTGCGCAAACTCCTTGTTTCCACCAAGTCGCATGAACTGCCGTTAACTGTGGTACTTTCTTAGGATGCTACTCGATTGGGCACCAACCACAATGAGGCCGGAATCCTTCCATGCCGCTTAGAACTCTGAGTCCGTTAGGGCACGTGGGGATCTCCTCTCCAGTGATCTCATCAATGATCCAGATGCGTTCTGCGCAAGGGAATCGTCGCTCATAGTAGTACATCGCAACCCGACACCGAAGGCATCTTTCCGTGCAGCAGTAGAGAATGCACATCTTTGCTAGTTATCCTCCAGTGGAAGTTGAGCTGTAAGAAACTGTTTTTTTCGATTTGTATGTGGTGTTGGAATCTTAGCTGCTGTTTGGGCTTTCTGTTTGTGCTCTCTGTTTTTGCATGTGCCTTAGGAGAAAAGCCTCTATATAATGCACTGGGCCTCAAACGCCTCGATGAGTCCGATGACTTGGATATAACGTATGTAAACTTCAGACTTGTAGCCCTGGGTGTCCTGAGACAATCAAAGTCAATGGGCTTCAAAGGAAGGTGGTGTGTAAAACAAGTCCATTGGCAACCGCACGTTCGTACGGGATAGTCGATGCCTTTTATCATGAAATAAAGGAATTCATTGTGAATCACTGGTCTTTCTGGACAGCTCGATCACCACACTGCAATGCTGGCTTTTTCCTGTACAGCTGTGACTGTAAATATTCTAAATCCATACCCTGGCACTTTTCTAGTCATTTCCCATTTGAATTGTGGTTTTCAAAATCTGGGTTTGTACTCTCCATATTCAGCGAATTTCAATACAGCATAGAATCAAGTTGACATCGATGGGAGATTACCTGTGACGAACGCCTCCCAAGGAACGATTTCCCCCTAATGTAATCGAAAGTAGTTTTCCAGGCCCTAACGGAGGTACGAATCTGTAACGCAACGGATTTGGCTACTCGTGCCGTACACCGCCTAGGTCTACGTCAATATTATGCCTCCACTCACTTGATTAATTTAGCCGCATGAAATTTCAAAATACGCGCAATCCAAAGGATATCCACAGAGACATCGGGTAGTATGATGCCCATAAATAATCGCACCCCTTTAGTAAGCCTCTCAAGCTCAAGCTCGTGCAGTAGTGAGTGTTACAGTGACATCTGATTACACACTCGCGGAGAATCATGCCACCCTATAAGCCTACGCCACAAGAACAGCCATGAAAATGCAGCAATCTGTGGAAATACTTGCTGGTAAGACTATACCGAGAGTTTACTGAATGTGAGAGTACCATGTCTGCTCTCTCTAGATTAGGCTTGGACGCCGTTGGGGGTTAGGTCATCAATGTCTTTCGTCGTTACATGTCGGCTGGGCATCTCGGCAAATGAGCTCATGGCTCTGCTTCTATTTAAGCTACCTTACTTGCAAGACTTGTATTAGACTCTTAAGGTCAAAGTTCTTAAGGTCACCGAATCAGGTCATCGCTTTCCTTCGCCAATGTACTCGCAGCATCATATGAACATGCCCAAAAGTCTCATTCTTCTTGCCATTGCCAGCGCGTCACTTTCTGTTGTTCTGGAACATAACTTCAATCTGCACTTACCAAGCCACTGACTAGTATGGGCTGGGAAGCCTACTTCCCGTCTCGCAGCTTTCAGCATATGGATAGAAGGATGCCTGCATCGGGCCGACTAGGAGGTTGGTTAGCTAAACGAGTACTTCAATCAACTTCTCTCTAATATAGGAGAACGAACCGGGTACATGCCCTTATACCGAGTGAGAGCCAACACGTAAGACAGGGCTACCCTCGATCTGAATCACGAGGCTGCAAACAGAACCTTTCCTGAACCGACCGAAACCGTCCCAAACCCGAAGACTGACCACGTCTTCATAGGCCGAGGCTTTTACCTCTTGTCCGGGAATCTGTCGGCGGGGGTGCCCTTCGTGTGATGTCTCAAATTCAAGCCTTTGAACAAGGCCAAGACTGTCGCTCAGGCTCACTTGCTGGCTCAGACTTTGCAAGGGGACTGTGTCGACTTGGTTAAGGATGTTCGACTTGTCAATGTCGAGCTGGGAAACGATACAATACGCCGAAGCCGCGAGCAAAGAGATTGATTTCGAACACTCCAATACAAGTGAACCTGCATTGTTCCCTGAAGCCTTGATTGAGTTCAAAGCACCTGTATGGGCGCCTGCAGGGCCCGTACAGCTAGGGATGCTAAACAATTCAGCAATGAGGAATGCGTCGTCTCAATGTACTGAGCATACATACTCTGGCGGCTTTTATCCAAGACGTACTATTAATCCCGGAGATCTCACAAGTAAAACGTATTTGCGCAAGAACATGACCTTGAGAACGGTTGGTATCCGAGCAGTAACGTCTGTAGACTGTCGGGTTGGATCATGTTTTAGTATGGAACAGGTCAAAACCTCGCCAGTGCGATTTTGTCGAATTGGCATCTTTTTAGACTGAGACAAACTCCTTTGCAAAGTAAGTTTGAACCATCGGTTTGACTTGGGCGATGCTTTAAAATTGCCACACAAATATAATCATGTCCAGCCTGGACTGAGCAACGCCGTCGAGAGTGCACTCTGGGCCATTGACTGGCTGTTTCTGGTACCTCATTCGGAATACGGAGACTACATTTCCATCGCCGAGAATGTTATAGATATAACAAAATACAACCCCGTTGGCCCATTGGGGGGTCTTCAGATAGCAAACAAAGTTCATCCAATTTCATAGTCAGTGCGTTCTATTCACCTTGAAAGCAGGTTGTCACTTCAATATTTGATCGAATCGCGGGGGAAGCTAAAAAACCTCGGACGGAATTGCGCGAGCAAGATTTCGAATTCAGGAACAGTCGCGCATCCTGGTATGTATTTCATTGAATATGGCAAGGTTTGTTGCTATTAGGATTCGTGATCACACACGTCATGCTGCACAAAATGAATGGCTTGCATGCCTACCCGTGTCCGAGGAAGAGGTTTGAGGCTCAGAGAAATATGAGCTTATATGATAATTATCGCGGTCTAGACCGCATTACTTCCGGAGTTCTTCCCAGAGTACGCTTGGGGTCAACTGTTGTAGATAAGTGTCGCAGCGCCACGTGTGCCGCTGCCCAGCAAACTAATACCGCCAGATACCGCTTATTATAAAATGACCGTTTTGTAAGCCTATCCTATGTAACATATATGTAATTACACTCCTTTAAAGGGATTGATTTTATTTAAATCAAACTATCCACCATTATATATATTTTCTACTTAACACCCCGTGTCAGGTGCCCGGCCTGACAATCTGACTGGGGTGGGGGTTCGTCCACCAGGGCCCTTCTGGGATATAAAAGGGGATGAGGGCACGGACTACAGACTATCCGTACCTTGAGAAGGGCAGATTCGATCGTTTGTCACAATACGTGATTGGATGGGTCGCCTGATCAAGTACTTCTGTATCCCAACGAATATCTAACATTGACTTCCTCTTGATGTGCCATATGTCTGCAATACTGAGGAACTGATAATCAATTCAATTCAAGAAGCTCAAAGGTCTTCCTAGGCGCGAAAGTTCTTCCAAGATTTATCCGCAATATTAGCTCCCAGGCTCTTATATAAATACTAGCTAGAAAGTGGAATCTTTGATGGGTTAAAATCGACGCGAATAGAGCTACGGTACCAGCGAGATCTAGAGAAGGATAGATAGTATAGTAGCTACAGGGCGGGATCTAGAGGAAGAGAGGGAAGAGAGGGAAGAGAGGGAAGAGAGGGAAGAGCGGTGTACTACAGAGTCGATCGTCTCAGCCCCGGTCCTCTACACCATGCGCGCTTAGGGATATCTACTCCAAGAAGTATGCCTTTCCTACGATGGCATTGAACATAGAAACGTATTCTTTAAAAGGATTTGCACGTGAATACAAATTTGAGGTTGTTGATAAGTTGTGCCCCAGATTTCCCACATAATCCTTCAAGATTTCTGCGCGAAACCCATCTTATGCCTCATTTGCCTCTTCAGCAGGTTGAACCGGTGTTGCAAGCTTTCCTGCACTGGGCCTCGAATTCTTTTGGGTCAAGGCCTTGGAATTCGATGAACTGCCCGTTGTTGTTGTATATAGCATGGCATCTCTAAAGTGACAAATCAGCCTAGTCCAAAATGGCGAGTGGGATTGGCTTGTCATGGTTAACCTACGCCGTTTTCAAAAGTGCTTGGCGGTCCAACGGCATCACCAGGGATGTCGTGGAATATGCCGGCGCTTGCATAATTGTCACAAGCTATTTTGTTACATTTAACCTCGTCTGTATCGCACACACAGCTGGTGTATGTTTGTGCCATAACCCTATTGAAACTTAGCAGGACGCACTTCGGAAGGACGGAAAGACATACGCAAAAGGCAGAATAATAATGGCGAGGATCTGGGAGAACTGCATTTTCCTTGAACGAATGTTTCTGGGATTACGAATGGGTGACTGTAGGATGATGACAAGATGGTGCCAATGAGGGATGCGAGACCTCAGTATTTATCAATGACAGATGCAACGGTAACAGGTCAAAATGACTGATTCGTGAAGGGGATCCCAGACTGACTAACTATCAACGCGGTATCAGACCAACGTTCAGCTACCCTGACAGGTAGCGATGGGGCGCGGTGAATGCCACCACTTACCGCCTTTTGGCCAATCGGAGAGCTCCATTCAGAAATCGCCCAAGTATCCGTACAGTATTTTGACAAATTCCAATTTCTCCCCTCCACACTCACCGCCCTAATCACCAATGAATTAAGTTGTTACCTGAATCCCTCATATAATATACTCTGGCAACACCGTAGAAACGAGTCAAACTGGGACTTGCGCTAGCCCGTGCTCCCGTTGTCTTACCAGAGATTTGACCAATATGAGCCTTCTCTCAGGCCATTAAGCTCAAAATGTTGTGGAGATCAGCGGACGTAGTTCTGGTACTGAATCCAGCTTAACGCAATCTCAAGTTTTGACGAGTTTCTACGGTAGGTTAAAGGAGCATAGGAGGCTCTGCTAGAGGACTTCCCATTCAAGCTATTAACCATTATAAGAGGCCGCTGCTAAGCCTGAAGGCTTGCGAGCTCTTCCAGCGCATGATAGTAATGCTCAAAGGCTTATTTCTTCTCTATGTTCAGGTCTAGTACTAGCCTATTAAGTTCAAGCCAAGTGCTATCTCGTGATCCTCGTTCCGAGTTGGTTCCCCGATAATAGATGAACCGTCTCCATTCTGCCCCTTGCACGACTCAAGATCGGCGGAGTTCCCAAAGCTTCGAGAATGAAGCAAACTCCATTCGCGTCTCAGACAAATTCAAGACTAATCCCGCCGGCAACTATCGAGCTGCATGTAAGGGGTATGAGGCACCCCCTCCGCAAAGTTCCGCAGGACAATTTCGTCTTGTACCGAAACCGGTACCGATGAAGCATCTTCTTCGCTTGTGGCTACAGAGTGTCCTACCATACAGACTACCTTTGCTGAATCGCTCTCCAATCCTCCTGGTCTGGCTCTGTTTTCCATTCGCTCAACACTCTGTGTCGTTCACATTCATTTCTTCAGTGCTGTCCTTCCGGTACTCCCTTCATCCACCATGCACTACTATTCAACTTCTACCATCGCTCTTCTTCTCGTCGCGGCCGGTGCCGCAAAGTGCCGCAAAGTGCCCTGTCCAGTTCGATGGCAGGATCCCAGCAAATTTCACACTCGCCGACTTTGACACCTCGGCGAGTCCTTTCAACAGTGCCTTTGTCTTTGGCAAGGGATGTTTCACGAAAGGCCAGCGACGTTGTCACAGTTCCTACCGGCCTGTCATCACTGGTATACAACACATAGAAATTGTGTTATTTCAGCATTTAATCTATCCCTCCTAGCTCGACGGCCCGTCGAATAACCCTTTCCAAGTAAATATCGACGATAGATCCATTTTCGCGCCTACCGAGAGAAATGTGCAAACTGGCTTCCGCCGGGCAGAAACGCTGCCCATGAGCAACAATGGCACCGATACTTCTACGTCCGGCATCAAGACGGTCCATTGGAGCACGATGACGGACCCAAAGAAGCTGCTCAACGTGACCCACGAATAACAAATGATCTTTTTGGGGAGCGCCATCTTCTGCTCAAATCAATTTGCCTTAATGTACGGCGATCTCATCGGCATTCGCCCCGTGGACCCGGATATTTTCCACTTGTTTAGCAACTCCAACACCAACCCATCGCCGGACGTCTACAACACGAAATTCACCGAGTGCGTCTTCCACAACTTTGCGCTGACTTTGGACTTCAGTAAGAAGTGGATAAGCGCCTGCGTGTGCCGTTTGATGACTTCTGTTGACATTTGCCATCGCAGCTTGACCCAGGTGTCCTACTCCCAAGGAAGTGCTCCTCTCGTCGCTCAAGGCCAGCTCAATGAGAAGGACATCTCGGGACAGGGATCGTTCCACTTCAGCGTCTTGAAGAAGTCGATTAACGGCACCGGTGACCTGACCAAGTCCGGCTTCCACGAGTCTGGAATCAACGAAGGCGTTATCTTTGTTTCAATCTTCGAGGAGGACAGTATCGATGGCTGTATGACGTTGTCTCTTTGAAATATAGAAATAGCAGCACCCATAGAACACATTCGAATTCTGGCACAGGCAAATCCTCAGATTCGATCTTCTGATACATAGAATGTGGCTTCCAAGTCTGACTGGTCTCAATCTTAGACATATTTAGTGCAGCGTTGCACTCGAGTGTCAAATCCAAACGATAGTGATGTCGAGCCCGCTCCAGCAGCCGTCAGTGCAAACACGCGTTACCCCATCCACCCGCAAAACAAATGATCGCGTTTTCGAACCACCAACTTCAAATCTTTCACTGGAGCTCCTCCAGAACCTCTCTGGCCGCCCTCTGACCCGCCAACACTGCGCCCTCCATGTACCCATAGTGCTTCGTCGAGGTCTCCGTGCCAGCCCAGTAAATGGCCCCGACCGGCTTCCTGACCCATTCGCCCAGAAGCGTCCACATTCCCGGCGCCGGCGTCGCCATCGGGCACCCGAGAGCCCAGTCCTCCTCCATCATGGTGTGGAAGAAGAAGTCTTCTGGATCGAGTGCCTCCTGCCCGAACGCGGACGCGAAGCCGGCGAGGGCGACTGCTCGTTTCTGGTCCTTGCTGAAACTGATAAACTCCCGCGCCTTGGTGCCGGCGATGAACCCCATGAGCTTGGCGGGGGACCCGGACTGGGGTGTCGCATCGTAGGTCACGCTGAGGAAGCCGGTCGGGTTGGTGCTCTCTCCCCTCAGGCCCCGTTCCCTCCAGAAAGGGGTCTTGTAGGTTGCGAAGACTTTCATGTAGGCTCCCATTGGCATGTGCTGGAGGAGCGTCGTCTTCTCTACCGGTAACCTGGGCTCGAAGTCGATCTTGAGGATATGCGCTGGCGGGATGGCGGAGATGACTCGTCGTGACCGATATGTTCCCTTTGGCGTCCGGATGGTTGCCAGGCTCTCGGTGTATGCGATGCCGCATACCGGCTCCTCAAAGCGGATGCCCCCCTCTCCGAGATGTTTCCTGAGCTTCTCGGCAATCACCTGTCCTCCACCTTTCATAAAATGTTGTTGGGCTCCATTTTCGCTGCTGAGACCTGACGTGAGACTGCCTACGCCCTTGAAGAAGAACATGGCGTGGAGCATTGAGATGCAAGACGTATTCTGACCGATGGTTATCTCGAATGCCATGTTGCTCAGATCGATATTAGCCTGTGTCCATGCTTGCTTCTTCAACCACTCATGCACCGTCACACGGTCGAGCTCCTCCGCATTGGGTGTCTGCCACGGTTCTTCCATGTTGACCGTCTCACACAATTTCTCGAACCGACGCACGAACAAGCCCGCATCGAGGACTTCCCACGGCTTCAGCGGCGGTATCAGACCACCATAGCCTCTTGCTTTGCCGCGGTAGGCCAAGACAATCTTGCCCTGGTTGGGTGGTTTGCACAACGGCACCTCGAATTCCTTTGCCAGGCCGTACATGAGATCTTGCTTGTCACCCAGGAAAGATGCCCCGACGTCCCAGTAATCGCCATTGCCCAGGGGGATCGTCTTCGCGCGCCCGCCGACGCGATCACGCGCCTCGAGCACAATAACCTTCTTCCCGGAGTCTTTCAGGAGTCTTGCCGCCGCGAGGCCGGAGTAGCCGGCGCCTATCACTACGCAGTCGTACGTTGGCATATCATCTGGGATGTTATCCGCCGCGGGTTTGCCCATCTTTGCGAGTGTTGCTGTGAGATTGGGAAGTTCAATCTCTTGACGGGCCCCCAAATTTCGACATGAGGTGGAGAAAAGAAAGTTTAGAGATTCGTCACGGGTATGAATTCCCAGTTGTTCACCTGGCCCGTCTTTCGTCTGCACTCAAGTACTCATCCGCTCGTCCGATTGTTGCATGGATCTGTCAGCGGGAAGTTGTCACGTGGCTGTCTCGCGCTGATAAAGAGAGTTGGAGGGCAGTCAGCCACCCCTCGATTGGGACCAATCACAATCCTTCGCAGTCTCTCCTGGATCACTTTGTCTTCTTTCGCCCTGGCCTGGTTGTTCGAGATTGAGCTGTCGCGCATATGGCTGATTGGTCACTAATAATGGTTTACCTAGGAACAGGGATTGGCTTTCATGATAATCTATACGCCTCACCACTATGAAAGTATGAACTGTTGGATATTGACGGCGTCCCTGAGAATTTCCAAACATGAACGGAGAAGGACGAATACTGTAAGCCCAACGGTATACTCTTCCTCAACCTTGATCTCAGCAAACCACCATGACGGCTGGGCACAGCCGTGAAACCAGACACTCTCCCCAGAACTGCAATAGTCGCAACGAAAGGCTCCATCAGCTCCTCAATAGACTATGCATCACAGATGCATGAAGCGCTTCCAATTGTGGCTGTGGAAACCATAGCATCGTAAAATGAGATCAGATGGGTTGCTGACATAGGTCCTGGGCTTCATATCAGTGCCGTAGAGAGATCTTCCACAGATCTCATTGGAGTACCGCCATCATCCTTGGCTGGCTCAGTATTTGTTTCTTTTGCAGGCGTTTCCGTCCATTCGTGCAACTCATCCTTGCTCTGATACGGGACGGGGGCTTTGTTCGTCTGGGGCTTCTCCTGGTCGACCTTGCAATGCTCAGACGCAGCCTTGCATCCGCAGATGCCCTCGCAGACAGGTTCCATAATGTTCTCGGATAATTTCCTTGATACGACAGGCATCTTGAACCCGATGCATTTCTTGAAGCACGAAAGATGGTCACCATGACCCTCATGACCCTTATGGCCCTTGTGGCCCTTGTGGCCCTTGTGGCCCTTGTGGCCCTTTGCCGTAGAAGAAGAGGAGCGTGTGCCGTTCCTCTTTCCTAAGCTTTTGAGAGACTCCATCTCCCCAGGCGGCAGATACTTGGCGAGGTCTTTTACGCAGCGCTGCCACTCTAACGGCCGTTCGCGCTTGGTGGTTTCTCCTGCCGGTGGCATGACGTGCGTATGAGTCGGCCGTGTTTTGCGATGGTATTTCATGGTGCAGGACCACTGTGTCCAGGGTCTAAATTTGTCCTTCTCGTCTTCTTGTTCGTTATTCCCTCCTGTGGACGGCGGAATGTTGGTGGTGTTGAGCGCCGTGGGTATCTGGGCAGAGGCTGTGGCTACGGCAGTTTTGGTGGGAATCGCGATAGCAGCCGCGGTGGCCAGAAAGACTGCGAATTGAAGAATCGTATGTTTCATTGTGGAACTTTCCTGAGGTATTCTAGATGTGTTGTGCAGAGAAAGAGAAGGCAAAGCTCCCGTGAAGGACGACCCAGGCACATTGGAGTTCCTTTTATACATGTCTAGTTTATGATGCTATTGTGTAGAAGGACCACGTAAGGCCTGAATTAATCCGAGCCATCTTAGCAAGCTGACCCCGTGTTTGAAGTCGAGAGTCCCATCAATCTTCTAACCATGCGTAAGTGAGGCATCATAAGGTTCTGTGTCGACAAGTCGAAGGATTCTGCCATATGCGCGTTGTATGAACATCGGGTGAGGGCAAACGAAGTGATCAGCTCAAATGGGCCGTGCTGGATGTCTTTCAAATGAATTGTGAGTACTGCTGACATGGGATGGTTTAGTGTTCCGTGTTTGCTGAGTTTTCTTCCTACGAAGTTGGGGAATACGGCTTCCCTTTGTCGTATCTAATATCAATCACTTACTCTGGGAATGTAAGTCAGCATTTTGATTATGCATTGGCGGCATGCAACTAGGAAGTTTCTGGAGAAGTCCTCGTCGTTTAGACCCTGGACGACCCCGTACTGAAGAGAGGGGTAGGTTTTGAGGCACGAGAATGTCGATGGCTTGCCGATATAGGACTAAAATAACAATTGAACCCGTGAAAGGGGAATGGCCGTGCGACTGATTTGGACCCCCCTGTGGTTGTTATTGTCCATGAATTCGCCTTGGGCCCTCGGGTATGCAGCATGAAGACGCCTCCACCCTGGAGTCAGTTCGACAACCGACGTCTCTATCGTACACCTGTTAAGATCCTGGCAACGAGCCACAACGAGATCTTACGGCAGCAAATGCCAACGGCCACGTTCCACTTCGAACACACGCTTGTTCTAGCAGCTCACGTCTGTTCCTCACCTGCGCCGTCATCCATCTCCTCGTCACCTTCTTCACCAGCATCGTCATCTTCATCGTCATCATCATCGTCGTCATCGTCGTCGTCGTCGTCATCACTCGACCCCGAGCCCTCGCTCTCTCCCTCACTTCCAGGGTCATAGTCCTCTTCGTCTTCATCCTCTTCCTCCTGAAGTGCCTGCTCAGCCTCGAGATGGGCCTTTTCAAGCTCCGTCATGCCGTTAGCGTCGGCGTCTCCATTCGCACCCGCATCAGCGTCTGCGCCCTTCTTCTTGAGGTTCTCAGTCAGCTCCATCTTCGCCTTCCTCTGTTCCGCCATGCTGCGGTCCTGCAGCCCATGACGCTTGACGTAGGACTCGTCGATGCCACCGTAGTCTTCCTGGTCCAGCATGCCGAACTCAATCTCCTCAGTGGCGTCGCCTTCGGTGAAGACCTCGACCACGATGTTGAACGTGCGCTGCAGGACGCTCGTGTAGCTCATGGCCACGATGCGATCGATAGGCAGAAAGACCAGAGGCTTCTTGAAGCCGTAGAGAATGCCGTTGGGAAGGAAAAAGAGGTATCCGTCCTTGGACCCGCGGAAAGCCTTGACGTGCACCGCCTTCTCGTTCGGTCTGTGCGGCTGGCGGACGAGACTGTGGAAGATGTTGGGGTCGGCTGCAACAATTTCGGCAGTGTTGCCAGCGGAGCTGAGGTGTGTCGTCAGTGCCCAATCGAAGAGGCCACGGTAGGTGTCGGAGACTGCTGATGCAGCGTTCGCTTTAGGGCCGCCGATGGTGCCCGGCTTGGGCGGTGTAGCGGGCACTGTGAATACCAAAGCCTCCTTCTCCGGTGAGGTTTTCGTCGGGAGGCACGTTCCTCGGGGAAAGAGGACGTAGTTGTGCTGCACCTGGGTCTTCTCGGGCACGGGGAGGTAAAAGAGGTATTCTGGAGCGCAAGTTAGTTTGGCTGCGAGTTCGCTGGGGTGTAGAAGACGCACCAATGTCATCCCAGGCGTAGATGATGCCCTCGACGGGTGCGGTGGTATTCGGCGCCCGGGCATACAGGTAATTCGCTGTGAAGCAGAGCTCGTACTTCTTGCGCTGGGGTACGGAGACGGAAATCTCCTTGATCTCGAGAAGAACTTCATCATCGGCAGCGTTTCCGGTTCCCGTAGTTTTTGGCACATGTTTCACAGCCGCGCCGTTCGTGTTCGACGCCTTGAAACCGTTCGTCGGGCCCTCGTCTGTCCGTCTGCGTTTTGATGCCGGCTCGGGTCCGTTGATCTGCTCGTGAACAAAGGTCGCGATGTTGTTGAACAATGCGACTCGATCCGGTGTGTCTGAATGGTCGATTATTAGCATTTCGAAATCGGTAAGCAAAATCTAGGCAATTGGAACAGGTCGTCGTACTGGCAGCCTTCTGAATGCCCTGGAGAATGTCGGGCCGCGACAGGAAGACGGCTTCCAGCCGCTGGCTGTCGAGGCCGGCGACCATTTTCGTATATAATTAATTTCTTGTTTGAAGCTTCGGCCTATAATTGATAATGATTTGGGGGGCCGGCAGCTGATTCGACAAGTTTAGGTGGAGGGAATCGTCGCTGGAACTATGGCGAAAATTGTTGATTAATTTTTCTCGGTTGACGCGACGTTGACCAAAAGAATGGGATGTGACGTGTTGAAGATGGCCGCTGGTCACTGAAGTGGCCGTTCCTGGTGCGCTGCGGCACGGACTTACATAAGGCGTTGGTTCTCATTCGTTGGTCAGGAACAAAGAGGTTATGTTTGTGGTTGGTGACGTCGGTCTGAGGGTCTGTTTGACGCCGTGATACATTCTGCAAGGGAGCAAAGCGGTTTGCTGCTTTTT